GCGATGGGCTTCAGAAAGAACTGCCCGCATTTATATCTCCGATGGAGTTGCACTTCTAACCGAGCACTCGTGGGTCATGTCACGTAAGCAAAGGTGTTTTCAGACCATGTGGTTCAATAAACTTAAAGCACTTGAGCTACCGATATATCGGAGAGCAGGGGAACGTGGAAAGGCATTCTCCAAGTCGCCGATGATGGTTAGCTCTAATGCTACCCACTTTTTTGCACCAAGGACGTGATTCCGCCTTGCTTCCGAAAGTGATGCCGACTTGGATTGGTTGGATGCCAAAGCAACCCCGAAACTTTCCGGACTAGTTTCTCTGTTTTGTACAAACTACTTGCTGGAGTGAAAAAAGGGAGGGAAGGCCGAGCGTGATTCCTTATATAATCCTCACGCTGGATTGCAAGTGGTTTCTTCTGGAATCTCCCGCAGGCTCCCAAAGGACCCTAGAAAACCGGGCAATCTACTCGGAAAGGGTCAGCCAGAAAACCGGGGTCTCGGGTGCATCGGCAGGCACCTTTGCGCGGCGGCCGGGGAAACTGGGCATGGTGGAGGATGATCCCTGGAAGGCCTGGACGGTTGAAGGTTCTCATCCTGGCCCCAAGCGAGCCACGTGCTCAAAACCGATTCGGGTAGAAGGTTAGGGCCAATCCCAGCCATAGCTGCGGAGATCCGCCTTCCTGTACATGGCTCTGGGTCGAAAATTTTTGAATACCAGGTTTTGATTGTGACTCAAGCGAATTAACCAGATCGATGCTTATGGCCCCATAAGGTTCGCCTTGTATTTTGAAGGTTTCTTCCATTCCGGGGTTTTTCTGTGCTGGACACGTACAGGATGAGAGAACTGGAACCCTGGAACCCTATCGCCTATCGAGAATCATTTGCTTCGCAAGTGGCAGCTCTGCCACTTGTGGCGGCCTTTTAAAAGGGAATTCTCGGCCATAGAGCTGGCTGGGCGCTAATGAAAGCTCAACAAAGTGATCAGGTGAAACTTGACTGTCATGAAACTCCCATCCCGGTGGCAGACGTTTTCCCTTTTTTGGGAAGGGCTCCCCTTGAAGTCAACACACACACACACAAAAAGGCGCCCCTTGTGGCCACTGAGAAGTCAACACCAGTCCCAAGCCGACCAGCCGGGTCAAGTCTGAGTAAGTGCCTAGAAACAGGTGAGGGGCTTGACACACCCGTCCAACTCGTGGTGCTCCCTCGAGTGGTTTGAATCCCCACCAAGAGTCGCCTGAATCCCCACCAGAAAACACCCCCCCAATCAAATTCAACCAGGGGTTCTACTTAGATCCGGGGTTCCCAGTAACTCACCAGGGCGCCTCGCCATGCAAAGGCCTTGGAGGTCGGAAGGTCAAAGGACTCTCAGAAGGGCTCCATAGTCGAAATCCATTTCGCACCACCGTTCAGAAACCCATTCGGAATGAATGATTCCCCTGTAAATACCAACAAACCACAAAGAATGGTTTCATACCGACAAACCATGGCTTCAACCATGGCTTCTTAGGTGGTGCGAGAAGCGGATTTCGCCACCATCCCACAGTCCATTGTGGCAGAACCACACGAGCAACTGCGGGTCTTCCGGTCCCCCAAGAGGATCGGCGGCTTTCCGCTTCGACCAGGGCCACTATAATGTTCAGCCCGGATCTAAGTAGAACCCCTGGTTGAGTTTGATTGGGGGGTGTCCAATTCCTTCTAGTGGTTGGATTCAGACCACTTTTGGAGGGAACACCCCCCTAATAGTGGGACGGGTTTAGCGATCCTGGGTCAACATTATTTAAGAAACGGGAAGACAAAAAGACACAGAGCTAGCCTCATGACAAGAGACACCCAACTACTGGAGTCTATTGTTTGGGGAAATCAGCTTCTCGTACAAAAGCTGGGGATCGATGCATCTTCATTCAGGTTTCCCTAAAGGACACCTTGGTCCTATTTGGGCATACACGCGTTGGCTAGCGGTGAAATTGTTTGGGTGGTTCAACAAACCCGTGCGGATGGTTGCTTCTTTTGTTTAAGCCGACGGGGGTGAAAGGGAGACCATGGCAAGTAGAGATCCGAGGTAACACGGCAGGGGTTGAGACGCGGCTCAGGACCTTCAGCGGCCGAGCCTCACAACAGAAGAGGTGAAAGAGCATCGGCGCCGTGCCGCCAAATGGGAGGGATATGGACGGGCGTGTGCTAAGGCGATACTCAGGTGTCCCTGAATTAGTGGTTTAGGTTGGTGGGAATTGGGGATTTGAACCCCTGGTTCTTGTAGCTGGCAAATGGGACACTACCCAACCACCAAACCACCAAGGGAGAAGCTGATTTACTCGAGAGTGCCGCGCAGCCAGAGCATGGTGCGCCACGTGCCCATGTTGAGTAAGGTTTCAAGGACGAATCATCAAGTGACGCCACTGCTTGGGTTTTGCAACTTTGACGCCTACCGCCTATACCTATAACCCTGGTTGTAATTTGGGGTGAGCTGGCTGCGGTTTGTTTGCTCAAGCTTTCGTGGCCCTTCCCGCGTGAAGCGCAGGATCCGAGCATCCCGTATTCGAATAAGCTGTCCTTCGGATGTTCAACCCATATCGGGTAAGTAGGGCAAAGCCATGTTTATTATTTTGGCTTGACTGGTGTTAGTCATGCTGGTGCTCAGGGAATGTGGGACTGAACCCAGAGATTCCGGTAAAGGAAACCACCAGTTGGATGGGTTTGGAAGGGTCATTCCATGTCTCATTCCCTGCATCTCTCGCACGAGCAAGTAAGTGAACTACCAAAAACAAGTGCTTTGTTTTCCCCTGGCCGCAAAAGATCTGGCCACCTATGGTAAAACCACGGATTTGATTTGATGATATTTGTGTCATTTCCTGGCTCCCGGATGGGGGGAGGGGACCTTAAAACTGCAGATATGCATTTTCCAGGTCCCCCACCCCTTATGAGTAGAGGATATTTGATGGATTTGATTTGGGTTGAATCAATTGGAGTTCGCTCAAGGAAACCGCCTGGACATGGCTCGACGGCCAAAGTCCGCCGGACGCCAAACTGAACAAAAAAGCGGCGCTCGAGGAACGCCGCGCTGGCGGCCCAACAGATGCTGCACCGACGGTTGAAACAGGTGCGGGGTGTTGGGAGGCTTTCCGAAAGCCTTCCCCCAGCCCCAGTTGAACCCAATTGGAACCAAGGCTTCTCACCTCACTCCTTGAGCTCCTGGACTTACTTTTGACGCCCCAGGTTGGACTGCAAGCTTTTGGGGAAACAATCTTAGTGAGAAACAAGAAGTGTGGCCTCTTTCGGCTACTCGGGAAGTGAAACTTGTTGGAGGACCTACTTGTTTGACGCCGGGTTGAGCATCCAAGTGGTCAGGGTTTGGAAACTCGACGGTGAACATCACAGGACCCGGTCTCCCTAAGAGTGAAACCGGCAGGCTGTGAGAGAAAGCAATCACTTGTTAATCGGGTTGCCCCTCGCTTTGGACGAAACGTTTATTTTAAAAAGCGAGTCGTTGCCGAGACAAGGACTTGGAGAGTAGGACTCACCTGTGAGTAGAGTGAAGCGCGCAACAAAGTAGCTGCCTGCGTGTTGACATTGGATTTCGGGACCCCCAACCTCCGCCATGGAATTCAAACCATCATTAAAACAATGGGCGTCCATAGAACCACCATTGTTTACCAGGGCTCCTTAAAAGATCTCCATGTTGCACCCATTTGAAACATGTTGCTTTCTCCACACCAAAGCAAAGTTGGAAAAAATACTTTTACAAGTTGCAATGTTCGATCGGTGTATGCATCCGGATCCCTGTTTCCCCAAGGATTGTCATCCAAATTGGCAAACAACCATTCTCTCATCATGGGGGTGGAGCCCTGGGGTCCGGCCACGGTGGGAAACCCCATGGCCACAGGTCTTGGTCAATGATTTATTCGGCTTCGAAAGAAATCTAGGTCCCCCAGTAGCGCCCTTTTACCATTTTTTTATGAGAGGGGGGTCCCCTACTAAAATAGACTACAGACAAAAAGGGTACCATTATTCTAGCCTCTCTACTGGAGGAATTAGAAATTGTCACATCCCTTGTTGCGAAGCGCCAACCCGATCGCAGGAGAATCGGAAGAAGTTCGCGAGCGGTGCCGGGAACAAACAGAGCTCTCGCCGTTGCGGCGCTGCGGGGGAGAGCTGAGCTGGAGGTTCGAAAGTGGAAGGGTTATTCCTCCCGTCGGCTAACCTGCAGGGTCCTGGAAGACCATTTTCCGTGTAAAGGGAGCCATGTCTCCCTTGAAATCATTTAGCGAGGTTTAGGTAGAGTAATTTCATACAAAGTTCACTCCCTAAGTTCGTGGACTTTAAACATGTTGGGAAGACCATTTTGGTGGCAAAGAACAAGTTTGGACTTGTTTCGGCCAGTCTGCTCAGGCAGTGAGAAAGGGTGGTGGTAGCCAACATGTTTAAGCCACGTTTTCTTGTGGGGCAACATGGGGCCAGGGTCACATCAACAGACTTGCTCCAAGCCACACTTTGAAACATGTGTTTGCTTATCCGGTGTTTGTTTGAAGTGATTGCCCAACTCAGGCGCTATACCTTTTTGAACACGGGATTTGAGCGAGAGTTCGACGCTTCCTGAGTTCCTGAGCTTGACACTGTTCGGGTTTGGAGAATCTTAGTGGCGACATTGGGTACTTTGTTGGAACCATCAACTCAGGAAGTGAGAAATGCCAACACGACCTCTTTCTTTTGGGATTCGAATCCCACGTAGGCCAACTCCCTGAGGCAGACGGATGCGCCGGGGAATGGCGCGGTTGAGCCACACTGATGGAATATGTGATCATTTCCCCTGTGGCTTAGTTTTTGTTTAACAGGGAATCTTTCACTACTATACATATATATATATATATATATATACATATATATATATATATCATTGTAGCAGATCTATCGCTACTTTGTTTTTGGCCAGGGGCTTGTCTATGGGGTTGGAATCCTTCTGGATTTGATTGGCCGCCCAATTGCCAGACCCAATGCCTGAGGACCATCTTCTTCTTCGCGGAGTTTGTGATGCGAGTCGTCGTGCTCAGGAGTTCGGGGTGCGGGAATGCTGCATGTGACGAGTGGGCTCATTCAGGCATGTGTCAAAATTGGGACACCCCCATGGTGACTTTTCTTGGGTTCCGTTTTAAACCAGCCTGACTGAAACATGTACCCTACTGTCCACCAACATGGAACCCATCACAGGGTCCATTTCAAAAGACCCTGGTTTTCCACGACCACTCTGTCAGGCTCCATGGCAACGAGGACAGGAGGGTACCTCAAAAAACACAAACCCATTCCCTTTAGGTGCCCCAGAAGCCACGCAGATGCCAAATGGTCTGGCTTTACTCGAAGAATCCACCTCAGAAATCTTCCCCGCTCTTGCTCAATTTTGGTTTGCAGTCCAACCTCCTCCTTAGGTCGATTGGGCAGGTGAGGCCATTCTTGCTTCAGATGTTGGATTTCGAAGGTTTTCTCCTGTTTTTGGGACCCCCAAAAAAGACCTTAAACGCCACCAAGGGGTATCCTCAAGAAATGACACACCCACATGCCTACCCCCCTTCCAGTCGTGGAAGTGGACGTTTGGGGTCGTTCACTAGTCACCAATCGTTTTTCAATACCCTTCTCAGCTTCCATGGTTGCACAGAGGGTCAGCTTCCTGTCAAAACCATAGATGGCGAAAGCACGAATTTGGAGCATCTTTGATTCGTAATATGCCAGATTTCTACACTTCTTGTATTTTGTGGGTGTGGGTGTTATCCACCTGGCTAGACCACTTGTGCTGTGCTGTTGTTTTTTGTTTTGCGGCTTCTTGGTGCTTCTCGTTTTCTGCTCTCTCGCTCTCCCTCTCTGCCGCGAGGGGGCGGTACTGCTTGTCCTTCATCGGCCTGGTGGACGTGCTTTCGCTGGTGGCCTTTATTGAGACCTTGTCGCCGTGGCTGCACCTTGGACCGAAAGGAGCGAGAGATGCCATCGGGTTTGCTAGATGTGGGTGTCCCTTAATGTTGGGGCCCAGATGAATAAACCCCAGTTTTTATTATACATATATATATATATATTATACTGGTTGATTTCCCATTCTTCTCAACCATCGTTCCTGCCAAAAACCTGATGTTTTTTTGGGGTTCTGATGGTTTCCTGGAAAGAATGGGGAAGTGTCCCCTAGAGGTTTGCTAGATTTGGGTATCCCTTAATGTTTGGCCCCAGATGAATAAACCCCAGATTAAATTATTAATATGGGGATGCTGCTTCTAGTGGGGATTTATCACTTTCGGACGGGAGCACCCCCTCTTGATAAACTGTGGTTGATTGATATGGGGTCAACATTAGTTGGCCCCTCCCCGAATTCCGTTTCAAGACTTTAAACTGTTTGGGCTTGGACCACTTTGGTGGTAAATAATAAAATAAGGCTTATGGCCAATCCACTCGGGAAGTGAGTGGTGCTTTGGGTTTGAGGGGGATTTGACGTCCGGGTGGGAAAATGGGAGCCAGCCCTGCGCTCCAAATCAGCAAGCCACAAGTTTGAGAGAAGCTGAAAGTTGGATGGTTCTAAGGGCTACCTTCCATTTCCATTCTTTCCAGGGATCCTAATCTTTCTAGAAAAATGAACAGCCCTGCACAAATGGCTGGTTTTTGAAAAGAAGGATGGTTGAAAAGACTTGAATTGGAATCCACCCCTATGGTGGGACGTTCGAGGCGGGCTGAAGTGCAGTAGAGGGCCGGCCTACCAAAAGCTCAAGACCATGTGCCTAAGCTCCAGGTTGGGCAAAATCTAGTTGACATTTAATCCCTGGACCTTTGAATATAAAGGGAGCCCCAAGGAGGCGAATTGAACAACAAATTTGGTACCTTTTTTTTTTTTTCGTCAAGCAATTCGGCATCCTTTGCGGCACTGCTTGTTTGGGTGCTAAATGCTAAATTGGGCGCTACATAGCTTGTGACTTTTAGTTGTCTCCCCTAGAGGCAAGCAACCCAAGGGAGTGGTTCATTTTCTAGCTTTGTGGACTCCAATTTACCAACAGCTAGACATGTAGGTTTTCCAATCATTACTGTAATTGGGCTGACTGGCGCAACTTTCCTTATGCTTATAACCATGGCTGTACCCAACGAAACCAAAAGTGGATTAATCATGCTATGACTTCCAGACCCATTTTGTTGGCACCCTTGCTGGCCAACCAATCAAGGGCTCAAACACTGTTTTTCCTATAGCAATCGCGCACTTTCGTTTGCACGCCAGTTTGAAGCCTCTTTCGGTTGCCACTGTAGCATCCACCCCGCAGCCCCCCGACACCTCCCCCCCTGGCGTTGGATCCTGTGAACCCTTTCAGGGTGGGTTTGACGTTTCTTGATGTTTCCATGCGACCCACAGGATGTAGCACAATGAGCCCCTGGCATGAAACTCACATCAGCGCGCCAGTTGGCCACTTAAGCTATCGAATAAAAGGACTCCCCTAAGGCGGATAAATCAGGGGTCAAACATGAATGGGGGGAGGCCAAATAAGGGCTTGTTAAGGCCTTATTTGGGCTCTCTCTCCCCCATGAACTTGCATGACCCACAACAGAAACCGATAAATTTTGATTTTGATTTTCGCAATCTCAAGAAATTCTACCCAAAACGGAGCCAACAGAGGCGATTCGTGCATTGTGGGTCTTTCAGGTGTGGATTCAAAGAGAAACCACTAAAGTGAACCCATCACTTTGCTTCCCCAGAATTAGCTCCCCTTTTTGCTTTTTCGCTTATACAACAAAAAACACACCCATGTTTGTTCTCCTTGACACCCCAGAAACGCCGACAGGCATGACGCCGGTCTTCACCCGAACTACTACCCAGAGGGTGGCGTATCCAGCCGGGCGCCCAGGGCTCGTCCTTTGTCACTCACTCCCGGAGTTCCGGCTTGGACCCTTGTAGTGGTAAAAAATGTTTGTTTCCTTTTGTTGGCCAATTCACTCGGTCAGAAAGCGAGTGAAACTACATCTCACTTGCCCAAAGCGAACCGACCGGATCTGACCTTTTGGTTTCTTCATGTTTGTGCATGTTTTGTCAAGGTCCCAAAAGGTTACCCTTTTATTTCCAGCTCCTTTGAATGGTTTGTGCGAGCACCCTCATTCCCTACTAGCAACCAGCAAGTGTCAATGTTAATTCCACACACTGCATGATGCTTCGCATTGAGGTTATCCGAAGGGGCAAAAGCGCATTTGATTCCTAGATCCCCTCTAAGTGTAGTGAAGGGGTGGCGTACCTAGGACCTGTCCGTTGACAAGTTGTACAGCAAACAAAACTGGCATTCAATTTTCATACAACTTGATCTAATAGCCTTAAAGTGTGTGTAACAATTTGGATGGATTTAATCTCTACAAAATCAACCTTGCAATACGACATGTGTTTTACATATGGCTGTTGGGTCAAAACCAATGGTGCCATTTTGGGGTAGGTGAATTCACCACCCATTTTAGCCTATTCTAGTGGTTGGATTGGCATGTTCACAGGGGGCACGATTTGGATTTTGACCCATGGCCATCTTTCAGATCTGAGTTGCGGTGCTTTGCAAGTGGGGTCCCATTCTTGAGAGACCGCGGCCAAGTACATTTTCCCTACTCTTGCTATCCCGGGATAGCCTCCAGGCTGGCGCGACATCTGGATCGACTTGATCCTGCCCTTGCGCCTGATGCGGCTGATGATGCTGGAGCCGCTTGCTGAGAGAATTTGATTTCAGATGCCCAGTGGCCCATATCCCATACCACTTGATGAGCCTTGTTTGCCTTCGGACCCCCAAAAGGTATCCAATCAAAACAGACCACACCGTATTAAGAGATGACCTCTCAAATCTGCCTCCAGCTGGTGGTCGTTGTTTTCCAATTTCAGGCCCTTGATTCCACTCCGCCATGTTCGTTTCTTTGGAAGGGGGTCCATTTAACACTAACTACCCAAAACCGAGCGCCGGTGATTTTTTTCCTCCGATGGTTCTTGTCTGGGACCTCCAGGCTTCCGCTAGATCCTCTGCCGGGGTCGACAGGTGCGCGGAAACCCTTGGCCCACTTTACAACCAACTGACTTGGGATCCCCAATCCCAAGCCACCAATTGAACCAAATCCCAAGCCAATTGAGGGATTCCTGACCTTTGAAGCTTGCTTTCAAAGAAGAACCTAGGTCCTTCAGTAGTGCCCTTTTACCAACTTTTTTGGGGGGAGGGTTCCCCTACTAAAATAGACCACGGAAAAAAAGAGAGGGTACCCTTATTCTAACCTCTCTACTGGAGGACCTAGTAACCCAATTATTTCATCCACATGTACTTTTATTGAAGCAACGAACTGGGCGTAATGAAGCCTTCTCCCTTGGAGCTCTTTTGCTGAGCAGCAACGACTCAAAAACTTGGCCCACCCCAGCCTCGTCCCTGGGAAGCTGGGGGTACTTGGGCAAAAAAGCCCACGGGCAAGCGGGTTGCCGTGGGTTGTGAGGCCATTTGCCCAGTTACCCTCACTAACCATAGTTGCGACCAGTAGAAACCAGCAGACCCGGAAATCTACAATTGGCCACATACTTTTCAACCACCAAGTTGCATATGTCGAGAAATTCCTGTAGAAACCAGCCTGCGCCAATTCTCACAACTGAATTAGCAAACCTACCAAAGACCAAGTATAGCATTTCCCCGTGGAATGTCCCTCCCCACCCGTTTCACAATGGAATTGGGGAGAGCACCCCTAGAGTTCCATTTATGGCTCCATGTTTATCTTTTGTTGGGAATATGGTTGGGGGACTCCCACCCCCCCCCCTTTTTTAGGTCAGGGGAGAGCTGTCCTTTTTAACGCTCCCCGGAGTGCGTTTCTCCACCTTTTTTTCAGGCTTCTCCCGCAACAAACAACAAACAAACAACAACCAAAAGGGGGGAGACCAGCCCCACCCCGCACCCCCCCAAGACGAAAATCGAAGAGACCAACCCCAAAACCCCCAAACGAAAATCGGGGAGCCTCGAGCCTCCCCCAATGGACATTGGGAGTGCGAGCCCGGAGGTCCTGGACCCCGGCGATCCAGTCCTTGTGCGACGTGGTGTGGATGCGGGGCCCGGCCCTGCGCAAGGCCTGCTACGCGCTGGTGGCCGTTTGGCCCGGGAGCCCAGGAGCGGTGGAGCAGTTCCCCCAGCGAGTGGCCTGCCCGGTTTGCCGTTTCTTTTTTGGGGGGAGGGTCCCCCTAAATCAAAGGGGTGAATACAACCGAGGTCTTCCAGCAGTGCCCTTGTACCCTTTTTCTTGGGGGGAGGGTTCCCCTACTGAAATAGACTACATCAAGAAGTTGGTACCAACTTATTCTAACCTCTCCCAGGGTGTTATGCTCGCGTGTTATGCTCGCAAAATAGATGGCGGTTCCTGTTTTACCTGGTGGTTTAATCATCTACCAGGGAAATCCGTCTATTTCCCCAAGGACACCTGTGCCAGGGAGAAATGCGGCTTCAGCGAGCCGATGCTTTCAAGGCGAAGCGAAAGTTGAGACCAACTTGAGCCCGCTACCTGGGATTTCCGGAACTCGGACCTTTTTCACTCTCAGACATCCAGTTGTCGGTGCTGGTTTGCGAGCTATTGTAAGACACGTAGACTCGTAGACCCGGACTTTCGTCGAGCTTTTTGGGCTTGGACCATTGTGGTAAATGACGCGAAGTTTGGACCTCTTTGTTTTCAACTCAATCCACTCGATCGGAAGTGACTTGAGCTTTTGGTTTCCGGTTGGTCCATCAGAGGTTCCAAAAGAGCCTTCTGTTTTCTTGGTTTAGTGAGCTCCAAAGTGAACCACGCGGTTCCTTCTCTGAATTCGCAGAGGGGAGAACAATTCGACACATCCCCAGACCTCCCTCCAGGTACATGTTCACCGTCTGCTTGTATGTGCTCGAGAAGGCCTGTCTGATGGCTAAGCGAAGCCTTCGTTTTCCCGTTTGTGGCCGAGTTGCGACTTCTGAAAGCTGTCCCTTAAAGTGAGCATTTCGAGGGTTGTCAGTGTATTTGTCAGGTGGTCCTTGAAATCACCACTGGGAAAGTATTTTTGAGGGTGGGTTGTTTAAATTCAATCCAGAATCCTTACGGCAGATAGTCTTGGATTCCCAAAGCTGCTGACATGTGGATCATTATTTGGCTCCCAAAATATCATCCAGGGACCTTGTTTTGTTCTACCCTCATTGCCATGGACCTGACTCGGGGGGGTCGTTCCTGCAAAGCCATTTCAACCTTTGTTCGGGTGGGCCCGCTTCAAGGGAGGTCCAGGTCTGCACTATGGTTCGGACCTTACATCCTACAGACCTTGTGACTGTTGGTTCGTAGTAGCTTAGTAGCTTGTTCGGTCAAAGGTTGGACAAGTGAGCAAACTTGCCAAGTTAGAAACCGCACGCTTTTTCCTTGATACATGCTACAAAGATAGTGCACCTGCTCGTTTTCCTTTCTGTATCCCCCCAGCTTGGCACCAGTCTGAAGTGAGATGACTGCACGGACCTTGTCTGGGAAGAGTACTTTCAATCCCTCAAACGGTATCCCACGTGTCCCAAGCGAATTGCCCTTGGAATCTTGCCATTGTTGACCCAGTCTTACTGTGGATGGACAAAATCCTGCACCACCTAAGAACCCTGGAATGGATTGATTCTTCTGTAAATACCAACAAATTGTGCTTTCCCATGGTTTTAAAGTGCGAAACGGATTTCGCAACCATCCACAGTCAAGGTCAAAGACCTGGTTCCTTCCATTTCCTCGGTCTGGGCAACGATGACTTCGAAAATTTCAGATGCAAGTCTATGCTTTGCAAGGAGGTGTTTGGCAGGTGGTATTTATCTTAGGAACCCCTCAAAACCTCAGGTGACCGTTGAGTTGATTGGTGGCTTGGACCCGTGGTTTAGGTTTCGGGTCTCAAAATTGGAGCCATGGACAGAAGAAAGTGTTTTTGTTTGGTTGGATCATTGGACTTTCACTTTTTCGGAAAAAGCGGATGTCCCATTGCACAAGCAGTCTTTACTCTTAGAGGGGTCAACAGCAACCACTCACTTCCCGAGTTCTTGGACTTCAAGCTTTTTGGGTTTGGACCATGTTAGTGGCAACCAAAGAGTTCGGCTGCGTTTGGTGGGCGATCGGAAGTAAGACCAAGAGTGGGTTGAGTAGAGGAAACCTTTAGGGCACTTTTTGGGAAACAGATGGGATGGTCTTCTTTTTAGAGGCTCCTGGTTTGGACCATCTCCTGTTTAAAGGGACCATTTCCCGCACGTCAAGTTCCAGGTGTGAATTGGCGAGAGGGTGCTCTTCAATATTTTTTGCGGAGGGGTAGCCAGGGTTCCTTTTGTTTTGCTATCCTCAGGTAGGCTTAGACCCGGGAGTTGCCGTTTTGAGGAAATCAACCACCCCTCAATTAAAGATTCGACTTTGGGGGGTAGTCAAAAAAAGTGGAACCCTGCCAACCGCAGCCAAGACAAACGAGCGACCATAGGTGTCCTTTTTGGTTGGTGGTTCAATCAACTACTAGGTCCCCAGTAGTGCCCTTTTACGAACCTTTTTTTGGGGGAGGGTTCCCCTACAAAACTAGACTCCAGAAAAAAGTTGGTACCAACTTATTCTAAGCTCTCTACTGGAGGACCTAGACTCCCAAGGCAATCCATCTATTTTCCCCAAAAAGGACCCCTATGCAAGCGAGATGGATCCCGCCTTGGGGATGATCCCGGCTACCCTTAGGTGGTTTGGATTGATGGTTTGGATTTGGATTTGAACCCCTTCTTCTCGAGGGTTCCGAGCCAATTCCCTGCCCGCAACCAAGAAACCCGCCGACGGGATGGATCGAAATCCTACTGTGGATGGACGAAATCCATTTCGCACCGCCTGGGAAACCCTAGAATGATATGACCCCCAATAAATACCAACAAACCCTGGTTTCAACCCTGGCTTCTTAGGTGGTGCGAAACAGGTCCGGATTTCGCCCTCCACTGAAACCGAGCCGACGGATGGACCGACCGCAAGCGACGGACTCGACAGGACTCGGAGGACGAGGAGATCTCCGCGCGCTTCGCCAACGTCTTGGTGGGCCTCCCCCATGGCCTCATCCACCTGACCGGGGCGCGGAGCTTAGGTTTTGCCGCACCGGGTGCGGAAAAATGGGAAATGGATAAGTCGAAGGCAGGCCGTAAATTGGGCCGGGTGTGGTGGGCAGGTTTTTGAGGGCTGGTTTTTGAGGGGTGGGTTTGGTGGGCTGGCTTTTTGTGGGCTGGTTGCGGTGGTTACCACTGTTCCCCGTGTTTTTCAAGGAGCGGCGCCTCTTTTTTACCGGCCCCCTGAATCGGCTGGGCTTTGTGGGCTGGCTTTTTGTGGGCTGGTTGCTGTGGTTGTTGAGTTGCAGTTCCCTTGGTTTTTCAACTGTAGTTATTTTTTTTGCTTAGCAAGAATAACTGGTAAGCCTTCATTGGTTTGGATTGGCTTGTGGTTGTTGGTCCGTTTGTAGTCATGACCCTTGTTATTATTTGAATTTGAAGTAACCCTGGCAAACCCTCGCTTCCTGAGTTCTTGGATTTTGTGTTTTGGGGGGGTTGGACAATTCTAGTGGAGAACCCAAAGTGTGGTTACAATTTTGGGGCATCTACTCAGGAAGTGTTGGTGGTTTGGATTGGTTTGGGATTTGAACCCCTGGCTCTCGAAGGGAAAGCCAACCCTCAACCTCCGAAAACCATTCCAAACCACCACGTGGGGAGCTCAATGGTATCTGTTTTTTGGGCCCCTTCAAATCTGGTTGCATTGTGAGTGGTTATATAACCGATTGAACAAATATGGTCTATTTCGAGGTGTTTTGATTATTGAACCGCACATTTCAGGATGATTTTGACGATGGTATGCCTTATGGACCACAGGTTACCACTGGCTCCCAAGAGGCTGCATTTTGAGGGGTTCGTTGGGCTCTGTTCAATGGATTCCGTTCTCTAAACATCGTTGGGTTTTGTGGGTTCGGGACCCGAAATGATCAACTCTTGAACAGCGCTCACTTGGCAACTGGCCCGTCATTCTCTCCCATTCTATGGAGGTGTTTTCCCATCATGGCCATCCCAGATCGTCTGAAACGAAGGACCCCTGAACAGACTGGAATTGGCTGGGATATGCGCACCGTTGCTGGCAACAACCTTAGATTTGTTATGCAGATTGCAACTGCTGAGCTGGAAGTGGTGATTTGGCTGGAAGTTGGGCTGCCCTGAACTCAAGGGGCGGTTCACCGCGCCTTTTCCTAAGCCACCATTCAGGGCAGGCTGCCCTGTCGCCTTGGGCAACTTGGGGACGATAGAGCCTGCGCCCTCCAGGGACTTGCGAGAGGGCAGAAACCGGCAGAATCGAGTCGCAGGAAATGCGATTCCAAGCCCAGCGGCAAATTTGTTTTTTGCCGCTCGCGTGGTGGAAAAAAGAAAGACCGATCCTGGTGGTCAGGATGGAAATCCCATGAACTCCCACAGCTCCCTCCCTCCCCGCCTGAAATCTGTTTTTTGGCATCACTTTGCCAGGATTACCCCTGCACCAACTACAGCAGTCTGGCGATGCCGGTCCACCTGGCCGCTCGGCTTCTGAACGCTCCCCTCGAAAAGCGTGGAGCCCGGAAGCGGGCGGATTCCCATCCCTCTACAAGCCGTGCTGCTGCGATGGGCACCTGAAGTCTCGAGCCGAAACAAACCATGGGTCCATGACCCCTTTATTTTGGGTAATGCCCCCCTTGAAAAGGGTCATGGAGATTTAGCCTCTCAACGACCCGGATCCTAAAGGGGGTTTGAAGGATGTATCCTTCCGGAACCTTTGGAGGACACCACAAGACAAAATGGTTTTAAATGCTTTCCTGGTCCCCCGTTTGTAAGCGTGATTCATTGTTCTGGGCTCAGGTTTCTGGAACCTTTGAGTGAAAGGATCGAATGCAACGTTGCCTTCTTCGATTTGGCTCCCAAACTGCTTTCAACTAGCAACGCCACTAGGTTACAACGTCACCGAAGGTTCCTTGCATCCAGTTCCCTCATGTTCAGTCTGCGAATGATTCTATTCTTGACATTGGGAACAAATTGGCCGAAGTTCCCTCGCCATCCGTTGCAAAAGGTGGCCAAACCCTGGCAATGGACCATTGGATTGTTTCATCAGAGGCCTGGCCCAGAAGCCTCTCAGAGCTCTTCCCGTGGGATCCGTTTCCTGGCGATCCCTGAGATCGGACGGAGGCACCTCGGTTCCCTTAGGTTCTCCTCCGGCCAAAAGGGGGCTCAGAGTACAGGCAGGTAGTCAGAATTGGTGTCCTTTTTTTGGTTGTTTTGGTCGGAAAATCGATGGCGGTTCCTGGTTTACCTGGTGGTTTCATCGTCTACCAGGAAAATCCATCTATTTCCCCGAAAAGGACACCTATGCTCAAGTACTTCTACCATTTCTTGCAAATTGGGCTGAAGAACCTTCCAAGGTTTAACTGAAGCCACTCTTCCAACTCCTCTTGGGCAAGCCCAGGAAATAGCCTTCTCTTTGCTTAAGCATATGGTGCCAGAATATGTGGTCGATGGCGACTGAAGCCAAAGTTTCACCCAGCTGAAGCCACCTAGGGTCAACCACAAGCCACACTGAGCGAAGGGATTTTGGTGTGTTCTAATCTTTGGCGCTAGCATTGAGATGTCTTGGGGGTTGGCGCGGCCTTTCTGCGAATCTCCTTTCGAACATCCCCCATGTATGGAGCTGCGGATACCCTTTTACCCCTTCGCATACCTTTGCCCTGGACAAGGGAAGCCATGTATATATATATATATATCTATATGTGGAGTTGTTTTTTTAGCGACCCCAGCTTCAGCTTCCCTCTAGCTGATGTTTTGGAGGAACGGGGGTGTTGACCAAGGGCTTCAAATCCCCAAACCCTCAATTCAAACAACCAATGAGGAGTTCCCTGAATGAATTGCCACGCATTTTGCCAGCGATTTTCGAGGTCTTCCTGATCGTGGGCATGTGCTGCACAGGCGCTCGGGGGGAAAAATCGGGTTCGTTTCGCCCGAGTCGCGCCAGGGCCTCAAGGGTTCAAGATCCGGGACCCGGAGGCTACCATCTTTTCCGGTAGGCCGAATATGGATCACTATGGCCCCCCAGTAGTGCCCTTTACATGTTTTTTTTGGGGAGGGTTCCCCTACTAAAATAGACCACGCAAAAAAAAGGGTACCCTTATTCGGATCTATGATATCATGACAATTTGTGTGTTTCTTCGGTGTTTTTTTTTGGGGGGTAGACTTCCACAAATTGGTTGTCGACTTAAGGCCAGGCTGAGACTCGGACAACAATCAGGTACTGCTGGGGCTTTCCCTGCCCCATGGGTTACGGAGACCAAGCTCTGTTCCTTGCCGTCAGGTGACGTCTCCCTGATTTTTGCTTCTGATTGAAGTTGAAGTAACCCTGACAAACCGTTTCTCACTTCCTGAGTTCATGGACTTGTCATATTTAGGTTTCGACTATTTTAGTGGCAGAAAGTTTGGTTTTCTTTTTGGACCATCCAGTCACAACAACGATTTTTTTGGCTTGCTTTTGTTTTCAGGGTACCCTTTCGGTTGGTTTTTCAAGTGAAGCCACAAGGAACCTCGCCAATTTGGGGGGAAGCTCCCCAGTTTGACACGTAGTGTGGATGGACGAAATCCTCCACCACGTTGAAACCATGGAAAACCATTGTTTGTGGGTATTTACAGGGGAATATGTTAATCATCTCTCAAAGGTTTGTTAGGTGCGAAATGGATTTCGTCCATCCACAGCTTGCCCTGTACTGTGGACTTATGTGCAAGGGGAAACCATTGACCCTTCCAATCCGTCAAACACATGTTCGCATATTGGGTTCATATAGTCGGCCTTTGACTTTGTGTGATTTGTGTATTTGCTTTATTTTCTTCGGTTGGCCAAATCTGTTTGAAAGCTGCCTTTTCGCTATCAATGGTTTTCCCCTGCAAATAGAGTCAAAGGGACATACTGTTTGGATGGACGAAATCGAGCATAGACCGTGAACAACTTTTGCATATACATATATATATATATATGTATATGTGTGTGTATGTGTTGTTTCTTACGATCTAACTGTGTCCTCAAAACAAAACACGACCAGAGAAAGTTCCTAAACGTCGGGCTCGGCGCCTTTCAGGCACCTTCACGGGGATCTTTGCCGGGGGCTTTGTGGAGTACCTCGGGGCGGAGAGAGAAACTCGGCCACGGTGTGTGTATATTTATATGTATGTGTACCCCCCTGAAATGAATATATATATATATATATACATTTGTATATAAATGTATATATATATGTATGTATGTATGTATACGTATATATGCAGACCCCTGTAGAAAGACTACTTTCCTCTTGGAAAGTGCCTTTTTGCAATTCCATGTTAGTTGGTGGGAGGGTATATAGATGTATGTGTGTATGTATATATGTATGTACATAGTGAAGTTTTTTGTTGGGGGGCGGAATCAATTTCACCACTGGACACATTTTCTTATGTTTGCTACTTCACGTGTTGGTTTTAAAGGGAATCAATTTCACTACTAGACCTAGACGTCTCAGTTTTGCTAGGGGGCTTAAGCACATGGTCATATATTTGGACTAGTTGGTGGTTGGAAGGGAGCCAAGGAGCTGGGGGTACCCAAGTCTGTTGTATTTAAGGAGGGCTAAGGAGCTACCAGGGGTTCTGTAAGGACCTGGTAGTTTTGACCAGTTGACCTTTGGCTCGTTTCCGTGGAGTGTCTTAGAATAGGGGACCTGCCCCCAACATGGGAGGGGTTCCCTCTAGTTTCACCTTCAATCCCCAAGCAAGAGGTTTGCGCCATGTTAAGATGATTCACACACACCCCCTTCCCCCCGTTTTGTTTTTTTTTGTGTGTGTAATTTGGTCTGTTTTGTTTTCGGGCTGTTGTTTCTCTTTTTTTGGGTGTCGCGGCCCTCCAAGGAGGTCCTTTGAGATCCTGGAATGCTTGATCACTGGGGTCACCGTGTCAACAAAGTCAAGGGGCAGTTGTTGGCCAATTTATTGGGTGAGTTGCCCCAAACAGCGCAGCTTTGGTTTGGCCGCGTTTTTGCATTTTGTTGTCCATTTAATGCTCTTGGGCATCAAAGGTGATCACCTTGTGTTTTTCAGTGCTTTTTTGGATGTTCAAGCCAAATTAATTGGGTAAGTAGGCTGGCTATAACTATGTCTTTTAATTGGGGTAGCTCGGGTTGCTTCCCCCCACTGCGGGCAAGGACCACCCAAGAATACTATAGTTCATGGTTGTGCTATGTATGTGCACGAGAAACAGTTTCAATAGAAAGATGACTGCTGATTTGGAAAGCACCTCAATGCGGCCAAGGCGCCTGCATAGAATAGAACACTGCTATGCTGCATATGTGTCAAAATACGGGGACCCCAAACGGGTGTGTCGTTTTTAGGGGACCCCCCACAATGGTGGTTTTCCTGTTGTGAGACCCAGGATTAATAAACCCGTCGCATTATTAGGGGGGTGTTCCCTCCAAAAGTGATGAATCCCCACGAAAAGGGGACACCCTCTTTTTTCAACCAGGGGTTTATTAATCCGGGGTTAACATTACTCTCCTAAAGACCTCCATTTGTTCAAGACTATTTTTTATTTTCCCCTGTTGGTTTTAAAAGGAGTCGATTTCACTACTGGACATAGTTTTCCTAATTTTTCCAGGGGGCGAAAACGCAAAGGGAAGAAAACGCACCTTGCGCAAAAAAGGGTACCAGGAGTCTCCGTGACGCTTAAAAAATAGGGTCACGGACCCATTTTTATTTCGCGTCATGGAGACTCTAAGTACCCTCAAGACAAGCCACGCACCTACACGCATCGAGGACATGGAGCGGCAGCAGGCCAAAGAGACGCGGCTGCAGGTCATGGTCACCGCGGTTCCTCGGCGCGAAAATCGGGCGAGATCAAAATCGACGCGGGGAGGTTCTGGGCGGTGAACGGCTGTGCCAGGTTTCCAAAACTAATGTGAGCCCAGGATTGCTAAACTCCCATTATTACAAAAAAGAGATGTCCAACTGGTTTTTTTAGTGGGGGTTCAGACCACTTTTGGAGGGGCCGCCACCCCCATGTTTGATAAGCATGGGTTTATTAATCTCCCCCCCAAAATGATGGTTTTGTTTTTGTTTACAGTTCCTTTATGAACTGTGCTCTAGAACACGGTTTGCATGCGCTTCTTGTGGATTCCCCTGGCAGGTTCTGTTATGATACTCTTGTGGTTCTACAGGTTGGTTCCGCAGATTCCACATCCAAACCCTCTCGGGCGACCTTCCCAATCTTTCCATAAAACCCCCGAAAGCCCGGGAAAACTGCGGGTTTTGGAAAGAAGGACGGTGGAATTGCCTGCTTTGGTGGTGGAAGGGTGGTTCAGATTCCTTTAAAGCTATTCTCACATTTGGAGGCTCCTGGGATGGTTGAAAACCATGGATCCCCCTAGAAAACCCCATAGGTGTCCTTTTTGGTTGGTTTGCTCAAAAAAAAGGCCTTGGTTTAGATGGGGTTTATGCCCCATTTACCAGGGACACCCATCTATTTTTCCAAAAGGCCACATGAAAAAACCCCGTTTTCTAGTGCCCCCGCCCCCGTCCAAGCCGCTCACCCGAGACCCGAAGAGACCCAAAGAGACGGCGAGACGCGACGCTCCCAGGTCTCGGTGCTCCAGCGGCGGTTCCGGGTGCGGCGCCAGCGGTTGCTGGCGCCGGTGGCGCAGGAGACCTTGGTCTACAGCAAGGCGAGCTGCGAGCACCGAGCTGGGGAACTCATCGCGGGAAACGGTGGCCGTGGGATGGATTGGCTAGGTCTTCCAGCTAGGTGCCCGTTTTCCAACTTTTCTGGGGGAGGGTTCCCCTACTAAAATAGACTACAGTAAAAAGGGTACCCTTATTCTACCCTCTCTCTACTGGAGGACCTAGTTGAGTTTCTCCAGGTTTCATGGTGGGTTGCTCCAGGTTTCATGGACCCTCAATTTTGGTTGGCAGTTTTTGTCTTGGGAATCGAAAGGGAAATTCGTCGATGTTACAGGGGTCGCTGGAGTACCCAGGATCGAAAGCTGATCAATTCACTCGTGGTTTCCATTGTCCAACGGTCGCAACTTTTGGAGGGTTCCAGAAAGGCAAATGGAGGAAACCCTGACCGAGGGGTTGAGGTTTGTTCAGCTAAGAACCCCAAAAAACCTCATCACCAACGTCACCATGCCACCAGATCACCAGGCCAGCAATAGGTTCTGCTAAACAGAAGGTCAGGCAGGAAAACCTCTACCCCGACAGGAGGAGAAACGCATGAAGTGGGACCGACGGGCAGGACCTTTCGTTGGTGCTGCTATCATTTGTTGTCCGGCGTTGGACGCATCCCACCTAAATTGGAGTGCCCAGTAGTGAAATCGTTTCCCTTTAAAACCCATATTTCCACGTTTTTGTGGGCTTCATCGAACTGCCAGGTGAGTTTTGTTCTGCTTGTTTCTGCGGCAACCGTTTGAACGTCTGAAAGCCTTGCCAGGTGACGATCGCCAAGGCAGCGACGCGACTCTGTGCTGCAAATTTCAGGGCCACAGAGGCATAGAATGACAAGTAGATTCTCAGGCGCTTCACTTCTTTAGTTTGGGATACAGTAATCTGTTTTTTTTTGGTATGTGAACTCCACAAATTGTATTGTCCTTTTGGCCTTCTGTTAAGATCCACGGAAAAGAGGTCCCCTCCAAAAAGAAGACACACCCATTTGCACCGCATGCAGCACAACTTCCCAACCTGGCACGTGCCGGCTTGGAGGCTGAACTAGTTCAGAGTTCTTTGTTTGCAACTGGTCAGGAGCAGGTGTTAGGCTTAGCACCAGGACTAAGATCTACCTGGACCCTGTTTCCCCCAACCCACCACCACCCCACCCTTCAACTCACGAGCTGCCACGGAAAACCAAGCGGCTCGAAAACGCGAAGGACTGGGGAGCACGAGCGGGCCATCCCATGTATCAGGCAACCCTTCATTGGTGGTTTGCATTGTTTGGGGATTTGAACCCTGTGGTCCTTGTAGAAACCAACCGGGAAACCACGCCCCCAACCACCAAACCACCAAACCACCAATCCAAACGACCAATTAGAAGAGCTGAATCTAGCTCATTCCTTGCCATCTTGTTTTTTTCCCCCCCTCTCCGCGCCCCGAGGAATCCTGAAGCGGCAGACCTCCTTGGGCCGGGTCTTCATGGGGTTAGCACAGGCCGCCTTGGTGGTGAACATCATGAACACCATGCGGCTCGGCCCTTCATTTCTTCCGCTTGCTTAAGAATATGTTCTAGTTTTCTCCTGTCGGTTTCAGAGGGAACTTATCACTACTGGACATATGTTCTTCAACAAATGTCCAGGGGTCTTAACCAAATGAGAGATTTGGCCCCTGGTTACTGCCTTTTCCACGGCTTATGGAAATCATAAGCTGCGCCTGTGGTAGTGTAAAAACCAACAAGCAACAAAGAGGCAACGCAAACAAACAAACAATCAAGCAAATAACTAATCAATTCACAAAACCAACAAACCAACAAACCAGCAAACCCCTAGCCCCCTTAACAGCATGCAGTTTGCGCATGTACAGCATCCCTATTTTTACGTTTGTTAGGATCATAGTTTTGGTTCTTTCCAGGTTCGGGCAGAGCAGCCCCCAGATTCCCGACTTCTTGGCCCGGCTGTGGCGGATTTTCCCCTTAGTGTGTTTCTGGGGGAGCCCTGCAACATCCCAGTTGCTCAGTGGAAAACGCTCCCCCATTTTCTAGCTTACTGGGCGCTTGCTTGTGCCAGCGTCACGGCTCGGATCTAGGGACTCAGTCGTTTTCGTTGTTCAACGCCAAAATTTGCCTTTTGGGTTTGCTTTGCTTCGTCATCGCTTCTATCCCGCGAAAAAGCTCACTTTTGCAAGAGGCTGGATGCGTTCTTGACAAACAACAGGTCTTTCCCGCGCGTTGTTTGTTGTGTTTTCGGCGAGTGGCTGGATTTAGAACGCGGAAGCTACCCCTCGCTTTGTAGATGCCAACAAGCTGAAGAGGTGGTCAACATGTTTGGTAGTTTCTTGTTGGTTCCCAGCCTTCCGGTTCCTTAGGTTTCTTGTTTGTTAGTTGGTTTAGTGTTTTTGTCCATTCAACTGGGGATCAGAAGACGGACAGTGAATTTGCCACCGAAGCCAGGAGGCCGATCCAACTCTCCCATGTTGTATCTCATGTATTTCTCACAATTGGGTTTGGACATGTCATGCAGGTGGGATTCCTGTTGAATGTTGGGGTTTCAGACCTCATTGCCAGGGCCTAACCTTTTTGCTCTTTGGATTTGTGGGTTCCTTTGTTTTCCTTCTTTGCCAAGCAAAGGTTGCGGATCCGTTTGGCCAAGTCATGTACAGCCCCTATTATTAACTTGACTATTAGTCGGATCTGGTGACCATTGCGCATGTGAATCTAATGTATGACGTCGCCATTGTGCCATCCATGAAGGTTTCTTTCATATATAGGGATCGCTCGCTCCTTTTCCCGGTTGGCAAATTGCACTAATCTGCCCAGGATATGTGTAATGGAAGCCGGGGGGGTGCCATTCCTAAAAGTGATTCGGATCACATGTTACATGTGGATGTGCCTCCCAACTTAGTGGTTTTCCTTTTGGTTTCGCTTAACAAAAAAACAGAAACACATGCGGTACCCTTCCTCCCACTAGCATGGGAACTGTCGGAGGGTACCTTGCTCTTAGAAGGACCGGGCGCCTATCATGTGCAATGGCAACGCTCGAGGTAACGCAGGAGACAGAGTACCCTCAAAGAGAGACACACCCTAAGACTCAGTTGCCCAAAGCCGACCTTTTCACTGTTTGGTTTTCCAAGGTTTGTCTATTTTTAGTTATTGCACCAAAAGGTCAACCTTTGTATTTCTGGGTGTTTTGGGCAATAGAGGGGGTCCCTCTTAAAACCAGACAACAAATGGGGTACCCCTAAGAGAGACACACCCAAATAGGTTCCCTTCCTGGTTTTCCTTTTGGTTTCCTCCAAAGGCACAAAGACATGAGGTTTTTTCTTTAAGAGACACAGCCAAATCGGTTCCGAGCTCGGGTCTTCTCGCTGAGGCTGGAGTCCATCCCCGAGATCGAGAACTTGGGCCCGCAGGCGCAATCCAGCCTCATGCTAGTAGAGGTGGCGCCTCGGCCCCGGCGAGCGGCGATGGCGAGTCCTAAATGCCCTGCTGGGTTTTTTGGTTGGTTTTGGGTTTAGTTTGGGCCCTGGGAGGGGGGGGGACTAAGCCCTGAAGGCCTTATTTGGGCTCCCTCCCCCCCTCTCCCCAGGCCTGTGATTTTGGTAGTTCTTTCTGTGAGGGTACCCCTGAACCCCCCCCTACAAAGTAAGACCAAGTTAAGAGGGAAATGAAAAGCATCCGGTAGGCCCCCAGATTCGCTGCTTTGGAATGAACTTGGGATTTGAAGCCCTGGGTTCTTGTAGAGGTTAAACGGGAAGGTGACCTGAACCACTAAGCCACCAAACAACCAATTGCGGGGAGGCTGATGTGCGTTTCTTCGTTGTTCTTGGCATGTTTTTTGGTTTATTAGTTGTTTGGTTCTGTTCATTTTTACTGGGGGTCTGCAAAAGACAAAGTTTTTTGCTACCATACCAAGAGTAGAGATGGTTTTATTTTTATTTTTGGTTTTGCTTTATGGTGTTGGCAAGGGAACGAAAGTCGGCTGTCCAAAGCTGAGCGTTTAATCTGCTGGTGTTCTGTTTGGTTCATCGGGGGCTTTCCTCGCCGTGTATGCCTTACCTTTGTGACCATTGCGTTTTGGTTGTTATACAGTATGAGACACACCCCATGTTCGTCTAGAAAGCGTTTGGATTTGCGCTGATTGTGGACTTTAACTGTTAATCCCGCTGTAGGTTCTTTTTTAGTACTCTTTGAGTTCTCCTTTAATCTCCTACAGGTTGGCGGATCCACACAACCGCATCCAAAGAGTTCTTTTTCTGAAAATTGTTTGCGCTGAGATCACCGGGGCCATCTTCACCATCGAGTTCCTCTTCCACCTCATGGCAAATCCGGGAGGTGTGGAGGGCGTTTTCGAGCGAGTCCTCGACCCTGCCTGAAAAATGATTGTAGTTGATCACTCGGGGTTCATCCAACCACTTTGTGATACTTTTGGGAATCTCCCCCTTTATTTGGGGGCTTAGTCTTTTAGAAGCCCTTTTGTATCCCAGAAGTGGATTCCATTTCCCACAGCCCTGCTGCCAATTTACGGCGAGCTTAGTGGGGGCAAGGTCCTTTGCTTGGAACTCACTCCCTGAATTCCGTTTCGGACTTCAACCTTTGTTTGGAAGACCAGTGCAGTGGTAAACACAAGTTTTTTTTGTTTTTGCCTGTCCACTCTACAAGGGCTCCATGGTCATCAGGTTTCCTTTGGCTTCTTTTGATCTCCAGTTCCTTTGGCTTCACTTGGGATGGATTTAGGGCCTCATGGCTAGCGCCTTCTGATGTCCTTGGGGGAGGAGATCATGTGACTGTGCTCTTTGGCGCATTTTGCCCAGGGCTGTTAGGACTCTAACTTTTTGCCAACCAATGGGTGTTCCATTAAACCACTAAAAGTTAAACTTTTAGCAGGGGAGCAGAAAGCAACCGAGCTGTCAGCTGCTGGTGTCCAAATTCTTGTGGCAAGTTCAGTTCTTCTCTCGCGCCGCCTTGGGGTGACAAACGGGGCGCTCAAGTCGCAAATTTCAAGTTAATTCTTCCAATTGGAGGGAGCGTGGTGCCTCCCCGCGAAATGCAGCTAGTTCTGCGTGTTTCAGTGGTTTCCGGGGCGGTCGTGGTTTTAAGGCGCTTGCTCATGGTGACGTCAAATGTTTGATGAGGCGGGCTTTTGAGGCGTTTACTCTGCCTCGACGTCACAGGGCAACTAATTGCTCTTGTTCCGTTCAGAATGTGACTGTTCAACTCGACAGGTGCTCGGAGCGTGTGACTGGGGAGTATTGCAATTTGCCCAACACGTTTCAATCTTCACTTGTTTTCAAATACTTGCACTAATTAAGCCAGCTGGGTTGTTTCTTGGCTATCCCTAAGCGTATCACTGGCCACGCTGTGACGGTGACTCAGTGACGGCAGGTGTTTTCACCACGCCAATGCGGATGATCGACTTTGTATGCTTGATACCGACCATCATGAAGTGACTTGTCACATGATGATAGGGTGAAATCAAGGAAGAAAGCATCAACCATGCACTGTTGCTCAGCAATGCTTTCTAACACTTTGCAAGGGCTAGTAAGCCTTAGTAAGCTTGAGTAAGCCTTAGTAAGCCTTAGTGAGTGCATTTGAGCAAGATTGTTGCTTGAACCCACTAGCGAGCTCAGCAGACTTTGCCGCAGCGATATTGGACAAAACACCGTGATTTGGTCAATTTGACGCCTCCCCCCCTGACCCCTCCCCCTTAACAAGCTATCGCATGAGCAATGATCAATCTTCCTCACTTCAGTTCCCGGACTTTCAGGTAACCCTAATTGGTGGTTTGGATTGGTGGTTTGGAGATTTGAACCTCTGGCTTTTGTAGACGGTAGATGGGGAGCCCCTCCTTCACCACCAACCCACCAATCCAAACCTTCAGTTAGAGGGAAGTTGTGACTCTGTAGTTGTTCGAAAATCCATTTGCGCGGCAAGTATGAATTTGGACTTTGTTTGGCCAATCCAGGAAGTGAATTTCACTAGCATTGTCTGTAGGGGTAACATGGGCCCCTATTGGGCATAGCACCGTGCCATTTCTGCCCATCAGGGCGGGGCAAATTTGTGAAATCCATCGGTTGTCTTCACAACGCAGCAGTCATATGGGATCGAGAACATCTAGTGACTTCTGTCCGTGACCTGTGCCAAATGATCTGCTTACTTGGGGTATGGCCTAAGGGATGGTTATGGAACCCTTAGTAGGGAATGTAGAAAAAAAACAGTGTAAGGATCTTATTGAGGCAACCATATTGAGAAAAAAAAACATGGCCATTAGCCAATTACGTTTTTTTTTTTTTTTTTTTCTGTTTGTTTTTGTTTATTTGTTTTTAACCATGGCATGGAACTTGTAGGGAATTTGGCTTTTTCTGGCCAAGGGGAAGCGATGGGTCTCATGTCGAGAGGGTGGGCCTTCTGTTCTCTGTAGGGATCTCATTCATTTCTGCCTGCGGCTCAGTTGCACCAATGATTTTCCCTTTTTCGTTTGGCGAACCCACTAAACATGGTCGAGTCAACCGCAAAAAGAGTTCCGTCTTCACACCTGAGTCACTGAAGGGAAGGTGGTCGTTTTTGAACGCGTGTTTTGGCTCGTTTTTGAACGCGTGTTTTGGCTCGTTTTTGAACGCGGTTTTGCTCAAGTGTATGTGATTTACAGCAGCACGGCCATTTTTTCCAAGTGTCCATGCACACCACGATGAGGCGCACGAACACGCACCACGATGCATGTGTAGCACAGGGATGGCGCCGTGGTTTTGGGAGACAATCGTGAACTGTAGACCCGGGAAAGCAAAGCACAAGGAACGCAAAGCGACATCATCATCATCATCATCATCATCATCATCATCATCATCATCATCACCATCACCATCACCATCACCATCACCATCACCATCAACATCAACATCAACATCAACATCAACATCGTCATCATGACTACCAACAACATCACCATCATCAACATCAACACCAACATCATCATCACCATCATCAACATCACCACCAACATCTTCATCATCACCATCATCATCAAACATCATCACCATCATCATCATCATCATGAACAACATCATCACCATTATCAACATCAACGTCGACATCACCATAATCATCGACATCGTCAAAGTCATCGCCATCGACATCCTCATCACCATCATCATCAATATCATCACCGTCATCATCATCATCATCAACAACATCGTCAACATCATCATCATCATCATCATCATCATCATGGCCAGCATCATCAACATCGTCATCATCACTACCAACAACACCATCACCACCAGCGCGCAGTCGCACGGTCACGCAGTAAGAGGCGAACGTAACTGCCCCGCCCCATCCCCCTCAGCCCCAGGACGCAGTCGCACGGTCACGCAGCAAGAAGCTTTTAACTGCCCCACCCCCCCCCCCCCCCAGCCCCAATACGCAGTTGCGCCGCCACGCAGTAAGCGGCGATCGCAATTCCAGGCGGCTCCGATTCGCAAGTTACTTAGGCCGTATGAGCTAAGGATCTTCTTTGTGTCGCGAGGACAAGATAACTCAGAGCTTGAAATTTCACGAGTTTTCCCGGCTTTTTCACGGAGTAGTAACGGCCTTTCAGTTTCCCGCGTGAGTTATTACGGCCGTTAGGCCGCGTTTTCACGGCTTTACGGGGGCCAACGGGCGCAAGTCGCCGAGGACATCTTAGCTCAGAAAGCCAAGGTAACTTGGGACTCGGAGCCTCCTGGTTGCCCCCTTCCCCCAGCCCCAGGGCGCAGTTGCACAGGCACGCAGTAAGAGGCTAACGTAACTGCCCCACCCCACCCCCACCCCCACCCCAGGACGCAGTGGCACGGTCACGCAGTAAGAGGCGAACGTAACTGCCCCACCCCACCCCCCACCCCACCCCACGGGTGCCGCAGGATAGCCCCCCCCATGTGTTCGAAAATGACCCACTTCGAAAATGATCCAGGACATCGGTGTTCGAAAATGATCCAAAATCGGTGTTCGAAAATGATCCCCCTCCCTCACTGAACAGGTCTAAGATGAAAGGGACACCAACATATTTGGGGGACCCGTGATCAAGTTTCTGCTTTGCTTCGGCTTAGGATTCGTTTCGAGCTGCAAAGCACGGCGGTGCAAAACGACAACCCAGGCGGGCGGCGGGGTTAGGGCACCGGCTCAAGTATACCTAGGTCCTTTTAGGACACATTTTCGGGCCATTTAGCAGTTAGCAAGCAATAAACACCAAGTATATAAATCATTATACCTATTGAAACGAACACACAAACAAACATACACAAAAAAAAGAAAGGGAAGCAAATAAACACATACACACAGCTCACAAAATCAATGAGGATCACCTTGTAGCAGTTGGATTTGGATGTATCCTCGAAGGAAACCATGATTTGTTTGCTTTGCTTCATAGATTCTGTTGCCCTCACTCCCACTTACATAGCACCTTGCAGGGGGCCCCTTCAAGAGGCCAGGTAGCCTCCCACCGGCCTCTCACAGGTGTTACCTTTGTGGGAAGTGTGGACCCGTGTGATTACACCCGCGGATTGCGGCCCCTCGGGAAATTGCTGGGCGTAGCGAGCGGAATACTGTGATTCCTTGGGCCCGCAATCGAAATTCCCGCGGACTTTTTGGCGCGAAGCCCAGTTGTTGAGAGGCAGCCATAGGTGTCCTTTTTGGGTTAGTTTTGTTAGACGTAGATGGCACTGATTTAGATTGGTATTGTTTGCTTCATGTTGGTGTGATTTTCGGAGGGTGCCCTTGTTAGATACTTGTTAAGAGCTATTGCCATTTTCAGGGTTGCAACCTGACCCTGCCCGCCTTGCAGAGGAGTTCATTCATGTGCACCTGTTCCTTTGTCAGCGCCTCACTCTGCGAATTCCTTTGTGGCAAGCCATTTCTGTCCATGAGCAAGTGGTTAGCAATGTTGATTACAATCCACTCAAGGCACTTGTGATCATAGGTGTAAATGGATGTTCGCCGTTCGTTCTCACCACATTAGTTCATTGACTGGACAGACAAAAGTATGGTCGTCACTCCTCCAAATAAGTACCTTGCCTCCAAGGCATGCCCAAGACAATTCGATGTCTGGCTTTTCTAACCCAACCGGAGGGGGCTGTAGCTATTCCTCTTGCAGTGCTCCAAGTATAAATTCCTTGAGGCATCAAGTCAAGAGAGACAGCCGGCAGTTCGTGGGGTCCGCCGCTCCTAACCTCCAAAAGTGAGAATGCCGTGGGGACCTGTAGGTGAGTTGCTAGGTTTTTTTTTTGGGGGCGCCTCCCGATCCCCCCAAAAATACGGCACCAGTTTGGACGGGTTTGGGGATTTGAACCTCTGGTTCTTGTAGAGAAGCCAAACACTTCTTACTTGCCCAGAGCGAATCGACCGGATCCCGTTTTAGTCCCAACCTAAAGGTAGGCCTTTGATTTCTGGGTCCTTTGGGCAATCCAACTAACCTAAAATCAGCAAAACATGAACGAAACTCACCCATAACAAACCAACCAAAATCAACAAACATAACCAACCAACCTTGCTGAGTCAAGACCCTGTGGACGCAACGGCAGAGCGAGAGAGAGAAACCCCAAAATCGGAACCCAAATCGACAGCAAGCAAGCAACATGCAAGCAAAATGCACCAACCAAACACCAACAACCCCTATTTCCCCCAAAAAACAACAACAGCCTTTTTGGCAAAAAGCAAATAACACAACAACCAAGCAACATAAGAACCACCCAGTTGTTGTTTTTCCCCCCTCGAACATGCCCGCCTGGACATTTCCAGGCATGGAGGCCTTCATCGAATCCGTGGCCGCCTGTCGGGTGATCCGGGTCTTGGGCTGGCCCGCCATCCGGCGCGCAGCTCGGAGCGGGAGGGCTGGCGGAAGCTGGAAGCTGGGAGGCGGAGGCGCAGCGGTGTCCAATGACTTCCATTGAAGCTGAAATGAAATGAATGAAATGAATGTTTTGTTTTTTGCTTTCCTGTTGTAATTGATGTCCTTCCATGTTTTTTCCTGTTGTAATTGATGTCCTTCCATTTGTTGAATTGAACATACGTCTTGTTTAGAAATAAAGGGTTTCCGACCCCCTTTACACCAACAAAACTATCCAACTGGTGGAAGGGCACTCCAAAAAGGGGCACTCCGTCGGCTCGCGGCCCGGCATGGCATCGGATGTTAGTCTTGGAATATGGCCGTGGCTCAAACAAATGTACCAAAATGGCACCTGGGGAAATGGGACCAAAGAAGCTGAAAGCTGCGTAACCACACCCATATGAGTACTGCGGATGGACGAAATCCGTTCGCACCAACTTTCAGAAACCATGAAGAGAACACTGTCTTACACTACTCTTGTCGCGATCAGGGAATGAGAAATGGTTTCAGACCCCCGAGACAAACCATCCAATTGCTGGTTTCCTTTATGGGGAACAAGGGAACATGTTTGTGGCTTATTTTTCCCTGTTGGTTTTAAACGGGAATTGGTTTCACTGCTGGCAATATATGATGTATTTTTCCCAGGGGGTAGCCTTCTCAGAACTAGCTGCCCTTTTTGGAGGTTTTGTTTTTTCCGGGTTCCTTTGTTTGGCACACATTTCTGCCCCACAGCCATGTGTTTGGGTTTTGGTGGCCAGTTTGTCAACACCACTGGTGTTGACGGCCAGCTTCACCTTTTTGAAGATCCAGGTGGCAAGCCCTGGGCCTCGCCTTTGCTTGGTGCTTCCCGGCCACGTTTTGGTTCCCCTCATGTTTGTTTTTTCAGAGTTCTTCGGTTGGTGGAGTGGCTTCTCTTCCATCGAGACGCTTACATAAATCTGGGAACCCGGAGGGTCCAAGTGCCAACCATACTTGAGGTCTTGGGTTTGGTTCAAGGGGATCTTCATCATTCACGTCTTCCTCAAAAATCCGCACAAGTTTGAGGTGCCTGGAGCCCCAAAATGGAAGAGCAACCCATCTTGGTCGCCAGCTTCACCGATTCGAAGATCACCTGTGAGTTTCCTTCTCGGGCTGCTCAAAGGCCTCCCTGGGGTCCCCGGACTTGATACTTGGAGAAGTTTGGACCAGCTTAGCGGGCGCCTCTTCTTCTTTTTTCTTTTTTTTGGTGGCAATCCACTCAAGTGAGTGGAGGGTACCGTTTTTTTTTTCGTGTTTTTTTTGGGGGGGGTTCTTCTAACGGAAACCAAGGTGGAGACCAACTATTTTGCCAGGAAGCCCAGTTCCTGAGTTTCGGGGTGCAGAGGCAGGCGTTCAACCCTTGGTTGGTGGTTTTTGGTGGTTTGGATTTGGATTGGACACCTCCAATAAGCGGGAAGCTGACGGACAAGCTCGCCCAAAGTCGTCCTTCAACCTTTTCGTTTCCCTGATTGGGTCGATTGTTGGCCCCAAAAGTTAGATGAAAGGTTAACCTTGGATTTGTGGGTTCTTTGGGCAGAGTTCAAGGGCACCGAGCCTCAAACACGAGCGTACATGTGGCTGTGGGTCGAAACCAATGGTACCATTTTTGGGTAGGCGCACCACCCATTTTAGTCTATTTTAGTCGGGATTGGGATGTTCACTGGGGGTACGGGATCGGCCATATGTTTGTTGCACTTCGAGGAAGTGAACGCGGTGAAGCTGACGATGAAGGCGGCGCTGCCCTCCTTGGCAATGCCCGCGGTGATTTCTCTGCAGCTCTGGGTGATCACCGCAGGCGGGGCCGATGGCCGATTTGGCGCGCAATGGGACGGACGGGTCTCGAAAAAGGCGCGGGAAAGATCTCTTGGCGAAGGGAAACTAGGTCGGTACCCGATTCTAACCTCTCTACTGGAGGACCTAGGAAAAGTAATATGCCAACCCTTTGTTCAGTGTGCTGGTCTTGGCTAGTTCCCAGCAAGTACAAGGTAATTGGATCTTTGCCTTTGGAATGGTCCCACATTGCAGTTCTCCAAAATGGATCAAGCTGTTCGGGCGGGTAATCGAATTGACTCGCTTGTTGAGGATGGACGGTCAAGAGTAGGGGCACCTGTTTGGACTGTGTGCGTGTCATGGCGTGCCGCCTGTCCGGGTATCCGAAAAGGCCTCTGCATGTTCACGACTCTTTTGGGTATGCTGCTTTTGAGTTATGTATGTTGCTTTTTGGTCATTTGCATGGTTTACGTCCACCAACCTTTCGGAATCTTGCGGGAGGGTATTGCCCATTTCGAATCTGCGTGCTGGGCACAGTAGCCTTGACTGCTATTGGGGTTGATAGTTCGGCTTTTAACTTTTTGGGAAATCTAGGGGTTTTCCACTAAACCGACAAAAATAGTACTTTTTGCAGAGGCAACAGACACCAAGTAGCCAACACTGTTTAATTTCCCCCAACAGTTCCACAAAAGGGGATTGATGTGCCCACTTTTTATTGAGCACATAGCCATTTGGGAAGGAAAAGCGGCCCGCACAACATGGCCAAAAGGTGGGGCCCCTGTGTTTCAACTCAAGATTGGTTTTTGGACCTCCGTTTTGCATAGGCTTCATGGACCCAAAAACAGGCTGGGAGTCAGGCCAACATCAAGGGCATGTTCAGGTACGACTTTTGGAGGTGTAGACGCTTATGTACCGCCCATGAAAGCTTGAAAGACAGTGGTGTAGGACCTCCATACCTCCAAGAACTGCATTTGGTTGATCAATATTCCTCGCCTCCAAATGAGCAAGGGTAGCTTCTCTTCACAGTTCTTGGTATCTTTGGTTTTGCGGTTCTGTTCATTTTTACTGGGCTGCAAAAAAACCGTCAGCTTTTTGCAAGCCCATACCAAGCGTAGAGATGTTTTTCCTTGGCGAGGCATCCTCGTGTGGCTGGAGAATATGTACACGGATCCAGATGGCGAAGTGGCCTCCGATGCGGACCGGTCCATGTAACCCATGTGGCGCGGATCGTGTTTGTTTTTTCTTCCTCCTGAGTTTCACAGGTCCCTTTTCCCTTTGTGGTGGTTTTAAACATCACCTTTTTGGTCCATGAAAGGTGAGTAGTCCTTGGTGGGGGGTGATGTTTTAAGGGGAAATATAGGGAGCCCTGTTCACACTTGGGTCTGTGTCAACATAGGGCACAACCAAAGTGGGTGAGTTCGGATTGGTTTCCCCCGTAACCACCCCCCCAAACGAGTGCCCTCAAAAATAACAATCCCACATTGAGGTCGCAGGGTGTGCGCAATTCGTGACAGCATCTCGCAGCCACTGGCTGTGTGCAGCCGCCAGGGTTTGCCTTTTGGGAGCCAACACACTTGGTTGGGGTTTGAAAATCTCTTGTTTTTAGGGTACCCGTTTTTTTTTTGTGTGTGTGTGCGTGTTTTTTAAGGGAAGCCAAAAGGAAAGCCGCCAATTTTGCCGGTCCCTAAAAAAAGACATTGGTTTGGCAGTTTTGAGAGCCCAGTTTGGCAAGGAGGTCTGGATGGCAGTGATATATACTCACTTTTACACGGGTGTCATTCCCTTGGTGCATTTTGCCAAGGGATGTTAGGACTTTAACTTGTTGCCAACTTTGAGGGGTTTTCCGTATGAAACCGCTGAGAGTTAGTCAAACTTTTAGCAGGGCTTCGCAGAAAAAATCGCAACCGAGGTTCAACGAAGCTTTTGTGCGCGAAGCTTTTGTGCGCCAGACATCCCCAAACGTTTGATTGGCGCCCAAGGGCCGTGGGTCATGCATCGCGAGAATGGATGCTCGAAACGGGGGTCTCTCTTTGTCCTCGGGTTCATCGCGCCGGTTTTGGTTGGGTTATGCGTTTTGATCGAAAGGCGTTGGATTGGCATTTGGGTTATGTGACGTTAGGAGGGATTTGGACCACCCAAAATGGCTTGAGGGTTGTCATGGCTGGCTTTTTAACCCCTTGAAACCAAAGTGCCATCACACAAAGTATTTCTTGATCAGCAGTGGCTGGTGCCAAGCAAAGCCTTGAGACTTTGAAACCATATTGAGCCCATGGGGCTGTCTGTGACTTGTTGTGCCTTTGAATACGTGCGTTTTTCCAGGGCATCCCTTGGAGTGGTTCCTTTTGCTTCTCCTTTGGACGCCCCGACGTAGTCAGTTCTGCCTGTGCGAGCTCACCTGAGGGTAAAACCAGCGAAGTACCATACAAGTCCAACTTGGGCCCAAGTCTTCTTTTCCGGTTTTGGAATATTTGTTCTGAGAAGAAACGCTGGTGGTTTTTTTTTCCAGACTGAACATGATATGAGACAAGCTTGCCACTTCGTCAAAGACACGCGCTTTCGACCTGGGACCCGCCCAGTTTGAAGGAGCACATGGGCTCGATCCCCGACGCGCTATACTGGTGCAGCATCTACTTGCTCGGCGAATGGGCCGCTGGGCAGAAGGTCTGGCTTTGGCGCACGTGCTTCCGGCCGTCTGTTTTTTGCCTTGTGGCGCGTTTTTGTAGCTGGTTGTTTGTTTGCCTCCATTTGCTTAAGAACATTTTGAATTTTCCCGTGTTTAAAGGGAATTCATCACTACTCAACATTTTGTTCCTGGGGCCTTAACCAAATGGAAGAATTTGGAAGGGCCCCGATTTTAGGTGTTCAAACTTCATCGACTCCCATGCCTTGTCCTTTGTTTTGCAGGCCTTCACTGTGCCCTTTGGCTCCTTGAGTGGGAGCCAACAGGGTTGATCTTTTTTTGTGTCGGGCCGCCGGAGCTTCTTGCGGTTCGTTTTTTTTGTTGTTGTTGAGTTCTTTTTCTTTTTTTTGTCTGTGCTCGTTTGTGATTGTCTTTCTTTGTTGAGGTTTCTCTCGTATGTTCGGAGCTCTATGGCGGCCTCTTTTGAAGCAGGTCTTCAAGTTGCTTGGGGCCTGGCGTCCCAACTCACAACGTCAGGGAGACCCCGTTTTGCATGGACTGGGGTCATTGCTTGGACTCGGGATTATCAAAGTCAGCAAATCTCCCATTTGTTTAAACATATTGTTTCCCCTGTTGGTTTTAAAGGGAATCGGGCACTACATGGACATATTTTGATTTTTCCAGAGGGCTTGAGCAAATGGAAGAAATGGGGGTGCGTCCCCTCAACCTACCACTTAGGGGGTGACTTTGACAATGATAAACAAGGGGGCCAGTTGGAGTTTCTGGCAAGGCCCCATGTTTTTCCGACGGTTCATGGCTGGATTGTATGCCGCGATGTTTTCTAAGATGGTCGGCAAAGTGGGTGTCATTTTTTGGAGGACTCCCCCGCAAAAAAAACAAATATGAAATAAATCAATACGATGGCTGCTTTCCTTTGAAACCACTTCTTCTTGTTCATGGTACCCATCACGAACTCTGCGTACTCAATGAACTCCTATCGGTATTCACAGCATTAAACATCTCATCCAACTCTTCCTCGTATAGATGTTTGTCATACACCTTGTCGAAACCTTCAAGAATCTCCTCCTCTTTGGTTAGTTTACCATCTCCATCCTCAATTGGTCAGAAGAAGTACCCTCAAAAAAAACGACACACCCAATGGAGAATCTGCCTTTGGAAATCTCTAGCTGCTTGCTTTTGCGCAAGTCAACTTGGGTGATGTGTCACATCAGCTTGTGTTTCCTGAATGTGAGCAATTGTACGTTTTGGAGCCGCTTTCTGCGATACCAAGGGGTCTTGCTGTGCAAGTGACACAGTAGTCACTCACTGCTTAGAGAGATGGCCCTCTGAGGGAACCCCTTGGTGGTGCTTTTGGATGTGTGCTTTGGGGGGTTCGATTTCTTGGGAACAACCCTGAGCCTCCAAGCCACCAACCTCCAAACCGCCCTCGAACGAGGGAAGCTGAACTTGATCGGCAGACCATGCGTGTGTTGTCAACCCGGTCATATTCTTCATGAACCTGTCCAGCGTTTTAGTCCTGCTGGTTTGTTCCAAGCCGAGCTTTGGGCCTTTCGGCGACTTCGGCCTCTGTCTTCCGAAAAGATTGACTCACTTCCTGAGTTCCTGGACTTTATACTTTTTGGGTTTGAACCATTTAAGTGGCACCCAAAGTTTAGAATTATGGTTTTGAAGCGATTTAGCCTAGCGTGTCCATGTCCTTAGCAAGGCCAATGACGAGTTCACCGACGGCGCCGGCAGCCGGATTTGCATCTTCTACTGCCTTTGTGGGGTGGCTTTGTTCTCCATCCCCGCTACTCGGCCGCGCATTGCGCGTCCGGATTCGTGGCATTTGCGCCATGTCCGTGTTGATTCAAACTGCGGATTCAATCTCTGCATCCAACGCCAGCCTGTTGACCTTCTGTTTTTCCCATGTTGGCCCTTGTTTAAGTAGTCAAGGTCCCAAAAGCCTTTCATTTCTGGGTCCTTCGGGCAACTTCTGCGTTATGGCGAGCTCACTGGTCCGGAAGTAAATTGCCGAGATGAATGTGTTGAGTCGCCGAATGTGGAGAACTGATACTAATAATATATTTATATATATACAGTATACATACACACATGTTGTGTTAGATCCCCCAGTAGTGCCCTTTACCCTTTTTTGGGGGAGGGTTCCCCTACTAAAATAGACTACAGAAAAAAGTTGGTACCCTTATTCTAACCTCTCTACTGGAGGACCTAGCTTTTATACATACAGTATACATACACACACATGTCGTGGTAATATGAGGGCGCTGGTGAGGTGCTGGTTTGCTGCTGTTGTTATCACCCCACGGGGATATTAGGCTTCGAGTTGAAGCAACAGAGAAGCGATTGTGCGGTCTGGTCTTGGTGCCTGGGTTGTGAGCTGTTTGCCCCTAAAATCTGAAGCAGGGTGGAACAGGAATCCGTTTGGAGAGGTCCGGGATTTGGAGAGGTCCGTGGTTTGGATGTGTCTGTCTTTTTCAGGCGACCCCCCCAAAATGATGGTTTTCTCCGTAGCGTCCCTTTAAATATCATAAAACAGGGTACCCTCAAGAAAAGACACCCCCCAATAGATGTTGGCCCGTGTCTTGCGACAAAGTTTTAGAGGATCCAAAATGCTCCCTGAACAACCCTCCCCCACATTTGTTCCCCCAAAATACGAAGCTAAATGGGAAACCACACAAACCACCTATTCAAATTATCAATTGGAGGGAAGCTGAGTGCTCTTGACCCTCAATCAACCAAACACCCTTTGGTTTTGTTTCTTCTTCGTCCTCAAATGTCACTGTCCTTTCTGAAGTGTTCCCTGTTTTCTTCATTTGTTTTTTGGGTGGGGACCCCCTCATGTTGTGCACTGGTCCTTGTTTTGTATCCAGAAAAGCGAGCGCTTGCGCGTGTTTCTCAAAATGGTGGCCCCCCTGGTGGATGACAATGGACACCCAGGAGCCATTGGGCCCGGCCACGATGTTGAGAACGATTCTGGAGAGATGTCGCGAGACATCCCCTTAGAGGGAGATATTTTGCGAACCCCCCGTGGAGACCAGGAGGAGAGAGAGAGAGAGAGAGAGAGGGAGGGAGGGAGGGAGGGAGGGAGGGAGGGAGGGAGAGAGAGAGAGAGAGAGAGTGAGTGTGTGTGGGCCCAGCATTTTGAGAACCTCTCTGGAGTCCTGGACTGAAAAAATATGTGGGCCCCAGTATTGTTGAGAACCCTCTTTGGATTCTCGTTTTTGCCTTTTGCGCTAGCGCGCACTGTCTGTTCGACGCGATTTATTGGGGGCGAGGGGGAAAGGAGGAGAAGGCAAAACCAAAAGCCAAACAAGTCGGCGTACCAACACCCGGGTAGATGAAGGTTAGTAAGGGACAATTGTAACTATAAATAGCTGCGGCCTTCTTCTTCATTCTTTACATGGTAGACCATCTTAATACCGGGTTTTGATTATGACTCACATGGTCTCTGGATTGGGATGACGGATCAGGTTGGCATCATGGTGGAGGCCGGCCAAGCGACCTTGGTGAAGATCGCCGACGCCCCTCGGCTCACGGCACTCGGATCCGAAGGCGGGTGCCGAGTTGTGGCATGGGCTTTGGGCGAGTCATTGGACAGGTGAAACAGGAGTCTTGGGGAAGCTGCCAAGTCCAGTCTTTCCAGGAAAACAAATCTTTTCAGAAAACTATTAAACATCAAAATAAAAACGAGGCTGGTTTTGGAAAAGAACGATCGTTGAACAGAATGGGGAAGCAGGCCCTAGGAAGATATGTCATTCCTTGTCTGGGCATTAAGGTGGTGATGACCTTACTACTCTAAGAAGGCATATCCTTTTCCCAACAGTTCTTGAGATTCCCTGGAATTGCCGCATTGGGAGAGTATCTGCATCGACTTATCGATTTCTGGATCTCTCGAGTATGTCGATGAGAGAGGGTTCCGTCATGTGACATGTGGTGAGTGCCATGTTAACGAGTTCTTTCCGCGATAAATCGTTTGATGTTCCAAGAGGCCAAACGCCCAAAGACCGCCAATGATTTTGGAGCGTCCAGACCGGCGTTCCGGCCTCCAAAAGGACCTGTTTTGGTGTCAGAGGTGCCAAAGGGGTTTCCGAGTGTGGAGCCATGTCCTTTGGGTAGGCTTCCAGCCATCCGGTTCCTTAGCTTTTTAGATCTTTTTAATGGGTTTAGTCGTTGGGTTTCCGAATTAAACCCACGCAAAGTTAGCCACGGTTCGCAGGGGATGAGAAAACGGACAGCCCAGAAAGCGAAACCAAAAGGAAAGCGGACGTTTCTCAAAATGGAGCCATTTTCTTTTGGTATGAAAAGGGGACCAAAGGAAGCCTTATTCTCTACAAATCAGGGAAACCAGGCGACCCACCCATTTGTTTGTTTTGTTTGTTGTTGTTCAGGGGGACCGAAAGGAAAGCCGAGCATTTCTCCACAACTCCGCCAATTCTTGTATCTTTAGACTTTCACTTTTTGGTTGACATTTCCAGTGGTTTTTCCCACTAAGCTAAACCCCCAGGTCAGGTCAACAGCAAAGAAGTCTCTAGCGGTTGAAATTTCAAGCCGGTTTTTCCCACCAAAGCCCCCGGTCAACAGCGACCAACTTTTTTCTCGAGCGCGTTGCGCACGGCGTCAGAGCCAAGGAGCGGAAGGAGCTGGCGGACCTCAAGGCGGCGGCCAAGGTCAAGCCCAAGGAGCTCAAGGCGAGCCGTCGAGCGAGAGTCGCGCGTCGCGCGTCGAGCGTCGAGGAGGTGGTTGAGCGCTTCTGGAGTGGTGGGCGAGGCGTTTCAGCTAGCTGCCCGTGTTCACCGATGCGTTTTTTGGGGGGAGTACCCACCTTTTGTGGGGATTACCCACTTTTTGGGGGGATTGCCCACTTTTTGAGGGGGATTACCCACTTTTGTTGGGGATTACCCATTTTTTGTGGGAGGGTTTCCCTTTCTGAACGGCCGCTTAGGAGGAGCTCCTGTGAGCCACTCCAAACCTAGGTCCCCCAGCCCGGTGCCGTTTTTAACCCAACTTGTTTTGGGGGAGGGTTCCCCTACTAAAACAGATTTCCTGAAACAAGTTGGTGCCAACTTGTTTTGAGCTCTCTACTGGAAGACCTAGTTGAGACATGAACCCCCCCCCGGCAATTCCCTCCAAGTGTCCAAAGGGTGCCATGGTTAAAAAAGATACAACATTGGTTCCCTGAATGCTGTGGGTGGTTGAAATCTCGAAAGCGCATCACCGTTCAGAAACCCTGGATGGATTGTCTTACCTCTTAAACACACAACTTTTCAACTTTTTGGGTAACATGGGCTATATGTCTGTAAAAGATTAACTTTCCCAGGGCTTGGAGTTTTAAGGGGTAAGTTGTGGAAATGCCAACGGACGTTATTGTTGAAACCATGGTGGCCTATGGGCCCATCCGTGGCTCGTCCTTTTTGAGCCGGTACCCTCCCGCCAATTGGAGCCTGACTGCAGTCTCGGCACTTCGATGGCCGCTCTGCCCCCTTGGCCGGGCGGGTAGGCGCCTTGAGAAATGAACAGCTGCCACTCCAAAGCCAATCAAGCTGTTGGCCCGTTTGGTTGGCGAAAGCGGTGTTGAGCGATTTGTTTAGAACTCTTCCAGGCGCTTCTTTCAACTTGGAACTACCGTCGAACTTTGACAGGTTGGTTCCTTGAGCATCAGAAGCGTCAGAAGGGCCTTAACGGGCGATCCCTAAATGCAGTTTCAAATCTGCCAATCTAGGTTCCTTGACGCACATGTGCTGTTGTGCAGTGTGAGTGCTCGAATATGCCTGACCTTGCCGCGGCTTTTGCGCCATGGTGCGTTCCAACTTGATAGCCCCTGGATGACTGCATGGCTTGTTGTCTCAATTGTGCACCACCCATTTTTGAGGTTCATCAGTCGCCCGGTAGCGCGCCGACATTGCCCGAACCGTTTGGCACGGACCCCGCTTTTGCGATCTTACGCTGATTCCTTCGATGGCTGCTTCTTGTCAATCTAAAGCGGATTCAGCCGGGGTTACTGGAGGGCCCTGAATTTTATGGTTTCCCTTTGGGTTTCCCTCGAAACTAAGCGCCGTCTAAGCCGAAACGGGTACCCTCAAAACGCACATGCTCAACATATCTACACATGCACACACACACACACATGCATAGCTCATGTTCTTTGACCCGCGTTCGGGTCGCAGGCCTGATGATATCGCTTGGCCTGAGCAGTGCCAGGCGGGGGCAAGCCGTTTTGAGGGTGTCTGAAGCCGTACCCGCTGTCTTGGGCCTTTTGAAGGACATGCCATTCCATATGTCCCTTTTCCTGAGAAACTCAGCAAGGCAGACTACACTGGAGCCCAACTATTTTTTTCCTGTTCCTCGTGTTCCGAGCGCAACGGGCAGCGGGCACATGGGACTCCTCGTGTTCCGACTGCAGCGGGCAAATGGGAATGAGAGGTGTCCGTTTTTTAGCGTGGCGCATGGAAGGATTTTGCCTGGCGGGGCCGGGATCATATGGCATATGGGTGAGTGTTTCAAGGGTGAGCCAATGCTGGTGCGAGGAGGTGAGAAATGGAATGACCCCTAAGATAATCCGTCCACTTGGTGGAATCCCCTTCCGGTTCATTCCCGCATGGCTAAAAATAGTAACTAGAAGTCACGTTTGGAGGTCAGGAAGGGCCAAAAGCCCATGAACTGGGGCCAAAAGCACGTGTTTAAAGCACCCGCGGGCCTTTCCCTAAACCAACGGAGCCCTTCCCCAAAATTCGGACGAAATCGGGGGCCAATCAGGGGAGTTTGACAGCCACAGGTGTGGGTTGGGTTGGAGCTTTTGTATCTCTTTTGTATCTTGTTGTGTCTTTTGCATTCTATTGCTGTTTTTTTTTTGTCGTTTTGTTTTCCCCCTTTATGTTTAGATCTTTTTCTGGCTTTTGTTGACTATTGCTTTTGTATCCTTCTGGTGTGTAGTCGCTAGTTTACTGTTCTAAATCTAGTATTCGGGGATTTCCGGAATCTTTGCAAGAAACAATTCTAGGGATTTCTAGGGGTACTTTCCCCATTCTAGAAAACCTCAGGAAACCCAGGGAAAACGGCCAGTTTTTGGAAAGAACGAGGGTTGACAAGAATGGGGAATCAACCCCCAGAACAATGCTTATAGTTGTAGTGACCATTAGCAAAGGGGGAGGGGTCGCTCACACAGGTCAGAAGACGATAGTCACAGACACATGTTGAAGTGGCCCTTCCCGAGCGGCAGGTCGGATGAGCGGCACTGAGGGTGAGTTTCGCCGTCCGTAAAGGACAAAGTCCGGGACTTGACTAGGTCCCCCAGTAGTGCCTTTTTACTTTTTTGGGCGCAGGGTTCCCTGATTCTAACCTCTCTACTGGAGGACCTAGTTGATTTGTCTTGCGAAAGCCAAGGGAAAGGCCACCACTTGAAAGAGCCTCTGAATGTGCAATGCGCCTGCAACCGAAGGCGTTCGTCCCAGCGTTTCTGTGTTCTTCAGTTTAGGTTGGTGCAACGGAGGAATTTGCGCAAGGAGCTAGTGAGGTGCTGGCGCGTGGTTTGCCTTTCCGCACGGAGAGCCGCGAAAAAGGGCCGAGGAAGCCGGGAACGGCAGGGGCTCGCTGCGGCCTTTTTCTTTGCGGCAAAGGATGGGCTAGCGCTTTGGGTCAAGAAACTGGCGGAGGTTGAACGTGGTTTCAGCTGAGCTGGCACTTCTCTTGGCATCATATAGACTAAAACAATATGGACCAGAGTCAGACCTTGCCTTTGTTTTTTGATTTGCAAACACCGGGGCAATCGTCGGGCATGCTTCTCTTGGCATCATGGATTAAATCAATATGGACCAGGTAGCTTCGGATTTGAATTCAGGCGGGACACTCCCTACTTCAACAGGTCGTCGGGACGAGGTCTTGGGAAATCGGTTTGTGAGACAGGTTCCTCCCCGTGGGTGCTAAGTGATGCTTGTGGGAGACTGGTTGCAACTGGGGCCAGTCATGAATTCTTAACATGGTTTGCCAATCTTGGTTTCATTCGGAACCTCTTTTTTTTTGGCAAGTGTTGGTTTCATTCGGGGCCTTTTTTTTGCAAGTGTTGGTTTTTTTTTTTCGGAACTAATAAAACAGATTGCATGTTTAGTGGGGAGACCACCTGACAAGCAAAGAACAAAGGGGGCCCAGTTGTCCCGTTGCCCACCGACCAGGTAGAAGAAGTGCACCAACCACAACTCTTTATCTTGGGGACAACCCGCCGCACCAGAGGGTTTGAGAGGGTGCACCACAAAACTGCAGGGAAGGCCAGAAATGTTTCACCTACTTCAGGCTCTTGGTACGATCGAGCAGCAAACCCCCCCGCCTGAGGAACAACCTATTTGTTCAAAACGGAAGGGATTGAATGTTGAATTGACTACTTTGGTCGCCGCCACACCTCCGAAGCCCGCTTCCATACTGTACCTTTTGGATGATTGGTTGCAGCTGGTCCTCTCCTCGCAAGGTTTGAGGAGACGCTGCAGGACGCAGAAGAGGCTTTGAGCAAAGACCCGAAGTGCTCCATCGCTGCTCGGCTAAAAACGGCCGAGGGCTACTGGCGCCGGCACCTTCAACAGCGGTTGGGTGGTTTCAATGCAACACAGAGCCCGTGTTAGGGGATGAGCTCATGATATACTCCTTCTCTCGAGCGGTCAACAGCGAGACTAGCAATTGTTTGGTTCTCTGGGAAAAGAAACCTAAGGGGATGCCAGTGACATATTCGTGGTATTTAAAATATTTAACAGGCCCTTTGGGGGTTGGTTCTAAGGAAGCAACCAAACCACCATCCCCACTTGGGGTCCCGCACAACAGGGGGTCCCTCGGTTTGGCCATTGCAGGTTGCCCTTCAGGCGGAGAGCCCCCCCGCCCGTTTCGCTCACCAGTTTGTCTTTTCCTCGGGCTTACCATTTGAGGAACCTCTTTCATATGCTTGCGCCCGGCTTGTCAGCAAGCACTTTCATTTAAGAGGAAAGGCCCTGGGTGCAAAAAAACGCCCCAAGTTTCAGGCCTTGCTTGTGTGGGAATTCTAGTGGTAAACAACAAGTGTGGCTTGATTTTTTGGCCAATGCACTCAGACAGTGAGACTCAAAGCAAGGGGAGCTTGTGCTTAAAGAGGGGTCTGTGGCTGTCCCTGGGCCACGGGCCCATCGGCCAGCCGAGGCTCTCTACTGGAAGGGGGTCGTTCTGCCGGCAGAGTTCAGACCCGGTTCGATCCGGTAAATCCGAGGATGGGTCTTCCAGAAGCCATGCCCACTTCCATGTGTTGTGGGAAACCATGAGGGTGGCATTTTTTCCCCGAAAGCATCGCGAAGGGTTCTTTGGAAGCAGTTTATCTATATATATATATATATATAACAACATAGATATACCCCAACATTATTGCTTTCGGGATAAGAGCGGTGTCTAGTTCTTGGGCCGCAAACCCACTTCAAGCTGCTGCTGGCTGGCGGGGCCGGGGCGTGGCTCCAGGCCGTGCCCAACGCCGCCCTTGACCTGCACGCGGACGCGCTCCTCTTCCGGACCATGGCGCAGATGCGTCTTCGCCTTGCCGTGACCGCCGCCGATGGGCCTTGCCCCCTTTGTGACGGCGTGGCGGACAGGTTCGGCGACCACGCCCGGTGCTGCCCTTGCGGGGGGACCGCACCAAGCGACACAACCGCTTGCGGACTGTCCTGGCCAGTCGCGCCCAAGCTGCAGGGCTGCACGTGGAGGTGGAAAAGCCTGGCCTCCTTCCTCCCCGGCTGGACGCCGACGGTGCTCCAGAGACTGGGGTGCCCAACCCTGCTGGACGGCGCCCTGCTGACATCTGGGTCGCAAACTGGGGCATTCACGGGCCTGCCGCCCGTGATCTTGCCGTGACGTGTGGACTCCGTCCTGGACAGCTCCCACAAGCTGCTGCCGCAGGGGGCGCCTGGGCGGCGGGGCCAGCTACAGATTACGAGGCCCGCAAGCGTGCTCACCTCAACACGGCTCAGCTCTGCGCTGAGCAAGGCTTGCAGTTCCTGCCGATCGTGGCTGAGGGCTCTGGGGGCGGGTGGGGGCCCACAGCCCAGAAAGTGTTCGCTGTCCTGGGTAGGGCCCAGGCACCATTTGGGTTTGCTTGCCAGTTTAGTGGTTTGGTTGCCATTTTAGTACCCAAACAAAAAAAACTTCCGGTACCTTCTTGTTGTTTGGCCCATCCACGAGCCAGCGGCTCTTTGGTTGCCATTTTCGTACATCAAGGGCCCATCCACGAGCCAGCGGCTCTTTGGTTGGCATTTTCGTACATCAAGGGTCTTTTCTTGGCCCGTCCACTCGAGCACAAGGGGACGGCTCGGCGCGGGGAGTCGGAGCGATCGCCAGGCGCTCTTTTACCTCGGGGACTTCCAAGGCGCCAAGGCCTCACTGGAAGTGTCTCAGCGCCTGGCGCCCGCCAAGGCGAAGAGCCAAAAGCGGGCACGGGGGCCGTCGTGTTCAGGTCGGACGGGTGGGAAGGGAAGGGTTTCTAAAGTCGACACCACGTTGAACTTCAACCCCAGGGGCACCCCCCTATTCATAAACTGGGGTTGATGAATATGGAGGGGTGTCCAGATTTGCTTTTGAAGAGGGAGCGAGCCTTTCGGAGCTACAGCGTGTTGCAGGGGTTCTTATTGTGGACCTGGTAGACTGATACCGCCCTTCAACTGCAGATGATGGACTTGCTTTCCAAAAACCGCACGGTTTTAGAGGAAGCTCGTGTTGTGGCTTTCACCTGGATACCCCTGGCATTCCTCTGAAACTACATGTTATCAATACCCACCAGTACCCGCTATTGTATTTGGTGAGGCCTCACCTCTTCAGCGTGTAGTTTTGGCACTGGAAGGCCATGTGGTAAAGCGCCGCGGGCCTTTTCTACATCTCCCCGATAGTCATGGCTGCTCTTTGTGACCGAATCTGACAGAGACCGATTTTTGGATTGCGAACGGCTTGTCCACACCCTACAGGTCTAGTGACCTTTTGCTTGGAGCCTGACCAGCACCAAGACGTTGGGAGTTAGGGGGGTGTTCACAAGATCCCCTTGCCCGCTCCATCTGCCGCTTCCCTTGAGCAGTGCTTCCCCTCCACACACCCCATTTCGATTTTGGGACGAAAGAAGAATCTGGCAATGAGCTATCAGACCACACCGGACTCTCTTTTCCAGCGCGGAAGCTTTGGATGTCACCGGGCAGATTTTTGGTAGAAAGAGTTACCTCCATTTTGTCACCCCACTTGTGGTGCACCCCGTTCACGGGCGGCAATCAAAAGGTCGGGCTTGGGTCGCTCGTCAAATTGCTGGGCTTGTTTCAGTCTTGTTTTGACATGTTCATACTTGGATTTCTGCCGCGCTTGTTTCACCCAGTGCTTCCAGTTACCGCTCTAGTAGGTGACCAAGATTTCTTGCCCCTAGGATTTACATGATGGTATGCCGGGCAACCGGGAGCACTGAGTCCTCGATTTGGACAGGAGGTTCCTTTCAAGTCAACCAGAGGGCACTTGTTCTTCCCACAAGGTCCGGGGGTTCGAAACTTTTCTTTGTGGTCCGGGGGTTCGGCTGGAGAGGGATCGCAACTCACCCTAGCCATAGGCATGGGACTTATATGCTTCTGCAGATTATTCTAAAATTTAGGCCCTTATTTAACAGACTGACATGGCGTCTCTACTGTGGATGAACGACATCTTGCACCACCTAAGAAGCTGTGGGAAACCATTGTTGGTATTTAATTACAGGGGGGAATCATTCCATGGTTTCTTTGGTGGTGCCTTCAATAGGATTTCGTCCACAGTATAGATCTTGGTGGCTCCCAGCCATCCCCATAGCTTTTTAGCTTTTTAGTGCTCGGTGGGGTTTTCCATTTAGCCCACTCTGAGTTAAACTTTTAGCGGGGGATCTGAGGACAGCTCAGTTCTTATTTAGACCTTCGATTCCCACCCCCTTAAAAATGGAATTGGGGGAGGGGGGGTGACCGGTGACCTTTATTGGGAAGACTAGGCAAATGGAATTGGGGGCCCCCCGCTCCGCCTCCCCCCTACAGCTGGGGGGATGACCATAGGCATCCGAGTCTTATAAGTTTCTTCAAATTATGTTGGCCCTTGTTTAACGGACATGATGTCACCATAGACCCAGTTTGTTCTCATTTATATGACTTTCATGATTTTATTTGGCTTTTGGAGCATTCGAGAGTCTGAAATAATTGATTTCTGCACTATTTGAGGGTCTGATTTCTTGCTTCATAAAATTTCTTAACGCGCTGAAGGAATAATGGAATTGGGGGCCCCCACCGACCGTCATCATAGCTTTGCGGGAGACTAGGGACGTGTCAGGGCGTGGGGATTTGGCTCCGGAAGTGCGACGCGGAGCTGAGTGGCTCCAGCCTGCCGCTGATCGGCGCGCGGGGCCCCAGAGGTTTCACACATGATTTATTTGTTTGGGTTGGACTAGATAGATGTTTTGGTCAAATAAATCCTTAGTTGGTGGTTTGGACTCGGATGCGAAGCCCTGGTTCTTGTGGAAGGCAAATGGACCGCGGATCCTGGACGTACGGTACGTAAGGCCATAGTGCCATAGTGTTAAAGGGTTGGAACTTTGGGCCAACCCACCCAAAGAGTTCACGATCGACACTGGGGACAGTCGTTTTCCCTTATGCATCCCGCATGACTCCCGCAGGTTGGTGCCCCCCGCCCCCCCATTTAAGGGGGATACTTCGGCCGTGCAAGCTCCTGAAAGAAGCACTCATTTATTTCCTCTTGAAAGATATCTCAAAGCGAGTTTGATTTCTTGGAACCCGCTGTCCTTTTGTGGCAACATATTTTTACGACTCCAAGGTGACAACCAAGTTAACCGTGAAAACCTACGCCCTAGTGTTTTCGCCCCCTTTGTGTTGGCAACCCGTGACCCTTTGTGCATAACGATCCCTTTGCCTGGGCTTAGTCAGCCGAAGGGGAAAATTCGACTTACCAAGGCTTCCTGGGAAGCCCGCCATGGCCCGCGGGTAAAAAACAAACATAAAGAAAGCAACTCTAAGCAAATAACACCATTCCCCCCAGCACACGCCAAATTTGTTTACTGGGTCCCCCAGTAGTGCCCTTTCTCACCCCTTTTTTGGGGGAGGGTTCCCCTACTAAAATAGACTACAGAAAAAGTTGGTACCTTTATTCTAACCTCTCCACTGGAGGACCTTTGTGGATGTTCGGCCCTTTATGTTTTGACACCAATGTGAAGGATCCAAATGGAGTTCCCCCCCGCCCCGGTGAAGCTCATCCAGGGGTTTGGATTCCTAATGGCTTGGCAGGCTTGGTGCTTTGAGTCTGACCTGACGGGGAGGCAAAGCAAAGAAAAGAACCTGAGGAAAACATATGGAAACTTGAGACGTCTCATGTGGGTATGGGTCAAAATGAGTCACCACCAGGAATTGGACCGCAGGTTTTAGTTGGTTCTATGTACCAGGGCAACCCATCTGGAGTACCCATTTTTGCACAGCCATGTGTGTCTTGTCAACACGTTTTTGCTTGTTGCCAAGGATTCATACCCCCACTGGCCTAGTGGCCAGCGAATCGACCGGACGTCAACGTCCCAGAATCAGGTAACCCCCCCAGTTGGTGGTTTGGATTGATATTTCGGGGATTTGACCCCCCCCCAAAGGGTAAATCGGAAACCCTCCTAAAACCAATCCAAACCACCATTTTCGTTGGAAGCTGAAAACCGGGCACGGATCACCCTGCTGTCACCCACGCCCCCGTGCCTTAAGGTCACGGCCGAGGTGAGCAAGGCGTTTTTCGCATCGATCCATCGCTGCAACTTTACCCACGGGCCTTGAGCTGTTCAAAGAGTAAACTACTGGCCTCTGATTCAACTTAGTATTGCGTAATTAAATTGGAGTAGCACCCTTTGCCCCCCCTCAGTACGAGCCCATGAAATTTGACACCTCGAAGAAACTACTTGGTGTCCAGTTCCACCACCTGTGGGCCTTTTGGTCAGGTTGCTTAGGCGCGTGGGTGGCACAAGGGGCATGCGCTTGGACGAATGAGATGTTTGTCATGTCCAGTTTGGACTGTGAAGACTTGGTTTTGTCACTTTGCTCCCCCAAGTTGTTCACACATCTATGGTCTATGGCTGGTAAAGTGGCCTCTAGCATGCAGAGGCTTCAACCTTGCCGCGGTGGGTTTTGGGTCCTGCTGCAGGTTCTCCATAGGGGATGAGCCCTTAGGGTGACATACTGTGGATGGACGAAATCCAGTTCGCACCACTTTGGAACCATGGTTGAAACCTACAGGGGAAGCATCGCTCTGGAAAACCATCCATGTCTCAGAGTGACATGCTGCCAGAACACAAGAATGCTGAAAGTCATGTTTTGCTGATGGTCGAGGAACTGCTTGAAAATTATGGCGCAGAATGAACGAGTTGCCGGCTGACAGTATAACTTAGAATGTGTGTGTCTCAAAAGCAGCAGCAAAAGATTGGGAATGTTCGAAGGCAGCTCAAAACGAAGCCAACCACTTGCAGAGTTATTGATTCATTGGGAGAGGTCCTAGGAAGCTAGATGCTAGCACGCTTGGGCTTCTGGATGCCAGTTTGGAGGGGTTCCTGACATACCGTGGAAGGACGAAATCCTGCACCACTTGGAAACCATTGTTTGTTGGAATAGAACAAGCGAAACATCATTCCAGGGTTCCTTAGGTGGTGCGAAATGGATGTTGTCCATCCACAGTTTATAAGTTTCATCAGGAGAGCTACACAACAAGTCCGTATTGCTTGGGCCTTTGTGCACGGCGTTGTGCTCGCTGTCTATCGCCGCCCTGCAGGCTAAACCATGGGCTGATCGCCAATGGCTTTGCGAGGGTTTGCAACTGGCACCTTGAAATACAGATTAGGCGGTCAAAAGTATGGCACCCTCTCAACCATGGAAGTGGACTTTCGCGTTTCAGAAAAGGAAAGCTTTCGTCTTCCAGAACCCGAGCGTCAGCTATGATTGAAGGGAGGGTACCCGAAAAGTGAGGTGGTGGCACAAAATGTCAGCAATGTTCCAAAGGCATCCAAAGGACACCTTGAACAGCCGAACCCATGTTGAGGGGTTCCTGTTTGCAAATGTCAGGGTCGGTGCACCGCCAGCACCCACCGGCAACAAAATGGGAACTAACCGGGAAAGGGTATTATTCTTTTTAAGCGGACTGCCAATTCGACACTGAGTCAAGTGTGCAGCATCGGAATTCCGAATGCTACCGCGCCTGCGACATGTGCGGCACTTCGCGTCCTTTCGGCTGGGCTGCTGGAACCAGCATCGGCAGGCAGGGCCAGAAAAAACCCGGGAGCTGGGGGTGGTGGCGGGCGCATCCTCGGGAGGGGCCCTGGGATGAGTGAATCTAAAACGTGGCTGCCCATTTGGCAAGTGAGAAAGCCCCTTCCGGATTGATCTGGGGAGAATATTATCCCCTTTTGAATGGGAGAATTGCCTAGTTTTGGGAACCCTCGATCTGATCAGTGGCGTGGTCCTGCGGATGCATGCGAAGTGGTGCGTCCAGCAGGACAAGAAACGATCGAACAGGGCTGGGATTGCCTCCCAGTGCAGAATGCCGGATATCAGGCGCTTATCTGATGACTTCGTTGGCAAGATGGCGCCCCATGTTTTAGAGATGCTGGGGCCCAATGTGTCGGTGGGCGTTTCGATTCGTCTGCTGCTAGAAGAAATGCCGTTTGTAACCTGGGCGAACCAAGACACCTCAAAAGGGGCCGTGCATAGGAGTTTCCGATTTCCCTGCTATTCCCCATCTAGAAGGCCAGTGGCGTGTGTCCCATGGGTCAGTCGATTGCTGCAGCCATTGCAGCCTTGCCAAGAGGCCAGGTGTACAGTGAGCAATGCCCACAAGCATATTAGTAGAGGCTACAGTCCAAGGCAGAAACAGAAGCAGCCGGTCTTGTATTGCCTTGCTTGGTGTTCAGATCTTTTTGAGTCCGGGGATTGTTTCTTCTTCTTTTCTTTCTTTTTTACATCGTGCCTTTCCCACCACACACGCGAACCGGGTGCGCTCTCTTTGTTGCTCCTTTTGCACCCAGAAACCCGAGGGGTCGAAGAACCCCCAAATGGGTCCAAGTAAGGAGCTACTCTAAGGAGCGCTTGTTAACTCCCAAAAAGCCAGCAGAAGGCAGAAGCACACTGGGCTTGTAGCCCCCACACGTGGCGCATGACTAGCATTTTAGCCTTTGGGCGCGTGAAAGCGCATCCCATTGGCTCGTGTAAAGGGTTGGATCGGGTTCACTGGCCATGGCTCCTATCAAAGCTGCTGCGGATGGATATTTCTACGTCCTGGGCACCGACGGCACGAGGAGTCTCGACCGAAGACTAACATCACTCTAAAATCGATTGCACCACGGAAAGGGGAACTAACCCCACTTCTTTCCCCAATTGGGTGCGTCCTTTTTTTTGTGGACCCCCAAAAATGCGGCTTTAAACAGACACCCGATTCTAACCCTTGCAATCCAATCAGCTTCGCTGGGGCTTGACCGTAGGTGCAAACGAATGTGTGAACAAATGGGGGTATAAACAGAATGGCCAAACAGTCAACATGTTTGTGGTTCCCGGCCATTCCCTTTGGTTTTTAGGTTTTGAGGGTTCAGTGGTAGTTTCTATGTATCTCACAAGTTATGCTTTTACCAGGCGACCTGATTACAGCCCACAATCGTGGCGATTTTTGGTTTTGGAGGTACAACCACTACAAGCTTGTTATAGGCAGTACCCCTGCGGTATAAAACTTGTTTTTCCATAAAACCTTTGTACCTCTATACCTTCAAAGACTCTAAAGCTTCAAAACCTCTAAATCGCCAACATAAGACCTCCCAACCTCCATACCTCCAAAATCCCTGCACCTTTCTACCTGCTTAAGCCAACAGCTACATGACTTGGCCCAAACGGACTGAGGCTGCGCTGCCGCCTCCTGCTGGGCGGCCCCCGTGGAGACAACTCGCTAGACCCTCGCGCCCGCACGGCGATCTGTTTGCACGGTGTGGGTGCCATGGCAGAGACCGCTGTCCGCTGGTTCTGCCGCGTTTTTGGGATCTCAACCCAGTTGCCCAGTGGATTCCGCCCCCTTTTTTTAAAAGGAAGGGTTCCGATTCAACCATTGTTCGGATGCTTAATCCACTGAAATATGGATTCTTGATTGCCATTAACTGGTTTTATTCTTAGCGGGTGTTCCCTCCAACAGTGATATGTCCCCACCTATTAAACCCAGGGGCGTCCCATGGCGTATTCTTACACCCTTTGAATCGGACTGGTAAATGGAGCCGGGAGGAAAATCTATTTAAAGCGCGTATGTGATTTGTCCCGGAAGTTGAAAGGGGTATCATCCATGCCCATCCGGTGCCGGTGAATTTTGTGCAGCTGCAGGAAGCAACTTTTTGTTTATTTACCCTCCCAACAATGGAAGCTGACCATCGCACGGTTCGGGCCGACTACTTTGCTTTGTGGGAACCCCTCGGAATCCACTTCCATGCTTGGACGGGTACCTTTCACTCACTTGCCCAAAGCGAATCGACCTTTTGACGCTTAGGTTTCCCATCTTTGGTCCATGTTTAGTAACGGTCCCAAAAGGTGAACCTACAATTTCTGGGTCCCTAAGGGGCAACTGAGTTCGCGAATCGAAGAGCACGCGGAATCATCCGAGGCGCCAACCTCGGGTTTTGGGAGGAAGGAGTTTTCAGGACCAAACCCTTCCAGCCGGAGGCCTTCGGAGGCAGGGGCCTGTACTCGGGCGCTCCCTTTTTTTGTTGCACGTAGGCAGGCGATCTTCCATGTGCTTAAGAGGTTTTTGTGCTTTTGTTTTCCCCTGTTGGTTTTAAAGGGAATCTATCACTACTGGAGATGTGTTTTCCTGTAAACTTAAGCAAATGGAGGCTATGCGCATGCTAAATAAGGGGACTCACCCCAGTAATAAGCAAACAGTAGGTTGATCGACTACACCAAAGCTCCAAGGAGTCGAAAAGTACTGGTGTCAGCACTGTGTTTGGGTGAAACGTCCTGTGCGACATAGGCAACACCATATGAGAGACATCTGCACATTGAGTCGGAAGATTCGAGTTTAGTTACGTGCGAACTCCCTACTGCACTGCCTTGGAGTATTATCTCCACTCTTGGTCTGGTAGCGAAAAAAACTTTGTTTTTTGCAGACCCCCAGTAGAAATGAACAGAACGATTCAAGAAACTAGAACACCAAAACACATGCCAAGAACAGTGAAGGTATGTTGGCTTCAGTGTCAAGTGCGCACCCCGTGGCCCTGCCTCTCGATCTCGATCCTCAGGTCCTTGGCCGCAAACCCAAGTTTTCCCCCTTGGCCCATGCGATCGATCACCAGGGCTCCTTAAAAGAAACATCTTGCAAACATTTGAAACATGTTGTTTTCCGCCAAAATAAAGGGAAGTCTCCATTTGCAAGGCCATGTTCAGGTGTATAATGTAAGGATCCCTGATCAAAGTCTCAGAAGCAGGTTCAGGATGGGGTGCGCTCGATCGCGCTTCCCTCCCGCGATCCCGCGATCCGCGATGGATTTCTGGCGTTTGTTTGAGCCCCACTCGTTTTTTGTTTTTTTTTGCGGATAGGCTGGGCTCGGGTCTTGGACTTGGCTCACTGGCTGATGTTAACATGGCCACACTCACTGATTGGCAAACGAGGTGATGTTCAAACCCCCGGCTTAGGGGGATTTAGGGGGCAAACCTGGGCTACCTGTTCCGCTGGCAAAAACTTAATGAGAACGCTTTGTTGACAGGCGTCCTTATGAATTTTGTCCAGGCTTAAAAAGCTGCTTGATTTTTTTGCCTGCGGCCAGTCAACTCAGCCGGAGAGGGGAAGTGCAGCCGGCTTTGGCATTCAGAGCATTCGGAGCAGATACGGCCTGGTTCAAAACCAATGGTACCATTTTGGGATAGGTGCACCACTCATTTTAGAACCTATTTTAGTGGGGATTGGGATGTTTACTGGGGGGTAACCAGGGTTTTGACCCATGGCCATATGGCTCTTTTTCAACATTGGGCCGCCCTCAGATTGCTTGCGTTTCATGTCAGGCCCTTGAGCCCGTTCAAATAAAGAAGCATGCAGGATCGATCCCCTCTCAATAAGTCACGCCCACAAGCGGTTGTGGCCTTGCACTAGTTTGGTGCGAAAGCCGCAAGTTCCATGGAAGCCCATTCCCAACTTTGGTACTTTGAACGCTTCGGACGCCCCAAATCGTACAGCTTTCCAATCACCACACATCATTCAACCCCCTCAAAGCACATGGACAAGTTGCACCTGGACGGCTTTGAAGCTCCAGAAAGAAACACGTTTTTTTTGTTGTTTCCTTCAAACAACGAAACACAAAGAACAACTCTTACTTTCCTCAGAACAAAACACTTTTTAGAGAACATACATTATGTTGTTGTTGTTTTTTCTCGCGGAAAGTCTATCTACAGCCGTCTTCGTTTTGGAGGGTCACCCACCCAACCTTTCCGCCAGATTTGGACCTCTCCGACGCGGGCCCGGCAGATGAAGTGCGGCGCGCAAAGTTCGCGCGGGCGCTGGCGAGGCGAATCAACGCGCCTTGGATCAGCCAGTTGCAATCAGTGGATTCCGCCCTCAGTTGGTTTTCCCATTTAGTTGTTGTCAAAAGGTTAACCTGTTAGTAGTAGTTCCTTTGGGCAACTGAGCGCCCTTTTGGCAACTTTTTTAGGGGAAGGGTCCCCCATTAAACTCAACCAGCCAACCAAGGAGTCCTTTTTGCCCATGAAAATTCACTGAGCATCGGTCAGAGCGGGGGGTTTTCCCTTTTCCTGTTGATCCCAACCTGGAAAGGTCGATGTACCCGGTGTTTGGTTTATTTGGAGGAGAGAAGGAACAACCCTCAATTGGCGTGTTTGAGGCCATTTGGATGGGTGGCTTGGTAGCTTGGAGGGCTGGCTTTGTGCTTGGAGGGGCGGCGTGGAGGAGTGGTTTGGTAGCTTGGAGGGGTGGCTTTGTATCCAATTCAATCACGTTTTGGTCGCTTGGTCCGATGTGGAAGTCCATAATGAGTGCAGCAAACAAGCAAAGGACGGAAACCCCGGAGCTGATCCTACCCCTTAACAATGCTATTTTTGGGGGTCATACTGTGGATGGACGAAATCCTACACCACTTTGATACCATGGGAAGATTGTTTCTTGGCATTTACAAGGGATTCATCCTTCCAGAGTTTCATAGGTGGTGCGATTTCTGGATTTTGCAACCATCCACAGCGTGGGAAAGGCGGTTGCGGAGGGTTGGGAGAGGAACTTGGATCCTGTGGGTTGCTCTTCCGAAGCCAAACCGGTGGCACCTGGACAGCTCCGGAGGTGCTTGGGGCGATCGAAAGTCCCCCGGAACCCAAGAACCTCAATCACCTGAAACATATTACACAGCATTGAGGTAAGGGTTCCGTTGGGTTACGCTGAAACTCTCAGTGAGTTTCTACTTGCGGCTTTGGGTTTCTTTTGTCGCTTAGGTGGTGATCATGGACCAGCGTGGCTTTGGGGCTTCCGACCGCCCGAGGCCGGATGTTTTTTTTTTGTTTCTCTCTTGTTTTTTCTATTATTTATTATCATTACTTGTTTATTGATTTTATTTATTTATATATTTATATATGTATTTATTATGTTTGTATCGCATGGCTCCTTTCCCCTCCGCACCCGACCGATGTGCTAGGTCAAAAGATCGGTTGTTTTACTTGGGGCTTTGCCAGGGATCATCCACCTGGCAAGGATCCTGAACATCATGATTCCTGTTAAGGGAACCATGAACCTATCTCCCTGGTTCCATGGGCATGGTTCCCTTTTTTTTGCGTACAAAAAAAAGGGAACCGTGCCCATGCAGCCAGTGGGATATTTTCCCCGGAGAAGCGTCCGTCTGACAGGATCCAATTGGTTCCATGGCAGTTGCGCGGATGGGAGGTGTTGAGTTGGCAGACTTGGAGAACTGCTTCCCCATGGTTGCTCAATTTGAGTGGCTAGCTTTAGCTTTGGCCACTCAGGTCAGTGGGGTGACGGCCCTTCCTCTAACAAAGTCGGGCCCCTTGTTCGACTGGCGACAGCCGGTTTGAAAGGTGCCGAAAGGCGACTATAACTCAGTTGTGGCTCATGAGAACCTTGGGCTTGGTCGCGCCTTTCCGAACAAGCCATCTTGCGGTTCGCAGCATGACAACTATTTTCTTACTGTTTAGGCAACTTATTCACGTGTTGCACATGTTCATTGGAGCATGACACCTTTCCTCAGATTTAGCAAGCAAAACAACAAACCCTGCATTGAGCAGCAGGATTTGGCACCATTTCTTGCACACAGCGGAGGTGGGTGGTTTGATCCTTTCCATTGTGGTTGAGTCCTCTGGCGGTGTGAAATGGTGAATTCTGACACGGGGACTTTCGCCTGCATTTTCCTCATCAAATTGGCTCCCGGACGACCTGAGTCACAATCAAAACCCGGTATTCAAAATGGTCTACCCAGAACCATGCTTCAAGAGTTTAGGCGGATATCCGCAGCTATTTCTGGCCAGGGGATCGTCCCTTGCTCACCTAACCATCTACCAAAGGGTTTTGAGGATGTGACTCACCTGGCTGTGGGTCAAAACCGATGGTACCATTTTGGGGTAGGTGCACCACCCATTTTAGTCTATAGTGGGGATTGGAATGTTCACTGGGGGGCAACCAGGGCTTTGACCAGCCACATCTGGGAAGGACTCTGGCGCCCATGGTGGACGAAACCATCACCCTCCTCAGCCGCTGGAGGGTGCCAGATCTCGGAGCCTTCACCGCGGCTGTGGGACCCTCAGGCCATGTCAGGCAGCGCATGCGGTAGAGGCAGCTCTTTTTTGGGCAGGGCCAAAAAAGAATTCGAGTGGAAGAGTGTTTGCCTACAAAGAGTTTTTTTTGGTTTTGATTGTGGGCACTTTCCGGGCAGGGGGAATCCCAAAGAATGGGATTGTGACATTGTGGGATGCTCAAACAATACAATGTATTGTTTGAGCATCCCAGCAGAAATGGAGACGACATTATTGCAGAGGCACCTCTTATGGGGGGGGGTCAAAGCGATCGCCCAAGCTTTGCCGGGGTTGCTCCCCTAACAGGAGGGCCCTTGCAAAGACACACACACACACACAAGCACACACATGGCTGTCTCAGCCCCTCTATGGCCCATGGCTATTCGGTTGGATCTTTGGACTTGAGCTTTTGGGTTGAAACAGGTGGGATTTTCCATTGGACCCACAAAAAAGTCGAACACTTTCTAATCTGGAAAGGTCGTTGCTTCCCCAGAACTAGCTCCCCTTTTCCTTTTTTGCTTTTTTTGGCGTCCCCTTTGTTTTCAACTAACCAGGCACAAAAATATTGTTTTGTGCTGGGGTTCCAATTCCAGCAAAGGTTTTGGTAACCCAACACTTTCTGAGGGCCCGGCCAGATCGTCTGGGTTGTTTGTTTTGGTTTCCTGTTAGCCCTTTTTTGGGGGAGGGTTCCCCTACAAAACTCGACGACCGAAAAAAGTTGGTACCAACTTATTCTAACCTCAAACTACGAGCGAGACCTGCTCGACGATGCTGGAGAGAGAGAGAGAGAAAGATTCTAACCTCAGACGACTGGAGCTTTGGCGCATTTTGCTTGGCTGTTAGGACTTTAACTTTTTGCCAACTAATGGGTTTTCCGTATCAAACCCCTAAAAGTTATTCACTTTTAGCGGGGGAGCAGATTTCGCAACCGAGGGAGGACCTAGCTGAAGGCCTGGTTCGAGTGGAGGGCGAATTCGCCCACGTCGCCCCAGCGCCCGGGCGCAAATCGAAGGCCCGGGCCGAGCTGCGCCTGGCGCAAGCCTGCGGGGCCGCGGCGCACTGCGTCTCCCTGCGCCAAGGCGGACGCCAAGTCGAAGCGGGGGGCTGGCTCCGGGTCGATAAATTGGTTTGTCTCGTTCTCTCTTTTTTTTGGGGGGGGCACCCCCCCAAAAATGTGTTTGTTTTTGATGGTACCCCAAAATGACAAAATGTGCCCAACAAATAGGGGTTTCTTTGGTGAATGCACCTGTTGGTTTCCCTTGAACCCACCCAACAGATGGGTGTGTGATTTTGTTTGAGGGTGTCCTGTTTGGGGAGCGGCTTTGGGTGGCTCAAAGGAAAACAACAGGAAAACCTAGTTTTGACACAATCATATCGCTCCCCGGCCCACAACCAGGGGAATGGTTTGCCCTCATGGGTAATGAATATCCAGCTTAGTTGCAAATTGGGTTATGATCATTCGATCAGACCCTAAGGGCGTGGCTAAACCACGTACAGTTGTGTCATCATGTGTCAGGTACTTTCACCCCATCTTCTGCCATGTTTTTGGTGGCCATTTTTTTTGCCTCCCTTCAAAGAAGGTTTTCTCCTTGGCCGCCATAATTTTTTACCGACAGGTTTTATGCACAACTGTGCAAACGACTGGGGAACCCACATGGGGAATGCACCCCAACCCCCCCCCCCCCAAAAAAAAAAAGCAAAGAAAAACACCCTTCCCAAGCACCCAAATGTCTGAAACTGGTCTATTTCAGTCTTTCGCGAGGGGATGTTGTTTTCCTCTGTTTATTTTTTTTTCTTGTGCGTTATGTCCGTGGGGGTGCAAAAGTCAAACCCTCGTGGTTTGTTGTTACCATACCACGGCAAAAAAACAACAAAAACACACACACACGCAACCAAAAAAAGCGTTTTTCACTGCAGACGGAGCGAACAAATCGGTCGGACGCCGCCGCCGGGCCGACGGGACGTCCGACGGGCCGACGGCCGACGGGACGAGCGAGGCGTGGCGAGCGTGCGGCTGAGCTTCTGGAGCCTTCGCTTCCTAGGGGCCTTCATGGGGTCGCTGCCCAGCCTGGAGCAGCGACTGGAGGCCGGTTTTGGGGGAGGGGGGTTGGGGGGTTGGGGGGAGGGGGGACCGTGGTATTTGTGGCGCTTGGAAGGGATGGTTGACAGGAAAACTGCGAGAGACAATCTAAGTTGGTGTTTTTCTTTGGGGGAGGGAAGTTGGTTGGGGGGTGCCCCGAAGAATCGACACAATCTCCAGATCTATTGCGGTGCTGCATCTCTTTGTGCCTCTATCTCTCTGTTTTATGTGTTGCTTTTTCGAGATCCTTGTTCAACAGGGGGGGGGGCAAGTTAAAAGACCTTCACTCTTGTGTTTTTGTTTGGGGGGGCAGCCCCAAAAAGTGTTGACACTCATACCCATGTTTTCCTGTTTGCGTGGCTTTAGCATCACGGCGTCTTACACGGGTGTGTCTCCCAAGCAGGGGGAAGCTGACAAAGCGCTTCAACACAGGGATTTGTTTCTCTTGGGCGCTTCCCTTTGGGTACCACACTGTTTCACAGTCCTTTTCTCCCTTCCTGGAAGTGGGCGTTTCCCCATCCGAGTTTGATGCGCGAGAGAACACGGTTTCTGCAGAAAAAAACGCAGCTTTTGCCCGCCAGCCCTGAAACGTGCTGGCTTTCCATCTGGCCTTCCTTTGAAAAAATCGCCGAAGAAAACCCTCAAACACGGGCAAGCCTTCTCAAGCAATGGTTGAGGGTTGCTCAAAAGATACATATTGGCAATGCGTTGCACATCATATTTACCAGCTAATCTGGAGGGACCTTGTGATTCAGTTGATTCGTGAAGTGCATGATTTGGGAAGCTCTGAGGCTTTTGTTGAACACCTCGATTGTTTAATTGTTCATATGTTTGGCAGAAAGCACGATGACATGTCTGTTTTGGCTGGGAAGTTGCACAAGCAAGCATTCACCAACACCTCATTCATCCTCCCAGTTTGGTGAACAGCATGTTCTAAAACATCTTGCCTGTTTGCAAACCTAGTATCCCTGCACAAGCCGGGTTTGTCTACACCCCTCTTGTGGGATCCCCCAATCATACCGTTACCCAAACACACCCAGCGGTTCGATGATGATAGAAACTATGGCGGCTCTGCGTCTCACTTGTCCAAAGCGAAACCACCTTTTCACCTTTTGGTTGTGCAGTTTGGGTTCACTTTTAGTCAAGGTCTCAAAAGGTTGGCGTTTGTATTTCCTGGTTCTCTCTGGCAAATGAGTTGTGGAGAAAGGACCTTTTGGTTTCCCCTCTTTGGTCCATGTTCGGTGGCCCCAATGGTGATCACCTTGTAATGCGGTCCTTCTCAGGCAAGGGAGAGGCTTTTTGTGTTGCGGCTTGGAATGAAGTCGGGCCAAATCGACCAATCCGAACACCACACCGGTAAATTATAGTCACTCAAAGAGCGTGCAACTTTTTAGCTGTGGTATCCTGCAGTAAAATTTTGAGGTAGGTTCCCTTGTTCACCTCAGTAACTCACTCCCTGAGTTCCTGGACTTTAAACTTTACGAGACGTCCTTTTTAGTGTTGAAAACAAACTGTTTGGTTACTTCCTTTGTCCCATCCACTCAAGAAGAGAGGCGCAACCTACAGCAATTCCAAGAATTGTCCATAAGTCTTCGCAGCTGCCGGCGTGATTATTTTCCGGGTTTTTTCCCGCACCTTTTCGTTCACCGGCTCGCCGGCCACAGACCTGCCCCGGTGCCACACTGGAGTTGATGGAGGTCTTGGGCCCCAGGCAGCGCTTGCAGGAGCTGAGCTACTTGCAGCAGCCGGCCTTGGAAAAGGCGGTGGTGGGATCGCCTCGCCATCTGCCTGCGTGGTCTGCGTGCGACCTTTTGACGTGCACGAAAAACCCGAAGCTTCGCTCTCTTGGGTCTGTGTTATGGATTTTGTTTAACACGCGCGAAAAACCCAAAGCCCATGTTGGGCTGACAGTTGGGCCTGCCTCGCCAGCTGCCTGTGTTGCATTTTTTTGCGCGCACGAAACGGGGAGGTCAAATCCCAAACCACCAATCCAAACCACCAACCAAGGGTTAGCTGATGAAGCCCATGTTGCGCGGTCCGGGTCAGATGGGCCTCGCCATCTAAGGTTGATGCCGGGTTAAGCAGAACCCTTGCTTGATTTTGACTGGGAGGTGTCTCCCCTTTTTCATTAGTGTCATCACTAGAGGGAACAGTTAGGACGTTTAACAAAAATGGGGTCAACATTACGTAGGTCTCTTCTTTTTGCAGGCACCAAAGCTTTGCGGTTTAGTTTAAAAGGAACCCGAAAGCCATTTTACGCGGCCGCCTGTTTTGACACATGAAGCACTGTCAAACTTACTTCTGTTGAGTTCAGTATTCGGCGTTTCATTGCTATTGTGAAAATGCCCAAATCCATGGCAAACGATGGGACTCTCAAAAGAACGATACCCCTGGAATACAATGGACACGCTGTAAAACGATAGGGGACTCTCAAAGTAAGTAGCGAAACGGGCATAAGTAAGTAATTTCGACCGTGCCTCACATACCCATTTTGAGCGCCCAGTCCCCCAGTTTCAGTCATTGTTTTGTTTCATCCATCTTGGTAGATCTTCTTAGCACCAAAAGGCAGTGAGCGTTGGCCCATGTTTCATTGTTTTTGTTTGGGTTGGCTCCGTGAACCGATCTTCATTGCGACTCAGGTTGGCTTACGTGGCTGTAAGGGAACCAACCCAAATAATAAGGCGACGAACCAACCAAGCAGCCAGCCAGCCAACCAACTATACGAACATCACACATACAAAGCAACACAAGAAAGAGTGTACAACAACCAAGCGCCGTGTGCAGAAATGAAGCAACAGCACAACCTGCACAACCTGCACAACCGACATTAAGCAACAAAAAATGGCCATGGGTCAAAAGCCCGTACCCCCAGTGAACATCCGAATCTCCACTAAAATAGACTAAAATTGGGTGGTGCACCTACACCAAAATGGTACCATTGGTTTTGACCCACAGTCAAATGGCGATACATGCACGACATGCAGCTACTCACCTGCCCACAGAACCTGAAAATGAAGGCAAACCTTCTGAGACCTTGAGTAAAATGGGCCAAGGATAACTACCAGATGCGGTCTGGTTGATTCGCGTTTGGACAGCCAAGGCTTGTTCGTGGCAGCCCAACCCTTATACAAATGGTCAACCCATGTCAGGTCAGTAGGTTATAGCCTAGCCATACACGCTGCTACCTGGGCTTACTTGCCTTGCACTTATTCTGTTTGGATGGTCAACTCATGTAAGTAGGCTATACCCTTGGCTTTACATGAGGCCAGCTAGCCTCTTTGCTTTGCTCTGCTTGCTTCTTCTGGAAAGCAGTTCAATGGGAGGGTCCCTCCACCTCCTTCCTGGCAGGCGCCCAAGCTTACAAGGAGCTCGGCATCCTTTCACAACGTGCCTCGGAGGGCAGGGTTGTTCCAGTTTCACTACTTATTGCCGGACTTAGCTTACCATTCTCACCTTTTCAACTTGTTGCCCATTTGGGTTCCTTCGTTTTGCAGCCGCCCTTTTCGTGGACATGGGGAACAAAGATCTCAAGCCAAGTTGCTGCTAGGGGCGGGTCAGAGGATGCCACGGCAAACCGCGTGCATCGCAACGTGCAGAGGGAACAGCGTGGATGGGAGTAGCTTGCAAGTTGCAGCGATCCAAACGCACATCAAAAAGGGGATGTGTAGGCTTATCACTTGTTCAGACCCAACTACCTGTGACACCCAGAAAGGTAAGACCTCAGCAAAACACGCCTGAGGACGTCTTGTCCAGCGACGCCTTGCACGTGGCAGTAGTGCACCGTTTCAGGAAGTTCAACTCGGACGCCTGCGAGCAGCAGCACGGAGTATGTCTTAGGAACGGGCATTTGGGCAGGGCAGGGTTCCACTTTTTGACTACCGCTGGGTTTGTAAGTCTACCCTGGGGTGGTCAAAAAGTGGAACCCTGCATTTGGGCTTGTCCTAAGGGGGAACCCCCAATATGGATCAACATTGGTTGGTTTCCTTGTGGCCTTTTGTGCGTAACATGTCAAACCAACCTAAATGGGATTCCCCCAAAATGATTACATTCCGAAGTTTCGCTATGGTTCTGGGATTGGACAAGGGGTGGTTGCAACAGTTGTTTGAAGAACCCGCCTTTGCTCCCCTTCAAAGGGAATCCGAAAAGAGGTTTCTGAAGCCGAAACTTGGGCCAGGCGAAAAGAAGCATGAACAACCAGACCCTTTTTCCAGATAGATCCCTTGTGAAGCATCCAGACCCTTCCAGATAGATCCCTTGCATCCAGCTTTGTTGCCTGGGGAGTCCCCTTTCCCAGTTCAGTAGCATGGGCCAACTTGGGTGAAAGGGCAACAGCCAGGGGTGTCTTTCTGCCACCTTTCATGAGAAAATTGGCGACCCCCTCAAGAAGGAATCCTTCACTACGAGGGGCTCGATCATGTCTCCGCAAAAGGTGGCAAAAAGACCCCCCTGGCAACAGCCTCCTGCCGAGTACAATCCCTTCGCAGAAGGACACAACAGCTAGGTCCATTTAGCACCTCCAGCTTCTCATTGTGGTCTTTCCCTGATGGTCTTTTGTTCGGCATTTTGCCTGGTTGCAGGGGTTGCACGTATATATTGATGTCCATATATATGTTTGTATATACGGATGGTATGTAATATATATATATATATAGATACTTATGCGATATATGTATATATATGTATGAGATATATATATATATGGATATGTATACGATTCATGTCAAGGACCTCTGCTTTGCCTTCCCTGCTTGGAAGTGCATTTGGGAATTTGTCGGCCGTTTGATGTCACCGCTGCTAGGGTTGAAGACAACATGCAGAGAGACAACTTCCGATTGCTGAAAGGAATATGCTTTTATTGTCTCTTGTTGATTTTAAAGGGAACCTAACACTACTGGACATGTATGTTTCATGTTTCTTTCCTTTATTGCCCCTTGTGATGCCAAAGCGATTGATACCCATGACTCATGACTACATTATGTCAGTTTGCTTACAATCATGCTCTAGTCATTGTTATTGTCCCTTGTTGGTTTTGAAGGGAACCTATCACTACTGGACACGTTTTATTTGTTTTCCAGGGCGCTTGAGCAAATGGAAGACACCAATCTTTGGGCTTCCCCCTTTGGAGACAACCCCCCGCGTGTCGAGAGCATTCAGGTTGCCACTGAGGTTTGTGCAGGAGGTCAAGGACAACGACAGCTACTGCATATCGCTGAGCATGTCCGCCTCAGAGGAGACACTGGTCCTCATAGGCCAGGCTGCGTGCGCTTGCATGTGCGTGTGCGTGTTTGCCAGGTTTAGACCCCACTTACCTGATGTGAATCGGGATCCCGGATATCCGCCTCTTTGAATCACCCAGCTACAAACCGAAAACCCCCCAAGGCCTTAAGGCCTCATTTGCAGGACTTGTTTGTTCGTTTCTTGTGGGGGGGGGGGTTGGGGTGCGGGTGTCCCCTGTGAGGCGTCTTCCAGCAGATGGAGGCGGCAGAGGCCTATGCGCAGCGCTCCAAGAGCCTGGGTGAGGCGCGGGGCATAGCCCAGGAGTGGGTTTTACAGGCGAGAAGCGGCGGTTATGGGCATCACTGTTTGATTTTTTAATCAATGGACACCAATCATTTCAGCTTCCCTTGACTTGGTGGTTTGGAGCCGAATTGGTGGTTTGGTAGCGTTCTGGGGTGGTACACCCCATTTACCCTCTACGAGAACCAGGGGTTCGAATGATCCAAACCACCACTCCAAACCAAAGGTAGTGGATTGGTGGTTTGGATCTGGATTTGAACCCCACTGGCTTTTGAAGCCAAGTGGGGAAGGTACCCCCCTCAACATCCAAACCACCAAACCCAACCACCAATTAAGATAAAGTGACTAGTGATGGACACGGAGTGGCATTGGAGGTCCTCCAAGAAAGGTTCCCAGACTCCTTTTTGCCAGCCTGTTGTTCAAGTTTGCCTCAGAGGGAGCCTAGCGGAGCTACCAGGAGTTCTGCAAGGATCTCAAATGTGCAATTCGTTGACTGTGGAGCTCCCTTCCCCCAAGAAAGGTTCGCACAACCGTGCTATCAAGAACCCTTCTGATCCTTAAAGGGGTTTCTTCCAACTTTTCGGGAGGGTCGCTTTGAGGGTCTTAGTCTTCCCTTCTCATGCTTACTTGTCTTGGACTGAAACTGGAGATAGAGGTATAACACACCGCATGGCCACTGATTCCAGCTTGAAATGAGTCACTGGATGCCAAGAATGCCCCGAGCCCCGTGGAGGCGGAGATCCAAGTCCACGCGCGGACGGCGGAGCTGAAGAAACTTAAGGATCAAAGCCTCGACCGCTTCCAGGCGATGGTTTCCGCTGGTTTTGGAGGATGGGGGGCTGGCCTTCCGCCCAGGAACGGCGCACTTATGTTTTCTGTTCTACTAGCTGGACCTTGCTTTCAGGACCGATCTCCATTTCAACTACCCAAAATCCCGAAGTGGAAAAGAAAATCGTAAATTTGGTCATACCCCAGCCCAGAGGTTCGTTGCAACGTTCCCATGGAACTTGCCTATCCGTGGCTTCTTCTTATGAAGGGCCAGAATCAAGTGACCCCAGTTTTCCGCAGCAACAACTATAGAATTTGAGTCAATGCGGTGGAAAGCAACAGGTTCGCAGGTTCGATTCCAAGGCACTTGCTGGGTTGGTTGAGCATCAAAGAATGCGCGTCCGCAAGGAACGCCATAGATTCCTCCTCCAATAGATGCTTCCAACGCCTGGGTACGCGCAATGCAACAGGGCCCCAACATTTGCATCTGAGAAGGATGTAGGAAGGACGGAACTGGATCGCCCAGTCCGATCCGGGGCAAGGGGCGAAGCGAGTTGTGGCGCCAGCATAGATCTATATAGGGAAAGACCTAAACATATGGTGGCAGGGTTTGGCATCGGCATGCGAGCTGCCCGCTCAAAGACAACCCTTCATTCTTCAATAGGGTTAAGGGGGCCCATTAGTGACTTAGTGGTTTGACAAGGCTGCTCCCCGTTGAGGTCTTCCCGCTCTCCTATGAGGACAAGCACACCACCGACAGGCGGGGGGACGCAAAGTGGTTTTTGTCTTGGGCATCTTGGGTTTGTTGTTTTCTTGTAGAGTTGCGCCCGTCCGCACACAGGTGAGGTATGAATGGGTGAGCGTACCAGCACGGGCCTTTGTAGATACAAGTCAAATGTACGGAGGCGCTCTCTCTGTGACTTGAACATGAATCATTGGGAAGGCTCGGCGGTTGTACCGCAGAAATGGTGGGCCATGTCCACGACCCAGTGAAAGGTCTTTCAGTCTTTTCAGATCCTCAACTTATCACCCAGATAAGGAAGTGCGGCGCGGTCATGCAGGGCTCCAATCCCGAACACCAGCCGTCTCTTTCGGGCTTTGGCGGTTTTCAGCACCAAGAAGGATCCCCAAAAACGACCAGGTTTTCCCTTTTCAGTGAGCTTCCCCCCCAATGTCTAGTTTCAACTGGGTATGGGTCAAAATTAAGCCACCAGGGGACCGCATATTTTAGTCCATGTGTCTAATTACCAGGGCTCCATTTTGGCGACCCACAACCAACTGGTTTGGGTTGGTGTTTTGGGGTGATTTGGGTTCAGTCCTGGATTTTTGTTCCAAAACTCCGCCTCCAACTTGTTGGGCCAGGAGCGTCAACATGAACGACCTGGTCTCCGACGTGGAAGAGGTCCGCCGCTTCTTCTGCGGCACGGGGCAGGTCAGCATTTGCGGGCACTCCATGGGGGCGGCCGTCGGCTTGCAGCGGCCGAGCGAAAGATTGGGAGCGGCCGGGCGTTCACTTTCATTTGCTTAAGAAGTTTGTTTGCACTTGTTGGTTTGAAAGGGAATCGATTTCACAACTGGACATATGTTGCATTTTTTCCAGGGGTCTTAAGCAAATGGAACTGGGAGTGACTCAGATGCTATTTTTGGAAACTGGGGATTCACTATTGGAGAAGCGCACCCCGTGGTCAACAGTAGTTGCTTCTCAAAATGGGGATTTGGACCTCCCAAAATGGTGGTTCTCCTTTTGGCTTCCCTTCACTCCAACTCGACAACTGAGAAGCGCTCCTTGTTGAGGGCTTCCCTCTCTTCGTTCCTCTAGTTTCTAGTTGCTTTTTACAGAAGCCCCGGGTTCAAATCCAACTCCAACAGTCCAAACCACAAATCAAGGGTTGCCTGACCATTCCTAGTTGCTTAGTTGGACTTGGGAGTTTTTTGGGGTCAATTTTGGCGGAGAAAAGTGTTCGACTTGGTTTAGCCAATCCACAGAGTGTGACAAGGATAGTTTTAAGTCACCTGTTGGCTTCTATGTTGCGTGGAAGGCATACCTGGAAAGGCTGATGGTCATGAGAGATATTGCCAAACAAGTTGTGCGTGGTTCCTTTCGTTTGCCTCTTTTTGTTCAACTTTAATGAAGGTCCCAGTTGCCCCTTTTAACATGTTTACACCAGGGCTGGCTGCGTAACCAGGGCTGGCCCCGTTTCAATGGGCTGACCAAAGACCATGTTAAATGCCAGTTCAAGCATCGCTCGTTGGCCCATTGATATCTGAGTTTCGTTCCGGTGGGGTGATGCGTATGGGAAGTTATAAGGAACCCTTTGTTTCTTGCTAAGTAGCAACCATGTCTTAATGCCCCGAAAAGGAAACCAACAGCGGATGGACAAGCCTTTGTCCAGAGCAGGTTCCACTTATATTTTGCCCTACTGCTTTGGTTCTTTGGCCGGCTTTGGGACTATTACTGCGAGTTTCCCAGATGTCGTCTCAAGTACGTGACCATGTGTAAGTCCCTCAGCCCCCCTATTCAGACTGGTGCCCAAAGGCAACCAAAAGTAGTTCATTTACCCAGCCAACGGGAAACCAAAAGGGGATGCGTATGTTTTTTCAGCCCACTGTCCCAAGTAGGTGCCACTATTTATAAGTCACTTGGACAATACCTGGACCCCGAAACTACACTCAAAATTGGAAGACAACCTAATTTTGAGGCAATAACGCATTCTTAAGTTTAAGAGTAAACTACTTTCAAGCTACCCTTATATTGGTTCCTACCCAAAACCATTATAGGGAGTTGTCCCTTGTTAGAAGGTAGTTTGAGGGTCCAGGTGACCCATTCAATAGTTCTTGTCCCCGGCCGATTTGCCGATTTTGGATCCCAAGGTATGCGGTGCAGTACCCACAGCACGTGGAGCGCCTGTGCTTGTGCGCGGCAGCGCCCCGAGTGGGCCAAGCCGCCTACGACAATTGGATGAGGCGCATATTTTTTTGATCATTCGGGTCTGTCCTTCTTGGAGTTCTTACTCGTTGTTTGTTTGGTTTTGCAAAGAAACCAAGATGGAAAAACACATTATGTTGGAGGTGCTTTAACAGAAATACCCACCCAGTCGGAATTTCTCTTTGGGTGGTTGGTTTCCTTTTGGATCCCAATAAAAAGGGTACCACTAATTTGGCAAGTCACCCCCCTTCAAAGGACTAAGTTGAGTTTGCTTTGGGTTTCGGGGGGAAATTGGGCAGAACGAGCGCAGAAATTCGGCAGGTCAAGCTCGAGCTCATGAACTTCTTTCAGGTGTTCCCTTGATCCAGTTTGGGAATGATACTGTGGATGGACGAAATTATGCACCACTGTGTTTCTATGAGAAACCATGGTTCTGTGGTATTTACAAGGGAATCAGCATTCGATTTGCCCATCCACAGTATTGATTTGCGCAGATTCTGCTCCTTTGTTCGAACATGAGTGGCAGAAATGGGTACGGCCGCCATTTTGACTCTTACATTGTAGCTCGCCCGGCTCTTTGCCGCCAGGATTGCCGGGGATGCGCGAACCTGGGAGTCGCACCCCAGCAGCAAGTGGCAAGAAGTGACGTTTCCTGTCCCTTCTTTGGGTACTGCCTTGGTGGCTTTCATTCTAGGGTTACACGCATGGGTTAAGACATTCAACCTTCAACGCTTGGTGGTTCATATATCCAAAACCCTAGTGCCAGATGGTAGTCGTTCCTCCTGTGGTAGTTGTGTCCGATTGCAGCTTAGTTTCTGAACTATATACTTTTTGGGTTTGGACTATTTTAGTTGCAAACAACATGTTCGGTTGTGTTTGTTGCCAACCCTCTCGATCAGAAGTGCGTATTAGGGAGCCTCCCATCTTGACTCACCCGCGGTGCTCAGAAGCCGATTCCTCTCGCGCTTGACTAAAGTGATGGAGGTGAGCATGTTGAAAAGTCCTAGGTTTGGGGTTGAATGTTGCATGAAATGTATATGGGTATGGGTCAAAATTAAACCACGGGACCGCAGATGTTGGTCCATGTTTCCATTTAGCAGGGTTCCATTTTGGGCACCCATTTGTGACCCACAGCTATGTAGGGAGCCTAGTTTGCACAGCAGCCCCCCCCCAAAAGCCAAAAGGCGTGTTGTCCCCTTGTCTAAGGCACGTGATCCGCGGCGTGGTGGCGGTGGTGAACATCCCAGACGAGCTGATCCGGCAAGTCGCGGTGGGCACGCTGCTGATCAACGCCAAGGACGGCTGGCCGTGATTCAAAGTGGGACTGATGCCTTGCACCTTTGGAGGGAACACATGAAAGCTCCCAGAAGGATTCTGTATGCCTGGAGGAGGGTACCCCAAAGACGCCTTCTTTGGAGGAAACTCCTATTTTCTTGATGGCTCCCAGCCATCCGGTTCCTTAGCCTTTTGGCTTTTTCGTGTTTAGTGGTAGTTTCCATTTAACCCACTAAAAGTTGAACTTTTAGCAGGGGATCTGGGGGCAGCCCAGTTTTGGGAGCGCCTTTTTTGGTTTACTTCATTCTTTGGGTGTACTGTATCGACTTACGCTCCCTCACGCTAAGATGGAAGCTCCCAGAAGGATTCTGGAAATGGAACCTAGTCTTCCAAAGGTCCTGGGAGCTTCCATGCTTGACCTGGAGGAGGGTACCCCAAAGACACCTTCCTTGGAGGAAAGTCCTTTTTGGGGGCACGTTTTTCGGGTTTCATGTCAAACTGCGGGGGTGTACCGGATCAATCACGAGGCTCGATTCAAGATTGGCACAGGGGGCAGAGAGGCTGCATGTGAGCCACAATCAAAGCCCGGGTAGATGAAGGTTAGTAAGGGGCAGTCCCAGCCAGAAATAGTTGCGCCCGCCTTTTTAATTCTTTACATGGTTCTGGGTAGACCATTTTAATACCGGGTTTTGATTTTGACATGTGTGTGTGTGTGGGTTTGCGGGACGTTCGAGGATGACAAGCTCACGCCCGTCATCGGATCTGAGATGGTGAACGCCAATCTTCAAAGGTCTATCCTGTCTCTTGACTTGGAATCACTTCCTGAGTTTATGAACTTTAAACTTTTGGGGTTGGACCATTTTAGTGGTAAAGAAACAGTTTGGACTTTTTTGGCCATCCACTCAGCCAGTGAGAATCTGTGGCCGCCCACTTACAGAAAAGAGTTGGGTGGATGGTGATCTTCCATGTGTGGCAGCCCATTTTCTTGCGTGGGGACCGCTGCCCTCTACGAAGCGGCTATGTTCTATGCTTTGGCCTAAAGTCGGTGACAGTCTTGAGCTGCGCCCGGGCTTGTCTTCCTGTTGGTTGTCCTTGCTGATTGTTTCTGTCGACTTCAAATTGGGACCTTTAGTTTTGGCCGCTGCCAAACGCCCAGCAACACTCCGCGCTGCTGCTTCATGTTATGTTGCGTCTTTTTCCCAATCCCTTTTTCCAATTTTCTCGGTATTTGTTGTCTTCGACTTTACAGTTGATGGCATGTTTCTGTTTAAAGTTGTCAGGTGTTCAGGCTTTTCCGGTTCTGCTCATTTTTTACTGGGGGCCTGCAAACAAAAAACAACCCCCCAAAAAAAAACCGTTTTTTGCTACCGTACCACTTGGACAGAGGAAAGCCATCCCTTCATTCCCTGCCTTGCCGGCACTGGCAGCCGGAGGTACGTGCCGGAGACCGGGGGCCACAATTGCCAGATCACCAGCGACGAGGCCATGGAGCGCACCGCGCAGTTCCTCATGGCGGACCCGGCCATGCTCTTCGTGGCGCCTTCGGCGAAGAGAAAAATATCGAGACCTGACCTCCCACCAAGTCTAGGTCCCTTTTGCCCTTTTGGGGGAGGGTTCCCCTACTAAAAAAATAGACTACAGAAAAAGAGGTTGCCCTTATTCTAACCTCTCTACTGGAGAACCTAGAAGTAACATGGCAACTGACACTGCTCTCGACAGGAAATTCATGGTCAGGGTACCTATGGGAGAAGGTGCAGAGAAGTATAAGCCACCATCAAAACCCGGGTAGATGAAGGTTAAGGGAAGTTTTCCCAACCATAAAAAAGGGTGCGGGCGCAGCCGCCTTGTCAATTCTTTACATGGTTCGGGGTAGATGGTTTTAGTACCACTCACCTGGCAACTGACACTGGCAAGAGGCAAAACATCTTCTGGGTACCTTCCCCTTTTGGCGCCTTCTGTTTGTTGAAGGGACCTAGCCTCCCACCAAGTACCCAGTTGCCCAGTAGGTTGCTTCCTTTTTTCCGTTTTTTGGGGAAGGGCTTCCTTTAAACTCAACCAACCCCCCCCCCAAAAAAAAAGCCCGCTTTTTCACCTGGCCACTGGGCATCTAAGAGGAACATGTAGCCTGACGTTCGGGGGGTGGTTTGGACCATCTTCCTTTTAAAGGGACCGGGCCCTGTTAAGTTCCATGTTAATTGGAGCGAGGGAATCTAAGACCTAATCTTAGTGGGAACCCCGGCCATCCGGTTCCTGAGGTTTTAGCCTTTCGTTGGTTTAGTGGTTGGGAATCGGAGTTTAACCCACTAAAGTTAGCCACTGTCAGGGGATCTGAGGACAGCCAACTTCCTTACCTTCTGAGTTCCTGGACTTTAAATTCTCTGGGAAGATCACGTTGGTGGTGAGCACATAGTTTAGACTTTGTTTGGCCAACCCACTCGGAAAGTGAGTAACCCCCTGTTGCCTAAGGCAATTTATACTTGCCTGTTTTTTTTGGAATTGATATACATGGGTCTGATCATTTGCATGTATATGTGCGTTGCCGTGGAATGTGAAAGTACATGTAGCATGCAAGCGCAATATTATGCAAACAAATGCGGTGAACACACAACGTATATGATTTCCTAGTGTCTGCAGCTCTGTCCCTGCCTTTCTGCGCCTATTCACATGCGGGAACACTGCGCACGTGCGCACGATATACAGACAGAAAGTTGTGTGAGTTGCACTGGGGGCCGTGAGGCCTTCCAATGCGGTAGTATGTGTTATATGTATATATATGTACATTTCCTGGGAACAAACGACTGTTTATCTCCATGTATATACAAATACTTTGTTGCATTTTGCTTGGATGTTAGGACTTTAACTGTTTGCCAACTAGTGGGTTTTCCATTAAACCACTAAAAGTCTAACTTTTAGCAGGGGAGCAGAACACAACCGAGAATATATAGGTGTTATGTGTGCATATATACATGTGCATATGCTGCAGATCATGGTGGAGGGAATTTTGCCCATAGAGACAAAGGTACCGAAGCCGCCCACGCGCAGGTGGACAAACTTCTGCAGGAGCAGCTGGTGAACACCTGGAATCTCCCAGGCTTTTTGCTGTTGTCGTCGATTCGCGTGGATACAATGTACTACTGCTTCTTTCAATCGGCTTTTATGGGTTCCAGCGTTGCACCCTTAAGGCCGTACCCGCGCCGAACCCCCCCAGCCAAAACAAAAAGAAAAAGGAGGAACACGACACAATCAGAAATACAAATCAACAACCGCCAGAAAGAGGAACATCGAGCCCTGCAAGCCGAACTCCTCCAAAAAGGCTTTCATATTCGGAGGGGCTTTGGGCACTTTCAGAGTTCAAACTCAACTTTGAGGCTTGAAGCAGCTTTCTTGGGTAAAACAACCCAGAACGGTGGTCCTCCGCTTTTCTTTGGCGAGGGTCATGCTGTGGACTAAATCCACTTCGCACCTGTTGGGCTGGATGAAGCCTTTTTGATAGGACAAACCACCCACCTGGTGCAGGAATTTGTCCACCCACAGTATTGCTGCCAAATGAGGGGAGGGAAGTAAGCTTTCACATTCTGTGAGAGATGTGAGAGTTGCCATTCTTAAAGTCATGGTGCAGTAGAAAGCAAGTCGCAGTGGGGATGGCCCATTCCAGCTGAGGTTTTCATGAGACCATAGCCGGGGCTCAGAAAGCCTCGAGGCCATGGGCCATACTGCCCGAAAACGGGACCGACCCGTCGGAGCTGGTGGTTGGAAGGGAGCCAGAAAAAAAGCTGGGAGTATCCAAATTTGCCGATGTCAAGAGACTTTCAATTGGGAGCTACCAGAGGATCTGTGAGGACCTGGTGGCAGCCCCCTTTCCCGCGCCCGGTGCGTCCTGCGAAATGCGCTTTGCGGACCCTGTCAGGGCGATGTGCTCAATCCCAATGTGTTCAAGGAAACTGCCCTCCACGGAAACCATCAGAGACCTTCAAGCATGGCACCTGCGAGCCTACGAAGGGCCCGTGAGAGTTATCACTGACGTATGGAAGGGAGGAGCTCCCAAGATTTTCATCACGGGTGTTCTTTTTTTTTTTTTTTGGGGGGGGGTCACATTTTGGGGCTCAAGGACAGGCTGACATGTATAATGGAGATTAAATCGTCAAACAGGTTTGTCTCCAAATTGTGTGGTTTCCTTGGGTGTTTCCCCCAATGGTTTCCCTCTATAACAACCCCCCAACAACTACCACCAAGTAAAGACGCACCCAGTTCTTTTATAGCCATGATTGGCCCCTTGCCCTGCACAGCACACTCCCCTCAGCAACTAGGTGTATCGAAGGATTTCGTCAAAATCACCTTCCTCTGGTGGTTTAGGGAGCATCCCGACAAAAAAGTACAGCGATTTTCAGCACAGCTTAAAATGCAAAGCTCGTCTAGCTGGTGGTCGGAAGGGAGCCGGACAAAGGGAGCTGGGGTATCCAAATTCGCCGATTCAAAAAAAAGGAAGCCCAAATCGGAGCTGCCCGTAGTTCTGATTATGGACCTAGTAAATTACAGCACCCCTTAAAATGCAAAGCGAGTGATGTCTATGTTCTTCGGCCTGTTCCCCAAATCCACAGGCGACCAGAACTTCTTGCGCTACTATCACTGCGGCCGCGCCTTGGCAGAAGTCGAGCGCTTGGAGCGCGGCTTCCGCGTTTGGTCACCGGCGGTGGGCAAAGTGGAGGCGGAGCAGGCAAAACGCCGCGTGGAGGAGCGGGTTTTGGATCACTGCCTGAGTTCCTGGACTTTGTTTTTTTGGGAAACCATTCTAATGGTAACAGCACGTCTGTTGTTTGCTTTGGTCATTTTTTGTAAAGGTTGGATCATCCTACAGGGATCGCTTTGTTGTCCAAAGCGAATCGAACGGATCTGACGTTTTGGTTTCCCCATGGTTCCCATTGCAAGTCAAGGGCCCAAAAGGTTATATACGTTCTACAACCTGGAAAGAGCACACCCTTACCAAGGAAAACTCACCTATGGGTCCTAGGCTTAGGTTTCAAACTACCCTTGAAACACGCCCTACTTTGCAAGTAGGTTGCATTGGGGATAAATCACTCAACGCCACAGAGGTATTGTGGATGGACAGAATCCTGCACCACATTGAAGCCATGGTAAACCATGGTTTTTGTTGGTATTTACAGGGGAATCAGACCATTCCAGGGTTCGTTAGATGGTGCCTAAGAGGATTTCGTCCATCCACAGTATGGCGATTATTGTACAAGAGGCATTGCAAGCTTGCAATGGTGGCATAGCATCCATGCCTCTTGAAATCCGAGCCTCTTGTTCAGTCCCTTTTGGAACTCCTTTATATTGGATACTGGCTTCCCTTTGCTGCTACCCCGCCATGGTCTTTGTGCAACTGCAAACTCTTTCCATGTTTTGAAAGCGTTTGTTCCTGGTTCAAAAACCAAGACCAACTCAGGTCCTCCTCCATGTCCAAAGGTATGCCTTGGGTTTGGCAATAGGTGGTTGCCCTTCCACAGAGATCACACACACACACGCAACACAGGCACGCCGGCACGAAAAACACAGGCACGACCGATCTGAGGCCTGAACACTGGGGGCGGGGCTCATGTTGTCGTATGATGCCAGGAGGAGTTGAAGAGGATCGCATCACGGCTGGGACTCGCAGAGCGCCTCGGAGTGACACCCTTACATCGCTTTGCCTAGCTTGCAATCCGAATTCACAATCCCTTCAGGGAAGCCACTTCAAAGGGGACCAAACTCGTGCGTAACCCAACGGAAGGATCTTGTGGATTCCCTTTGAACAGCAAAGCTAAACATCACTAGGGAACGCATGGCAGGAAATGAGGGAATGAAGCCAAGGGGTCCCCTTAAAGGAAACCACAAGGGATGGTGTATAAGGGTCATTCCCTCATTCCCTGCTGAGCATCAGCAAGCAAGCTTCCAATTGCCCAAAGCGAATCAACTGGATCTGACCTTTTGGTTTTTGTGTTTTGGCCCCAAAAGGTGGCCACCTTTGTTTTGTGGGTCCCTAAGGGGCAACTCAGATTTTGTTTAGTGGTAGTAGGAACCACCGTAGTCACCCAGCCCGGGGTTAAAACCAGGTGCACGACCCCGCTTGTGAATGGGTTTTGAGGTCCATGCAGGGGCTGGATTCACATTAGCGAATGATGCAGGCTGGGGGCATGTGTTTTTGGCTTCCTGCAGGTGCTTTCAGGAGCTTCATGTGGCAAAGTTGATTGACCAACCGGATATTGATCTGGGTCTGGGTAAGCGTAGGTTTTAGTCCATGAGTTCATTTCCCAGGGTTCGATGTTGGGTCAGGAGTTCCCTCGGTTTGGCCAAAGGCTTGACATGTTAACCTACATGCACATGCATGTGCTGGTCAAACTGGTGCTAGGTGAGTTGGCAGACAGAGGGACCGCCACAAGTAGTGGGCTGCCTCTAAGCTTCTAAGCTTCTTTGCGGCATGCGGGCCATGCGGGTGTGTATTGTCTTGGGGGTCACCCTGAAGCAAGGCAAGAACCACAAATGCTCCGTGGTTTTCCTTTTGGTTTGCCTTTAAGACAAACCCAAAGAAGGGGCACCAAAAAGGACGAGCCTCCCATATAGAACAGGGCTCCTTAAAAGATACGTGTTGCAACCGTTTGAAACATGGCTTTCTCCACCAAAATGCAGGGAAACCACCATTTACAAGGCAATGTTCAGGTGTATAATGTAATCCCTGTGGAAACAAACAGCTTGCTTTGACAACTTCTGCTGGCCAAAGCTCGCATTTTCTCAGGACAGAAGTCCGCAAGGCAATCCTGGCTGAAATGGTGCGCATGACCAGCCGCATGTCCACCCCTGCGCGCGAAGTAGTAGACACTTGGGTGCCGAATAGGAACGCGACGGATGGATAGGGGCGTTTTGTTTTAGGTCCAGAGCCGCACAATGGTTGTAAAAGGGATACCCACCAGAACAAACCGTCCATATTTGTTCTGTTTGCTCCAGGCCTCAGAACGCGCGTTTTTTTTGTGGGAATTGGACTTCTTAGACTCCTTGGGTTTGATGGCTTGATGGGTTTGAAGGAGCCGGGGCGCCCGCTTGTACGGGTTATCAAGGATCGGCATCTAGGATTTGATTTGCCAGTTTTATCGGCGAGCTGAATCTGTGGGTTAAAGGAGCGAAAGCCATGAGGCTCCGTTACTTGGGGCTGCTGTACTTCTAAGTCAACACCAGCACCCCCCCCCCTTCACAACTGCTGTTTCCGATGCTGTGCAAACAGCAGTGATGCGGGGCGGTGAGGTGCTGGCAATGGACCATGTGCCGTCAAAACACGCAACTTGGGTTTGGTAGCTGCGGTCAAAACCATAGGGAGTTAAGCCAACATGTGCAAGTGTTTGGAAGGAAACCATGCTCCCGACCCCATCATGAATCTGAGACGAGTGAAAGCCTGCTGCTCTCCTTGGTAATCAATGGTCACTAAATTACTAAATAGTTTTTGTTTTTCTGCAGCATTGGCTCAGCTAACCCCAGCTTGGTAGTTTGGTTCCTGTGGGAAAAAATGGGAAACATCCAAACCACCAAGAGGGAAGCTAACTCAGCAGCCATCCCAAATATCCGAAAGCTCGGTCAGGTCACCCTTGGTGAGTTGGATTTGTCGGGTACACGAACCCCTGGTTCTTCTCAAGGGGAAGCCAGGAAGCAGCGGAACAACGGAGCCCAACCCCAGCGATTCGGCTCCAAACCACTTCCCTCCAGTTGCTTAAGATTTGTTTTTTGTCCCTTCTTGGTTTTAAAAGGAATTCCTCACCTCTGGAAATATTTTCTCATTTTTACTGGGGCCTTATCCAAATGGAAGCTTCGGGGCCCCGCAAACCACCCCAGAATTAGTTCCTTTTTTTTGTTTTGCTTTTTTGGGGCCCGCCTTGTTTTCCAGAAAAACAGGCGAAGGGGGGGAAAAAAGAAGCTGGGGTCCCCTTCTTCCAGCCAAGAAAAGAGGTCTCCCGCCTCCCACCCCCCCCAGCCGCCCCTCTCCCCCCAGAACTCGAACCTGGGGCAAATTGAAGAAGATCCAACTCCAGCCAAGCTCGGGGCCTTCCTCAGGAGAAGGCTGCCGTGTGGTGGCGCGACTCGGGGGCGGCGGAGAAGCTGCCGGAGAAGAAGGGCTACTCGGTGGATGCCTGGGGACGACGCCGGGGCGGCAGCACACAAGGCCGGAGGTGGAAAATGAAACATGGAGATGGTCATCTTCCTTTTGCGGTCAAATTAGTATTGTTTTTGTCTTTGGACCGTTTTCTATATATATATATAGTTTCCCCTGCATGAATGGAACATGTGGATGGTTGCGAAATCCGCTTCTCGCACCACCCAAGAAACCAGGCTTGAAACCACTGTTTGTTGGTATTTACAGGGAATCTGACCATTCCAGAGCTTCTTATGTGGTGCATTTTTTGTCCATCCACAGTATGGTCATTTGTTGGCTGAAGGAATATAGTATTGTTCCCCTCTTGGTTTCCTGTTGGTTTTTCAAATCTTCATTTGCGCTTAAATGAATATTGTTTGTCCTTTGTTGGACTGCTTTTTATTTCCCCCTGTTGGCTTTCTCATTGGGAACTGGACATAGGTTTGTTTTCCTGGGGGCGAAAACGCAAATGCAGGTCACGGCTCTGGAAAAGTAGCTGGCTGGAATTTGGAGCCAAGGTCCAAATTGCCTTAGGCTAAGGAGCTACCAGGCGTTCTGATTGCGGACCTGGTAGAAAACTTGACTGCTAGTCCGTCCGTAAAGTAGTCATGGGGATGAGAATAGAGATAGGCTTGTTTGTCGCAGCCCTTCGCCGCTTTAATTACTCAGCCGACTTCTGCAGATTATACCCGTGTATCCATGGTCGTGGCCAGGGGTTCTTGGATGCTCAGCTCGCTTTGTATGCAGTTGGAACAACCCATTTGCTGTATGCTTGTGCTTTGTGGTTACGCACCCAAAGGAACAGAGAGGTTGGTCATGAGAGAACTCGCCTAGCTCAATTACCAACCATGCGCAAACTCCCACAAGCGCGGCTTATTGAAACAACACTCCTCTGGAAAAGTCGTGTTTTCCACTTCCACGGCACCAAAAACTATGGTTTCCACTCCAAAGAGCTACCCCAGGGCGCTGATGGGTGATGCAACGACAAGCCGCTATGGAAAGGATACCGGAGTGGTTCGGGGATGGAAAACATCTTCTTACCTCTTAAAAACACAACTTTTCAACTTTTTGGGTAACATGGGCTATCTGTCTGTAAAAGATTAACTTCCCCAATCCTTGGTTTTAAGGGGTAAGTCTTGGAAGCTATTTGGGCCAATCGAAATACAGGAGCTCCTTGGAGCGATAAGAAGGTCGAGGGTCACAGAAGCGGAACGACCACTCCCACCCTTGACAACAGGCCGCTGGTTGTTTTATCAGAAGGACATGTCTTCCTTGTTCAGAGGTTGGCGTTGGTTCCAAGAGAACCTGCAACGGCATCTCTCAAGGATTGACCTGCATCATAGGCAAATTGACGCGCTTAAGATGAGTTTCCACACTAGATCAGGGGTGAAGGACACCCGATCCGTTGCTATCCGACAAAGTCATACCGAGCAACTGGTTCTGTTCGTAAACCTGCCCCGGACAGCCACAAACACGCCGCCCCAAAACAGGAAAGGATACCTTGGCCAGCCTTTTGCCAAAAGGGTCTACATGTGCCAGGTGATTTTAGGTGGATGCGTGGATCCATTTGGAGGGTGTTCCTCCACTCCACAATCTGAGCGGGAGGTGCTTGCCACGTGTTCCGCTACGACCTATCCGCGCTGCCAGTGAGAGTCAAGGCGAGCCTGGCTGAGAAGCAGAAGACGGACATGAAGCTCGGAGCGAAGGTATGTGTGTGCTAAATAGCCAATGATCTTCAAGTTCCTTAACTCAGTTGCCCAGTGGTGCCCTTGTTTCCATTTTCGTTGGAGTGGTTCCGATTCCTTTAAAGTCAGCCAACCAAAAACTGATGCCCTTTTTTCCGTACTAGGCATTTGAGTTAAGTATCTTTAAGTCTTTCGTTTCCAACAACACATAATGGTGCCGGGGAATGTGAGAGTTTTTTTCCGGACCCCTGTTCAACAACCACGCATGCTTTTGGGGTAAGACCTCTGAGGACCCCCCAAACACACCCAATATGTGTGGGGAGGCGGCGCGCTTTGGGGTTCCCAGTTCTACGTATGCCGTAAGGCAATCCCGTTCCTTGAGAGAAGCGGAAGCGGGAAAGTGAACGAACATGGTTTTGTCTCACAATTAGGGAAACAGCCAAAAATGGCTAAATGTCCTTTTGGTTTCCCGTTAGAACATGCCCAAGCAGGGTGCCCAACAACAAAACAACAGGCCTAGATGACCCGGGCTTGTTTTTTGAGCGCGTCCCTTTTTGGTCGCTTTCAGACCCCCCCCCCCAAGAGAAAAAAGCAAACAAAGAAACAAGCCAGCAAAAACAGAAGGACGCCGCCGGTTTAGAGGGGTTGTTTCCTGACCCCTATGTTGAGACCTACCCAGCTCAACCGAAACGGTTGACATCGCGAGACGGCGGCTGCCCACCCGAGGAGCGGCTTCGCCTGCCAGTGGTGCGGCGGGCCCCCTTCGGCGCACCAGGACGTGGGCGCAGCCAACGAGGAGTGGGGCGGAGCGCTGGCGGCCCCCCAGCACTTGGCGCCCTTCTCACCCGTTTTTTTTTTGGGGGGGAGGGTTCCCCTACTAAAGTAGACTACAGAAAAAAGGCTGGTACCAAGCTTATTCTAACCTCTGACCTTGCAGGGCCAGCAAGAACCTCGAAGATACTGTGGATGAAATCCTCTTAGGCACCACCTAAGAAACTCTGGTTGCTGAGGATTCTCCTGTAAATACGGACAGATTATGGTTTCAACCATGGTTTCAAAGTGGTGCAGGATTTTGTCCATCCACAGTGTGACGAGAACAGAGAAGGGCTTCTGTTCTTGTTTCATCGGATATGTCAAAACACCTCAAGGCTTAGCTAAGATGGATACCCCCAGACCACCCGAGCTCCGAGCCTCGAGGTTTTATGGGCTATGTGTGCGTTTCTTGTTGTAGGAGAACCCCCCCCCCCCCCCGCCCCGAACCAAGAAAACAACAACACAACAAGCACATGGTGGTTGCGCTTTGGGTTTCCCTTTGAACCCGCAGGAAAACCTTAGGCGCCCAACTCCAACAAAGGACGAGCCACGGCCACTGCTTCGCTTCGCTAGGAGGAGCTCCGACAGCAGCGGGCGGTGGCGCTGATGGCGAAAGCGCAACTCGCTGCCGAGGAGATGAAGGCGAACACGGCGCAGGAGCTGAAGGCCATTCAAGTTTCCCCTAGCGAAGGCATTCACTTCCTGGGTTGATGTGCAGTGGTCATATGGTCTTCTCCCAAAGTTTAAAGTGCAGTAACTCAGGGAGGCTCAGCTGTGCGTAAAATTTGGAAACTAAACCACTAAACTCTAAACCAACTAAGAACCAATAAACTCCCGAAGGAACCGGACGATTCGCTGGGAAACGCCAAGTTAACAGGGAACCACCGCAAAAGTGAAGTGGACATGAATCCCCGACTTCATGTTCGAAGGGTCATCTTGCAAATCCAAGATTCAGCTGTACCTGGGTTTGGCTCAAACTGAGGGACCTCTCCAAAGAAACGCGACAAACGTGGGTTTCCTCCTGGTTTCCCCTTAAAGACCACCCAAAAAGCCGAGCCCAGGCGAATTGTTCAGCAACAACTGTTCGCCGATCCGATCCGATCCGCGAGATGGCTGGGTCAAAACCGTTTTGGGACTCTCAGTTTGGTTGGTAGGCGAATTCGCCACGCATGAAAAGTCTATTTTAGTGGCTGGATTGGGATGTTCACTGGGGGTACTGAATTGTTGATTTCCATGTTAGTCTCTAAAGGTGATGAGGTTCAAATAAGATGTGCGGAGGTTAAAAAAAGGTTTAGGTTAAATTTAGAAGTGTGCCAAGGTTGAACAAGAAGGTTGCCCCTCTTTTAGTTGGGATTGGGATGTTCACTGGGGGTATGGAATTTTGGATTTTGATCTCGCCCAATTGCTTAAGAAGAGTTTTACTCATGCTTTACTCTTTAGGAAATATACCACTACAGGAATAGTGTTTTCTCCAGATGACTTTGAGCGGACATGGGCGGCCGACTCAATATCCTCCCTCGCACAAAAGATCGAGCGCCTACCCGATTGCACCCAAAACAAACACACGCCTTTTTTTTTTTTTTTCGAGGGCACCCCGGCACCAGGGCCGACAATCCGATTGAATATGCTTCGCATGGTGTTTAAACAGCTTCCTTGGGGCTCCCTTGTCTTTAGGCGCCCACGGTCAGTTGTTGCATCACATGCCCAACCCTGGCTTCAAACAACCCAAAAGTTGCGCTTTTGCGTCCGTTCTTCCACTTGCGCAAAGCGTTGATGGTTTGCTTCTTGTTGAACAACAGGACATGGCCACTCAAGGATTCGCGGTTTAGTGGCATTGAACTCGATGGATGCTTGATTGCTATTGGGTTGGATAGACTTTAAATTTTGGTTGAAATCAAGTTTGGTTTTCCTACCCCCCCCCCAAAAAAAAAAAGAAAAAGAAAAAAAAGAAGTGATTCACTTCTTGCAGGGGGGTCGTTGCAGCACCCAAGGAAGGTCGGTGGGGGATGTGTGGCTCCAGCCTATGCGCTTTGCACAGCCGTCGGCACGTGCCACAGGCCCTGGCAGACGCGGAAAGCCGCGACACCTTGGAAGCTGGCCAGGTGGTCCCCGTGTCCTAAGACGACTGGAAGACCGGCGTTTGCGGACGGGCAACGCCCCTTTTGTAGGAGAAGACCGGACGCAAAAGCACAACTTCTGGGTTGTTTGAAGCCAGGGTGGGGCATGTGATGCAAAACTCTAGCAGAAAAGGAAGGAATCCGGAAGGACAATTCGTGTTTAAGAACGCTGAGCCCTGCGGCGGCTTTTGCGGAGGGGCAAAGCCCCTTCCCTAGGATCCCAAGACCTGAAATGCGAGGGCCTCTGACCCCAAAAGACCGCAAACCATGGGTCTTGGGAGCCTGGAGCTTGCATCTCTCGCATTTCGAACGCGCAGAGGGGAACACAAAAAGCACCAGGCTGCCCATTTGTGGCTCGAATAAGAGTCTTGAGACACTCTGCACATACATGACCCCCCCCCGTGTCCTTGCGTTTGTTTCAACAAGTGGAACCCGGCTGATTGAATCGACCTCGCCCGCGGTTTTGCTTGAGCTTTCTCAGGTGTTGAAAAGCCCATGAGCGGCCATCGTTTGGGGCGGGTCCAAGTGCCAAACAGCGCATCTCACCGAGGCCCACAGCGAATTGACCGGATCTGACCTCTTCGTTTCCCCTTTTCTTGACTGCTATTGGGTTGGATCTTTAGACTTTGACTCTTTGGTTGAAATCAAGGGGTTTTCCGCTTAACCCCCAAAAAGGTAAACTTTTTGCCGGGGGGTAAACAGCAACGAAGTTTTGCAAATTGTTAGTCGAGACAGACTAATCCTCGTCCTAGAAACGCTGCGCGGGTGTTCCCTGATAGTTGCTGGAAGTGATGGCCCCCCAAAAAGGTGATCACCTTCTACGTATCTACATCTGGCGGGCACGAGTACTTGTTCAGAGAAGGCAAAGCCACAGGCGGCGGTAAATTGCTTTGTCCAGACCCTCTATTTGCAGACCCTCTATGTGCTACCCCGTAACACTGAAAGATGGTCAAAATGGGGGACCCCCCAAAGTTGTGGTTTTCCTTTCCTTCCCCTCTTTCAGCCAACCAAGCGAAGGGTACCCGCAACAAGACACACCCAGACAAAGCAAGACACAGGTGCGCGTGACGGGGGCGTTTGCCTCCAAAAGATGGCCAGAACCCAACTGTTCATCCAAAAGTTGTGGGGTGGAAATTCAATGAGTCAAAAGACAACTTGGTGGCTCCCAGCCATCCGGTTCCTTAGCTATTAGCTTTTTTGTGTTGAGTGGGGTTTTCCATTTAGCCCATTAAAAGTTAAACTTTTAGCAGGGGATCTGAGGACAGCTCAGACAACGCGCTCTTTTCATGTCCCCTTTAAAGTGCGTTTTGTCTTTTGATTCTTGTTGGGGGGCTGCAAAGAAAGTCCCAAGCTGAAGCCAAGGGCGAGATTAGTTTCCCTTGGCATCTCATTACTAGGGCTCCAGGCGCTACGATCGGGTCAAACGGGGGCAAACCGGAGCCCCCTGCGAAGATTGCCTCACTGAGCTCGCCGGTCCAAAGCGAATCGACCGGACCTGACCTTTTGCTTTTCCCATAGCTCATGTTTGGCCAAGGTCCCATAAGGTAACTTCCCCTACTATTTTCGGGTCCCTTGGGCAAAAGTGAGTCCTACTTTGCAAGTAGGTTGCACCTATGGGTATAGAGCAACCACACCAGTGACTTTCCAGGGACGTGTTTTGGAGGTCCTTCCTCCACCCGGGCCATCACCCGGGCCCTCAAAGCCTTAACGGGAGAAGGGAAAGCACCTCCAAATCTTGGGTCGCAACCCATTTTTAGGGGTCATTTTTGAGGGTCCAGGCAAACTTTCAACTACGTTCCGGCGAGTTTCTATGATGTCCCATTCCTTCCAATCATCATTCTTGTCAATATGTTCAATCACCAGGCGTTTTCCCTCGTTCTCTCGAGTGAAGGATCCCTGAAACGACTTGAATTGCAAGGTCGCCTCAGAAAGCCCAACGTCTTCTGGCCCGCTCGCCTGTGGCCTTCGAATCGCGAGCCAAAACCGCGCAAGACGCCGCGGTAGGGGAGCTATGTGCAGAAGGACTGCCCCTGGATGCCGGGGCTCAAAGCCTTGGGCGCCTCGCGCCAAGAGCCGCAGCCTCGGATCGGATCCGATGCCGAGCCAGCGAAGCTCGGATCGGGTCGGAGTCGGTCACCTCCTTGGTGCATGTTGCCGAGGGATGCCTCGGACCTTCACTTTTTGCGAACGGATTTGGGTTTCCCGTATTAAAGCCACTAACAGTTTAACTTTTAGCAGGGAAGCAGAGAGCAACCGAGATACTTTGACTAGGTGCCGTTTTTAACCCAACTTTTGTTTGGGGGGGGTTCCCCCTACTAAAAGAGACTACAGAAAACAGTTTGTACCCTTATTCTAACCTCTTTGCTGGAGGACTTAGTTGAATTGGGTATGGCACAACAAGTCATAGGGGTAAACCAGTCGCAACCATGTTTCGAATTCACCCTGCTTACGGTTTACTGGATGGATGTTTTCAGGATCCCAAAAGGTGAGGTATCCTTTGGTTGGTGGCCTGGCTTTTGTTGAGGGAAGTGGGAAACCAAGGAAGGAACACCTCCAAACCACCGATCCGGCTCCAAGCCACCAATTGGAGGAAAGCTGGAAAGGTGGTTTCCCATTTACCCTCTACAAGAACCAGGGCTTCAAATGCACACCACTCATCCAAAGCACCAATCAACATTTACCTGATTTGAGTGTTGTTCTTTTTCAGAAGAGCAGTTTCTTCATTTCGCGGGAACGCCTTGTACCTTTACGGCTTCCATTTGCTGAAATGAATATCTTTGATTCTTCCCCTACTGATTAACATGGAACCACATACAACCCACCCATTTGCACTCGTAGAGCAACCTTCCAAAGGAGGGTCCCGGAACCCCCCCAAAAGAGGCAGCCCATGTGAATTTGTAGGGGGGTAAATCCTTCCCCCTGTTGCCGTCAAAGGGAATCTATCACTATACTGGAACTATGGATTGTTGCCAGGGCACTTCATCAAATGGAGGGAGAACTACCCAAGAAACAGTCCCCTTTCTCTCTCATGGTTACCGGCGGCCTGGTTTTGGCAACAAAAGGGGGGGCTCTCAAGGGAGACTCTTCTAACCTGCACTGTTGTTTTGGGATGTCGTGCTAATCGCGGTTGTTCTACTCCATTGTCCTTGGCGCGTGCTTGCTTTGCTTGTTGCTTCTTCGGTTCTGTTTCTTTTCAAACACAACATGCCGTTGTTTGCCGACATGACCGTTGGGAAGCTTGGTTGGACAAATCGAACGGACGAACTGACTCCGAGTTGTTCAGTGCCCGAGTTCTGTTTACCAAAAATGATCGACCCCCAAACAGGGTTCCACTCTTTTTGATTTCCAGGAACATGGGGCAACCAAGGAAATACCAGAATGCACAAACTCCGCTTGGAAGACTATTTCCTTGCTGACTTGCAAATAGTGATTTGCTTTTCGCAGGGGTCTGTTGGACCTATTTGTGCAATGGTCATTTTGCTTGTGTACCCCATTTTCCCTGGGTAGGCACCATCATGGTTGGTTTGACCAGACCTGCCTTGGCCGCCCCAAGTAAATAGGCAATTCATAACCTGCGCTTCTGGTTGAAACGAAGCCCTGGCAAAACTCGGACATATCGGGCAAAGCCTACATCCAGGTCCCCTTCCATGTGTTCCATGACGGCCCTGTTTTGGGTACGCTACACGGGCAACACGGAGACGACCTACGCGAGTTTTGATTTGCATGAGAAAACTCCTTGAACTCTATTGGGCTGGATCTACAGGCTTGATTGGTTGGGGAAAATGATGCATTTCCCGCTAACCTGCAAAGACAGAAATGCTCCGACTTTTTTGGCAGGGGGTTTTGCAGTCATCCTTGGGAACGCAGGGGGGCCACGCAACGGAGACCACCTGTGTCGCCCTCACTTCCTGAGTTCCTGGACCAAACTTTTCGGGCAGACCATGTTAATGGTAAACAAACAGTTGGAACTTTTCCTGGCCAAAATACTCAGGAAGTAACAAACAGTTTGGCCACTTTTTCGGACCAATCCACGCAATCGGAAGTGAGTACCGTGGGGTGATGACGTGTGCTCGAGGCAGGATGCCTTGCTGCAGAGCTTGCGCTTGGAGCTGCAGTCTGAGGAGCTCAGGCCGCACGGGTTTGAGGCAACTCGTTTGGGGTTGGGATACGGTTGGGGAACCACGTGGTTTTGACATGTTGTAGCAAAAGGAACGCCGCCCATGTTGGATAGGTCGACCTTTTGACCTTTTGGTTTTCCCATTTTGGTCGATATTTAGTCATGACCCCAAAAGGTGATCACCTTTCAGTTCCAGGTCCTTTGAGCAACTGAGGTTGGCTAGGTCCCCCAGCTAGGTGTGAACTTATTTTTTGAGGGGGGAGGGTTTCCTACTAAAATAGACGACAGAAAAAAGGGTACCCTCATTCTAACCTCTACTGGAGGACCTAGAACTGGCAGCCCCAATTTCTTAGGGGTGCCCCCAGTTTGAGTCAGACCCGCGTTTCCCCTTTGGCTTAGACAAATAGTTGTAGTCTCCAGCTTGGAGTGAGTGTCCAATGTTCTAGGGAGCCCTGGCAAAGCACCTTTTTTGTCTTCCAATCCCAGGGAAGCTGATGGTCATCATGTCAGGCCCCCTGGGAATGCCGCTTGAGTTCTGCCAGGAAAGGCCTTCCTGTGAGGAAAGACGGGGAGCTGGGGCACATTGGCCTTTGAAGAGGGAGCTAAGGAGCTACCAGGGGTTCTGCAAAGACCTGGTAGTTTATCTAGTATGTTGCCTGCTATGATTGGGAATAACACAACTGAAAATGGGTGATACTTTGCCTTATGTTAACTTGGCTATAGCTATGGCTAGAACCTCGCTTTTTCTGGCCGGCTTCGAGTCATGTGCTCATGGAAAACCAAGCGATCCCACCTTGACCGCACTCGATATGGATCCCATGCGTCCTGGAGCAACCGTACAACACCCGCGCCCTTTGGCTACCATTGGCACGCTCACAAAATGCAGCTTCTCAGCAGCGGCTTAAACCCTGGTTTAAACAACTTACTGTAGCAGTAAGTGGTTTAAATTAGGGTTTAAGCTGCCTAAGCCATGGTGAATCAGCTGCCCTCCCCCCCCCCTTCCCCCGTCTCTCCACGGTGAGGCGTTGGGCCGGGAGCTGCGACTTGGTGGCGCTGCAGGAGGTGGACACCTCCCTGCGCCAGGCCCTAGGCGCGGGGTGGGGTGGGTGGGGTGGGATGGGTGGGGTGGGGTGGGTGGGGTGGGTGGGGTGGGTGGTGAGGTGGTGGGGGTATTGGGGTCTAGTTGAGGTGGATGGGTTAGTCCCCAAGTCACGCTGCCCCATCCTTTTCGCAGGTCTGTGAACGCATGTTACCGAGGAACACTGCAGAGGGCGCTATCTGAGTCTGAACCCAGAAAATTGGAGGACTTCGCCCCTTTGCCCGTTTGCCAATTGCGCAGAAGGTGCTGAAACCGAAAGGGAATGGGGATTGCTCTTGTCCACACCCTGTAGGGGAATGAAGGGAATTGGTTGACAGCGGCATGGGTATTACCCATGCCGCTGTTTCAACCTGAAAGGACTGGTTTACAAGCGTAAATTGACAGGACTCCACTTCTTCGGTGTTTACTGAAGCTTTCGAGTGGTGGCTCCCAAGAACTTTCGGTTTTTGGGCTCACATTCCTTGAATGTTCCCTGCCCACGCCAGGTAAGAAGCTAATCTGGCCATTGTAAGGGAACTATCCGCAGTGAGCACCAATGACCAGTGAACGTGGTTATAACCCACTTTCCTGTGGGCGAAGAACATCTGATCTGAGAATCCGCAAGATACTACAATATGGTTAAACCTTCTTACTAGGTGATAACCGGCCGTGACCGGTACCCACGACACTTGGGCATTTGTTGTTGACATGTTTAGAGAAAAAACAATGTTTGACCACTGCGCACTCGGGTTCAACATCCAATTTTCAGGTTCCGTTTAGTTGGTGGTTTGGATTGACGGTTTGGGGATTTGAGTTTCTGCTTCTTGCCGAGAAGTGGGAAGCTACCCCAGGAGATGCGACCTGGGCCGGGGGCCACAGAAGGAGTCTACTAAATGGGTGGAGTTGGACCCCAAGAGGTGGTGGTGGTCCTTTTGGTTTCCCTTTAAAGCCACAAAACATGGGGAACCCCAAAAAAGAACACCCCCAAAATGGTGCGAGATGCATACTGTGGACGGACAAAACCCTGCACCACTTTGAAACGATGGGAGAATCATCATATCATGCTTGTTTGCCAATATCCCCCCCACCAATTAACATGGAACCTGACAGGGGGGGTCTGGAAGTTCCTTTTAAAGGAACCGGTGCCCCATTTGATTTACACCTTGGGTATATTCGGGATTTGGTTCAGGAGGTCGTGAAACCTTTGATCGGTCAGCTTGCCTCGCCCCCCCTCCCCCCCTGAGGTTTTTGTGCAGCCACCGTTTTCGTTTTTGGAAAGTCCATTCTGCAGTCCTCTTCTTTTGGTACACGCGCACACGCACACAGTGGCGCCGTTTTGTCCTCTTTCCTTTGGGAAGGACCCACCTTTTAAAATCAAACAACAAGGATGCCCTTGTCCTCCCATGGCCACCGAGCAATTGAGTACTTTAGGAGTTTCCAACAATTGTGTTTTTGTTTCTGGAAGCCAGAAGGAAAGACCTTGTTACGTCTGGACATGGGGCTGTGTTCTTTGTGGCTACGCTTTGGGGGGCTCCTTTAATGGCTTTAATGGGACAACAAAAAACAACATCCGCTAATATTTTGACACATGCCTAAGTACATTTACAGAATACATCTCACTCCGAGGGGGTCCTGAACTTTAAACTTTGTGGGAAGTCAATTGTAGTTAACAAACAGTTTGGTGACTTCTTTAGTCAATCCACTCAGGAAGTGAGACGTATACAAATGCATAGTGTATTTTTTACTGTAAACAAATACAGATCACAAATATGTTGTTACTAAAAGTGACCTGCAATTCAAATGGAATTTGAAAAGTCCCCACATAGGTGTTTAGCCTTTTGGCTACAGCATATACTACAAAGGTAGTTCATACATACATACATACATACATACATACATACATACATGCATACATACATACATACATGCATACATACATACATACATACATACATACATACATACATACATACATACATACACACATACACACATACATACATACATAATTTTATGTTTATACACATACACACATAAATGCAAATATATACGCACATGAAAGATACAGGTCAAACGCAGCAAACCCGGGTCCATGGGAGGGGGTACCATATACAGGTATCATATAAATACACAACTTCCTATGTTCAGCTCCCACTTGGATGACTTCCGCCGCGGGCGGCAGAGGTGGAGAGCGCCTGGCACGTGGACGGCCGCGGAGTGCGTGTGGACTCCCGGGTGGCGCTGCTGCTGCCGGCGGGCTCCAAGCTCCACGTGGAGCGCGGGGGGGCCCAGGTTGCGGCTCGATGTGTTCGGGTGAGAATGTTGGACAAGGGTTTATAGCACCCAGGTTGTTCAGTCGCCCCAAAAGGTTGGTGAGTGGAAATCAAGAGCTTCCAAGGAGGGAGCTACTCTTGGAGGCTTTCTATGTCCCCTAGCAGTGCCCTTTCTCACCAACCTTTTTTGGGGCTTTGGGTTCCCCTACTAAAATAGACTACAGAGAAAAATCGGGTACCAACTTATTCCAGGTCCTCTCGACTGGAAGACCTAGTGTTTGCTTTTGCTACTTGGGTGTTCGATTCGCCAAGTTAAACACTTTGGTGCATTTGGCTTGGATGTCAGGATTTCAACTTTTTGCCAACGAATGGGTTTTCCATTGAACCACTAACCACTTACAAGCTTGGCCCGAACGCCAAAGTAAGGCTCAAATTGTGGTTGGCTTGGTGGCAAGCCCTGCCATCCGGTTCCTTATTTTTAGGTTTTAGTTGGTTTTGTTGTTAGCCCGGCTAACAGTTAAGCTTCTAGCAGGAGATCTGAGGGCAGCCCAGTTTGGGGGTTGGTAACCCAGACCCCGGATGAAGAAACCGCTTCTTTATCTACAAGGGGTAGGTACGCTACAGGGTATGGGTAGTTGAGAGCCTCTTTCGGGTTCCTTAGGGCCTGAGGGTTCCCGAGATGTTTGTAGGGTTCCCTAAGGTTTCTTAGAATGCCTTGTGGTTTTGTAGACTTCCTTCCATTTGCTGAATTGAAGAAATGTTTGATTTTCCCCTGTTGGTTTTACAGGGAATCGATTTCACTGTGGGAAACATGTTTATTCCCAGGTGAGGACGCCAACCATTTGGAGGAAATCCCTGTTTTTGACACACGCACATTGGGAAGATTCCAGGCCCGTAGTGCCCGCGGTTGTAGAGACAAGCCGTTTGTTGGTTACCGTGTTGCGCGTTACTTCCATTTGCTGAAATATGTTTGTGGTTTTTTCAAGTTTCCCCTGTTAGGCTTAAAGGGAACCGATACTTACTGGAAAGATGTGTTTATAAGTTTCTCTGATTTTTTTCACTCAGGAAGTCAGGTTATGGAATCCATGGAGTAGGTAGCTGAGGCTCCGCCCCTTTTGGGTTATTCAGATCTGGTTGATTCATTTTTTGGGTAGAAGGTTCCTCAGGAAGTCTTAAGGAAGCCCCCTTGGACCCCGCCCGCCTAGGGATTCCATAGGTGGGCGGGACTGGCATGTGGCGAGACCGAGAACCGCTGGCTTCCTTCGGGGGTTCCGAGCGGGAAATCTAGTGACTGTCCTGAGTCCTTGTGGTGAAGGAAAACGGCCCTAAGAAAGGGTCGCCTCCAAAAAGCGACACCGGACTTGAAACCAATGATTGGAGGTCCAAATCTTTATTTTGACACGGCCTCTGCTGCCCGCGGTTGCAGGCAAAAGATTTGCATTTTGTTGGTTTGTCGTGTTTCGCGCTAACGGACGTCGACGACTTCCTAGGCCATCAGGGCGCCCCACTTTCTGGTATCACAACTAGGTCCCCCAGTAGCGAGCTTTCTCACACCGTTTTTTGAGCGGTTTTTGGGTTATTCTACTACCATAAACTACAGAAACAATTGGGTACCAACTTATTCTAACCTCAAACTACTGGAGGACCTAGACAATAGAACGTGGCCCGTGCCTCACATCTCACATCTTCCAGGAACGGCTCATTGTCAACTCCGGGTGCCCTTGAGAAGTGGGCGCCTCGGCGTATCCGCGGGTTGGGGCGGAGGGTGTTGGCTTTTTTCTTCTTTATATATATATATATATATATATGTATTATTTCTTCGAAGGGAAGAACGCCCAAGCCCCGGTCGGGTGGGACATGGGTGCGAACTTTTTTAATTGTTCGACTTGTTTGGGAGGGAGCCTTCCAAACTGGTTCCTGGGCTCAAGCTGCAAATAGGCGCTATATCCTTGGATGTTTCAACTTTTAGGGTTTGGAGGGACTTATGACATATGGGTGTGGAAAGGGACCCCCCCACCCTGCCCCCTCAAAAAAGCAAACAAAGAAGTAGTTTTCTCTTTGGGTTTCCTTCTAAACCGCGGGTACGTCTGGTTTTGAGCGTACCCTTGGGGTTGGTTTGATCCAGAAAGCTAAAAGGAAACAGGGGTTCTCCTTTGAACCCAACACCCACATATCCCCCCAGACTTTAGTTTTTAGCAAGGGATCAAGGAACCACCGAGCCGCAAAGTTTTCGGGTAGACATTGCGTAGAAACCCAAAGAAGTTAGCTGTTTTTTTCTCCTGACAGCAAGTTTGGGCAGACCTGCTTGCCAATGTGCGGCCGCTTGGCTGTTGCAATTGATTGTCTAGAAGGCTTCAATTGCACCTTTTGCAAGGGGCCTAGTTCATCTCAAGAAATGCCACGACTTGGAGTGCTTTGACACTTGCCAGCCCGCCTGAAGTGTAGCGATCTTTCGCCTTGGCACCGATTGGCCGTTTGGAGCCGGGACATCCTGCAGAAAATGGGGTGAGTCAAGGGGCAAATCCAACCACAGATTCTAGCGGTTGGTTTCCGCCTTCTTTTCAACCATCGTCCTTTCCAAAATCCGGATCCGTTTTCCGGGGTTCCGGAGGTCTTCTAGAAAGAAGGATCCCCAGTACCAGGTTTTGGTGATGATTCTTCTGGGCGCAGATCTTGGTGCCGAAGGCTCCGCGCCCCCAAATTTTGCCCTAGCTGTGGTATTCGCGTGGTGCTGGGAAAGAAAAGGGATCGCCATGACATGGCCCGGGTCTCGATACCATGTGTTCGCGGAGCTTGTAGTTCTTCCTGCCACGAGTGCCTCGCTGTTCCTTCGTCAGGAGGTGGGTTTCACTTCTGAAATCTTCTGAAGTCAGCTCTCCTTGCTTCCTTGGCCACTGGAAAAGCAGGATGTCAGTGGCTGGCTTCTGAGCCACTGGAGAGGAAAGAAACGCAATATGTCCTGTTGATAGGTTGATTCTGCTATACAGATGGTGCCGACACATGTTGCAAACACACCGTGGTTTTGTTTAAATCCTCTGCTGATGTTAAGCGTCCAACATTCAATTGAATCGAAGCTTGGTGGTTTGTTGGTCCCCTCCTCCTTTTTCACGGGATCCCAAAATGCCCCCCTCTCCCAACCCGGCTCCCCTTAGTTTAGAATAGGGGCTCCCAGAAACAAAAAAAGGAAAAAAACAACGACAAAGCATGGATTTCAGTTTGACCTGTGGTTTCCCTTTAAACCACCCCCCCCCCCCCGGAAGAAAAAACACAACGGGTACCCCTTCCAAAAACGATTCCCGTCTCTTGGCCCCTTGGCGCGGCCTCCATCCCAACCGAGGCGCGGCCATGCGGAGCGGGACCACGCGGCGGCTGTGATGTCGAGCGACGGCCAAAGCCTTGCGGCCCGGAAGAAGCGGCGGCTGTGAGATACCTTACTTCTTAAAAACATAACTTTTCGTAACTTTTTGGGGGTAACATGGGCTATATGTCTGTAAAAGATTAACTTCCCCAATCCTTGGAGTTTTAAGGGGTAAGATACCCTCCCCACGGTGAAGCATTCAGCGAAGCATTCAGTCAGCTCAACATCGTTTTTTGGTGAAACCAAAAAGTCCCTCAAGGATAACAGGGCTCCCCCAATTCCCTCCTTTTTGGGGGCTCCAAAGTGGTGGTGTGTTTGGTCATTGGCTTACTCTTTTGTCATTGGCGTCCACTTCAAGTGGCTTGGCGGTGTGTTCGTTCCTTCAGTCGGGTTTTTCCGTAGCCTCACTTCCTGAGTTCCGGAACTCGGACTTTCAGCTTTGTGGGTTTGGACCATGCGGTGAACAAACAGTTTGGGTACTTGGTTTGGCGGTTTCTTCTTGAGTGGTTGGGTCTTCCTGAGTTCCGGAACTCGGACTTTAGTCTTGTCGTGTTTGGTGGCCAGTGGTGAGCAACAGATCGGGCGTTCCTTAGGTGGCCTCAGGGTGTAGGCAGAATTCCTTGTTAGGCTCTCGAGGATTGGTCTCACTTCCTGAGTTCCGGAACTCGGACTTGCAGCTTTGTGGGTTTGGTTGCCATGTTGGTGGCGTAGCCGGTATTTAACTTGAGCTGGGATGAACACCCTAGGGAAGTTAACCCATATAATCCCAAATGAAACAAGCAGTTTATCTGGAAATAGGATACTTGACTGCTAGTGGGCAACGGATCTTTAGACTTGGTTGAAATCAAGGGGTTTCCCACGAAATCCACAAGAAGTTACTCACTTCTTGCAGAAGGGTCAACAGAAACCAAGTTTAGTTCGTTTAGTGGTGGGGTTTCCATTGAGCCTCACTTTCTGAGTTCCGGAACTAGGACATTAGTTTTTGGGTTTGGTTGCCATTTTAGTGGTCAACAAACAGTTTTGACTTGCTTTGGCCCATCCACTCAAGAAGAGAGTAAGGTGTGTTTGAGTGTGCGATACCCTCCCCGTAAAAGCATTGGCCCCCCAATGCCCTCTTGTTTAGGACCTCCATGGACCTGCAAAAGTGGCATTATTGTTGGAACCCAGTCATTTGCAACTTTTGTGTGCGACTAGCTGGTGGCAAGGAAGTGGGGGGAATCCAACTTTGCTAATTTAAAGCGGGAGCCGAAGTCGGAGATACCAGGGATTCTGTGAGGACCTGGTAGGATACCACCCCTTAGAATTGAACTGTGGGGTCGGAGTCCGTGGTTTTGTGTTCAGCACTTCGACTATTTGCTGCCCAGAATATGCACAGATGTGTGAGGTGCCGCTTTCTGACAGTACCCTTTTCACCTTGTTTTCAGGGTACTGCACCAGGAAGCGAGTTGAGCCATTTTGAGGTTCCCAGCTGTTCATTGTTTAGGGTTCCCAGTGCGCATCCACGGGCCCTTTTGGTGCAGCCGAAGGCTTCTTCCACGAAGGCTTCCCTTGGCTCCCCCCTCCCGCTGGTTTCCTCTCAAAGGGCCTTCATTCAGGAGTTGGTTGGCCTTCTAAAACTCAGTTGTCCAAAGCCGACCTTTTGACCTTTTGGTTTTCCTAGTTTGGTCTATTTTTAGTACAGGTCCCTTTTAGTTCTGGGTCCTTTGGGCAACTGAGAAAAGGGTAGGCCTTCCACATGAAAGTTGAACCTAAAGGGCCCCTTTTTCATAAGTCCACAGGAGGATTTTTGGTCCATGGTGTGAACATCTAAGGCCCCGGTACTATTCATATGATCCAAAGGCTTGAGAAGGACCTTGACGGACACAGACACAGGGGGATGTTTTCCAGGGCTCCTGAAAAGATACATTGTGCAACCATTTGAAACGTGGCTTTTTCCACCAAGTTAATGGCAAACCACCATTTACAAGGCAATGTTCAGGTGTATAATGTAAGGATCCCTGTTTTCCATGACGTGAGGGTGACTGAGTTGAGGCTGTGTGCTCGGTGCACTTGCACCCACCTACCACAAGCTCCGCGGCCGCGCGGCAGACTTTTGGTTGACTCGGACCTCGAGCGTTGCTTTGCCAACGGAGGGGGTGTTCGGCCAAGTCAGAAAGTTGTTGGTGACCTAAGTCCTAACCTACTTACCGGGCAAACCCCACTTGAGGGGACCTCTATGGGGCTATAAGTAGGATATAACCTACTAGGTCCCCCAGTAGTGCCCTTTCACCCTTGTTTGGGGGAGGGTTCCCCTACTAGAATAGACAACAGAAACAGGGCACCCTTATTCTAACCTCTCTACTGGAGGATCTAGCCTAGGTTATGAACGACTTACTAACTCATGTAATCCAAAGGCACCGCTCTGTCCAATGGAGCTCCGTTGGAGGTTTGGGTTGTCAATGTTGGGTGCCATGGCTGTGGCAAATGCAGGGTTGTGTGCTTTGTCGAGGTGAGTTACAACCGTTTTGTTGGAAGAAATGCCACAACCGCTCGGGTATGGAACAACATATGTAACACATGTTTGAAGGTTGCCAGTTGTTAAAACCCTTGGGCGGGCACGTGGCTTCCAGGGTCCCGCGGGCGAACAGGCGACGACTAGTCAGAGAATCTTGTGGAAGAGACGAACCACAGGAAACCCGTTGCGAGTTCATCAGGCATCCCCCCCCCCCCCCCACCCATTAAGAACAGCCATCGCCCCCGGTTTCATGTCTGTTCCATGTTTCACGTTTGGGAAAAGCGGTTGGGGGCGTGGCATGGGGCACTCCCCACCCCCTTCCTTCGAGCCAAACATTGACATGTTGCAGGGGGCAACAGCCCCTTGCCACATGCCCGGCTTTGGGCCTGAGCTTGTTGCATTGATCCGTGAAAATATGGACAAATGGGCAGTTGGGTCGCCCGCGCAACCAAATGCCTGCGATGGCTTTGTTGTTTTTAGTGGTTGGAAGACCCACCCAGCTTGGATGTTAAGTCGTTCAGCTGTCAACCCTTATTCTTGACAGGTGCTTCATCATCAAACATCTTGCTGAAGGCCCCCCCGGCAGAAAAAGCTACACGTTTTCTGGCCAGTCAACTCAGCGAGTCAGATACTAGGTCCCCCAGGATCGTGCCCTTTTACCCTTTTTTTCGGGGAGGGTTCCCCTACTAAAATGGACAAAACTGAAAAAAATAGGGTACCCTTATTTATTCTAACCTCTCTACTGGAGGACCTAGGACAAGAACGCTTTGGATCCAGTAGAGCCGCGTGCGGAAGTCGTTCTCCAGGGTGCCAAAAATGATAACCCAAGAAGCTAAGGCAAGTTGGCTTTCAATCATTTGGGAGTTTCTCAAAATGGAGGGCTCCCTTTTAGTTGCGATATACAGGGAACGCGAAAGGAACCCAAGCGTTTCGGTGTCTTAGTGGACCAATTCCCATTTTGAGAGCCACCCATTTACCTTCTTCAACCATGGCCACGGGTAAGGACCTCCATCCCTCACAAAGGGCACCTGGGTTGATGGACGCGGCTTCTGGGCCAGTTCACTTCGAGGTGTGGGATGAGAGTAATGTAGGCCTCTGTACCCCTTTGCTTGGTGGTGTTCAAGGCAAAGCACAACTCTTGGGGATCCCCTAACAATTACCCTTTTTTGGGGGGAGGGTTCCCCTACTAAAATGGACTACAGAAAAAATAGGGTACCAACTTATTCCAACCTCTCTACTGGAGGACCTAGGACACATTAGAGGAATATAAGCCCAAGTGGGTGTCATTTTTTGAGTGTAATTTTTTGGGATCCCCTAAAAAGACACAGCGCCAAGTGGAACTTGGATGTCCAGGTGGCATACGTGGAGTACCTGGCTCCGCTGAAAGAGATGCTGCCGCTTGGAGGTGAGGAAGCCGGGCAGCCGGACCCCTTGGAAAGACTCGGTTCCATTTGCAGAAGGGAGCTTCCATGTTAGTCTGAGGAAGACTTGGTTCCATTTCTTGATTGCTATTGGCTAGCGGATCTTTAGACTTGAACTTTTCGGTTGAAATCAAGTTGGGTTTTCCCACTGAACCCCCAACAAGTTATTCACTTTTTGCAGGGGGATCAACAGCAACCAAGATTTGGGGGAAGTCTTTGCACGTCGGTTGGTTTTCTTGCCTGTGCAGCCCAGGGATTCCCTAAAAGAAAATCATCCGCTTGGATGGTTTATAAGGGTCATTCCATGTCCCATTCCCTGTTGAGCACCAGCAAGTTTTCTTGCCCAAGTGGAATCCTTGCAGCTTCCCTTTCGAAGCTTTCCTGAAAGGTCCTTGATGCCACCTCCCCACAAAGAACCAGTTGGACAATTTTAAATGGACACTGAACTGTTGCTGCCCTTTTGATGAGTTACAACCACTGTGTTTAGAAGTAAAGCGCAACCCGTCCTTCCTTCCTTCCTTCCTTCCTTCCTTCCTTCCTTCCCTCCCTCCCTCCCTCCCTCCCTCCCTCCCTCCCTCCCCTCCCTCCCTCCCTCCCTCCCTCCCTCCCTCCCTCCCTCCCTCCCTCCCTCCCTCCCTCCCTCCCTCCCTCCTCCCTCCCTCCCTCCCTCCCTCCCTCCCTCCCTCCCTCCCTCCCTCCTCCCTCCCTCCCTCCCTCCTTCCCTCCTTCTCTCCTTCCTCCCTCCCTTCCTTCCCAAATTTCATGGAAATCCGAGCCGTTTAGGGCTAGCTCCCGTGGCTCTGAGGGATCCCCAGCCTGTAACAAGGCCTCAAGGGCCCAGCCCAAGTCCGCATGCCTTAGGCTTGACCTGGCGCCGCTTCCAAAACCCATCGCCTTGCCACCTGGCAAGTGCAAAAAGGGTGGGCAAAGATGCGCGCGCACACATAACCACACACACACACAGCCACACATACAACCACACACGCAACCGCGCACACAACCACACCGACACGCACACGCACACGCGCACGCGCACGCGCCCGCGCGCACACGCACACGCGCACACGAACGCACACGCACACGCAAACTCACACGCGCGTGCGCACGCGCACGCGCGCGCGCGCACGCGCACGCGCACGCGCACACGCACACGCACACGCACACACACGCACCCACGCACCCACGCACCCACGCGCCCACGCGCCCACGCGCCCACGCGCACCCGCACCCGCACCCGCACCCGCACCCGCACCCGCACCCGCACCCGCACCCACACACACGCACGCACGCACACACGCACACACACACACACACACACCCTCACACACACACACATTAGACACACACCACACACACATTAGACACACACCACACACACACACACCCCACACACACACACACATCCCACACACACACACATCCCACACACACCCCACACACACCCCACACACACACACCTCACACACACACACACACCCCACACACACCCCACACACACACCCCACACACACCCCACACACACCCCACACACACCCCACACACACCCCACACACACCCCACACACACCCCACACACACACACCCACACGCACCCGCACGCGCACGCGCACGCGCACGCGCACGCGCGCACGCACGCACGCACACACGCACACACGCACACACGCACACACGCACACACGCACACACGCACACACGCACACACGCACCCACGCACACGCACACACGCACGCACGCACGCACACCCACACACACACACACACACACACACACACACACACACACACACACACACACACACACACACACACACACACACACACACACACACACACACACACACACACACACCGCACACACCAACACACACACACGCCCGCCCGCCCGCCCGCCCGCCCCCCCGCCCGCCCCCGCGCCGCCCGCCGCCCGCCCGCCCGCTCCGCTTCGCCCTCGCCCGCACCGCACGCACGCACGCACGCACGCACGCACGCACGCAACTGCACCACCCACCCACCCACCCACCCACCCACCCACCCACCCACCCACCCACCCACCCACCCACCCACGCACCCACCCACCACACCACCTACCCACCCACCCACCCACCCACCCACCCACCCACCCACCCACCATCCACCCACCCACCCACCCACCCACCCACCCACCCACCCACCCACCCAACCCACCCACCCACCCACCCACCCCACCCACCCACCCACCCACCCCCACCCACCCTCCCACCCACCCACCCACCCACCCACCCACCCACCCACCCACCCACCCACCACCCACCCACCCACCCACCCACCCACCCACCCACCCACCCACCCACCCACCCACCCACCCACCCACACCCCCGCACGCGCACGCGCACGCGCACGCGCACGCGCACGCGCACGCACACGCACACGCACACGCACACGCACACGCACACACACACTCGCACGCGCACGCGCACGCGCACTAGCACGCGCCCGCGCGCGCGCACGCACGCACGCCCGCCCGCACGCCCGCACGCACGCACGCACGCACGCACGCACGCACGGCCCATGACCGTCCAGCCAAGCTCAAGCAAAGTGCAGCTTTGACCATCACATGGGAAAGCCTGAGCATGAATGGAGGCAGTGTTGGTCTTAATGACTGTACCGGGCCTCCAAACAAAACAAAGGTGCCCATATGTCTGGCTTTGTGCATTTTTTGCTGCGCCTCAATACTTGCGCTTGACTCGCTTGGGGCTTCCATGTTCACTGGACATCCAATTTCACCCGATAGGACTTCGTTTGGCGCGTTCGGAACGTGAGGCTGGGAGACTTCAACGTCTCCCCCGCCAGCTTCGCGAAGCTCACGGCTGAGGAGAGCCAAATGGTCGAATCGGGAGCCGAAGGCACTGTTCGACCTCTTGCCATAGGCTTTCCTGGTGGTTCAATCAACCACCAGTGCCATCTATTTCCTCAAACAGGACACCTATGCCTCTTGCCCCTCTTGTTTTCCAAAGGACCGGCTTTTCGAAAGCAACCCTGCTGACGACAACTTATATACCTGTAAGTCTAGGCGCATGATTCGGGGCAAAACCAACGGAGTCAGCACACTGGGGATCTTCGCAGCTCGCCCCCACACTCAGAAGATTTGCATAGCCTTCTCAAAAGGACTGGACTTCCTAGAGAAGCGCCTTGGGCCTTCGCAGAAGCGTTCCCGGCGTGGCAGAAGGGTTTTTTGCCACTGAGAACCTGCTAAGAGGCATCGCCTCTTCTACTAGGTCCCCCAGTAGTGCCCGTTCTCACCTTTTTTTTGGGGAGGGTTCCCCTACTAAAATAGACTACAGAAAAAAGGGTGCTCTTATTCTAACCTCTTTACTGGAGGACCTAGTCTTAAGAAGGCACCCCACCGACGCCACCTTGCGGCAGCTCCCGTGGTTTTGCCCCTAATTGCAATGAGCCAGCGTTGCGAACCGCTGACTAAGACGTGAGGGTTTCACCTTCTTGGTAAGTAGGTTGCAACATGTAGTGCGGCAAGCTTGTGACCACGTTCACAGCCTGCTTACTTCTACCACAATGGAGACCACCCAAGTAGGTAAGTAGGTTGTAAATTCATGATTGGGTTTAAACGGAGTTTATGGTGACTCACTTCCTGAGTTGGTGGACTTTAAACTTTTTGGGGTTGGACCATTTTAGTGGTAAATAAAAAGTTCAAACTTTTTTTGGCCAGTCAACTTGGGAAGTGAGGTGATGACTTCCGAGGGGCTCCATCCGTGGGAGGATGGGTTCTGGCGAGCCTTCACGCCGGTCTGCCCGACGACTGCCACGGCCTTCGAGACCAACCCCTGCGCCGAGCTCGGCTGAGAGTCTTGCGCCATACTGTGGATGGACAAAACCCTGTGCCACCCAAGACACCATTGGAAACCATTGTCTGTTAGTATTTGCACGGGATCAGATCATTCTAGGGTTTCTTAGGTGGTGCAAGGATTTCGTCCATCCACAATAGCTCCGGCAAGTGGTCCAAGGGGCCAAGTGGCAAGCTGTTCGTTTCGGCACTCCCTGTACTGTTGTTGCCATGTTTGTAGGCTTCCTTTTTTTTCTGTAAAAAAAAAACAAGTATTGTGGGGCTGCCAAGAGAGACCGAAGTCTTTTGGTACCAAGGGTTGGGCAGATCCTGAGCAGATCCCTAGGTTACGAAAGGGCTTGGCGGCTTTTGGATCCTTCGTTAGTGTTATTTAGTTGCTTTAATGTTGACCCCATACTCACTCAACCCCAGTTTATGAATAGGGTTTAGTGGGGCATCATCATCTTTGGAGGGGAAAACCCTCCTATTTATAAGCTGGGGTTGACTAATCTGGGGTCAACATTATGGGGGCGGGTCCCCTGAAAACAGACGAGCCACCTCACTGGGAATCTGTGGGCTATGGATTCTGGTGACATCGGAAGGTCCGACCGGGGACTACATGCTCTTCCGCGCGGATGGCACCGGCGTACCAGCAGGCCATGGTCCCGCAAGTCCATGCCTGACAAATGGCTCGACTGCTAGAGGGCAGCGGATCTTTGGACTTTTTGGTTGAAATCAAGTTGCGGTTTCCTCTACACCCCCAAGAAAGTTATTCACTTTTTGCAGGGGGGTCAAAAGCAACCAAGATGAAGTGTGTCTTTTTGTGGGATGGTACCCTTTTCGGAATTGGCCTAAAGGGAAACCAAAAGAACAACCACCGTTTGAGGGATGCAACAAAAATAGAGTGCACCCAAATAAAGCACAGAGTACAAGTTTGGCTTTGATCACGTCGGCAAGGATGTGCCACAACAAGAACTCCTGAACATTTCGAACTCCTTGATTGCCTCCACATCCAAAGAAGAGACATCTAGTTGGTCCAGTTCAATTGCGTCTGTTCAGGTTTTCTCTTACAGATCGGTCTATTCAGGTTTTTCTCTCACCCATATTGAGTTTTTCAATCTCAGATCTGTCTATTCTGGTTTTCTCTTACAGATCTGTCTATTCAGGCTTTCTCTTACAGATCTGTCTATTCAGGTTTTTCTCTCACCCATATTGAGTTTTTCAAACAGATCAAATCACGTTTTCCTAGTCAAACGGCCGTTTGACTCAAAATTCACAGATCCAGTGCCCAAATCCCGTTTTCCTAGTCAAACAGCCGTTTGACTCAAATGTGCAGATCCAATACGATTGGGCCAAAAACATGCGCTGTCGAGCTTGTTTTTTCTTGGTCGGGGTTGTGCTAAAGTTTTGGCGCGGTTTTGGATTTCATTGTCAATCGTGGCTACAACCCCTCCTCATTGCACACCCGCACACCGCACACCCGCACACACACCCCCACACCCCCACACCCCCACACCCACACACCGACACACCCACCCACATACACCCACATACCCACACACGCCTCACTCACGCCCACACACACCCACACACACCCACACACACCCACACACACCCACACACACCCACATACACCCACACGCCCACACCCACACACCCACACGCACAACACACACACCCACACACACACCCACACACCCACACACACACACACACCCACACACCCACACACACCCAGACACACCCAGACACACACACACACACACACACACACACACACACACACACACACACACACACACACACACACACACACACACACACACACACACACACACACACACACACACACACACACACACACACACACACACACACACACACACACACACACACACACACACACACACACACACACACACACACACACACACACACACACACACACAGACACACACACACACACACACACACACACACACACACACACACACACACACACAAACACACACACACACACACACACACACACACACACACACACACACAGACTCACACACACACACACACACACACACACACACACACACACACACACACACACACACACACACACACACACACACACACACACACACACACACACACACACACACACACACACACACACACACACACACACACACAGAACGCAC